ACTTTTGATAAATTATATAGTGTAATTTGTTATCCATATGGTAGCTGATATACTTCTGGAATTGAATAACTTGAATAAAATCTTTCAAGTTAAAACTATGAATATTACTAGCATTGTTGGGTAGTTAAATGTTACTTTAAAAAATATTAAAAGAACATTTCTGAAAGAGACTCTTGGTGTGAAATAATTGAGTAATTTTGTAGAGGCTATTAGAGATGGATTTATCAAAATTGTAGATGTTAAAGGGGAACAACATAAGCATGCTTTTGATTATAATCCTATTCTAGAATGTAATAAATTTTTGATTAGATTTAAATAAAGAGTGTGTTCAGAAACTATATGTTAATATATTGACTAAAATGGGAAAGGATATAAGTATATTAAATGCTATAACATTGTTCAGCTTAAAGAATTACTCAAATGCTTAAATAAAGAAGAATTGGGTAATAATTCTTATAAATGGTTAAATATTTTACTAAACTACTATAATGCTATTATTGATTGGGAAAAATGTAAAAGAGAACTCAAAAAGTTTGTAATTGTTATGCAAAGTAATTTGCCAACAAAAAATAGATATATAAGGATGATATTTCTATAATAAATACATATCTTAATTTAATGGAATTGTGGAAAATTTTCTCTTTAATATCTATGAGCAATGTGTAAACAACTAAAAAGAAAAATTCGAGAGACAATTTATAAGGGTTTAAATATAAAAGGAAAGGGGTCATGAACAAAATTGCACTCTTTTTTCCAATCAATTAAAATTTTTGGGATATTTAGAGTTAACTATTTTTGAATTTAAATGGTACTAGGCTAAGTGACATATTAGGAAGTCTAAATTTAATATTCAATGTTGAATATGGATTTTCTTATCAAAATCAGTTGAAAACTACTTCAAAATTGAAACTTTAAATGTTTTGATATTTATTTATGTAAATGGTGATGATGACTACAACAAAATCAACTAGAAACATATTCATGATACATTGCATCAAAAGAAGGAAAGAAGAATTTGGTGTGATTGAATTAATTGTATTCAAAGTGTTTTTTATATTTAAATATCTATATATGAAGTATAAGTTAATTTTTATCTTGCATAATGAATTCACCCTTCCCATCAAGAAAAAAAAATTGCCTTCCAAAATGCAAAACTTAACTGCCTTACAAATTTGAGTCTTGAGTCCGATAGATTAAACAGATCCATCACGGATTAAAGGCATCCCTAGGGTCGATCTGATCGAGGCTGGTGTGAGCTCCTGATGGACCCAACTGCAAGATTTATTTCCATGTATGCTCGAAATGGACTCAACAACATAGATCTCTATAGAGCCGCTCATGTCTCATTTCACGTCCATGGGTTCAAACTTTGGCTTGCTCCATCAAAGCAACAGTATAGCTGCATCCTGACTTGAGAGATTGGGGTCTGAACTTGCTGGCAAGATCAGAGCACTACTATTACCTTTGGAGCTGTGGGACAACTGTGGAGGATCGATTCCTAGGACTCAGCTTATGTTTTTGCTTGCTACAACTCGTGGATCTCTTTAAGCTGCCATCTCCATCCTTCCACATTAGAACGTACCTCCAAGAGTACGTGCGCCATATCAATTTGAGAAACCTTCAGTATAAATATAGACTTGCCTAAAACAGCCGCTGCTCAGCTTTCCTTCTAGTCGTGAGGATGTCTTGGATGGTGGTTGCGAACTTTGGATGATCATCTCTCGTGAAGCTATTTATCTAGGAAAGTGATTGCAAGCCCAAAATTCAACAGATCTTTCCAGCTGGGAATTCTATGTAGCATAGTTCTGAGAAAGAATGCAGTTGGCCCATCTTCTTGAGACACTTCCCAAGGACAAGTACAAATCACTCCACTGAAAGCGTCCCCTCTCACTCGAGTAGCTAAAAGGCCAGTATAGACAATACTTGCAAGCTCAGTTCCGACCATCCAACGGTAAGGTTTTCGTAGCAATTCTCCCCTTCTCTCTGTTAGTGATTGCTCAGAATTCATCATTGTTGTATAGGGCGTGCATTGTGATCATGCAGAGCTCCAGCTCAATATCGTCAGTGTGTTGCTTCTAGCAGCTAACTTTTGTAACTAGAGTCCAAATCCAAGTAACTCCACTAGCATATCATAGCTTTACCTGGTGCATGTCAATTTATCCTTCCAGGACCGTGGTGACTTTGATGTGGATTTTCCTTTTAGTGGCATCTCCAGCAATTGTGAAGGCGCTGGCATTTGGCTTCTGGCTTGTCAATCCTGGGCAACCCATGAGAAGTAAAAACTGAAGTCATATAGAACTGAATCATAGCAAAACTGGCACAGCCCACAATGGTAGACGATGTTTTCGATTGCCGCGAAGTTTCCCAAGTCAAAATGTTCGAGTATATTCTTAAATGCTATATTTTATAAAAATTATAAGAATATTCTCTTTTTTGTGTTATAACTCCGGGAGCTATGTAGATCCGGCAAGGACGTGAAGCTAGGCGATGCCGAGGTATGGGAGGAAGATCCATCACAGCTCGCCATAGCCAAGCAAATCCTAGAAGAACACTTCTACGTTCAAGACCCCAGCGATCCATCCCTCTTCGTCCTGCCCAAGACCAGGAAATTAGTCATCGATTCTTCCTCCGCTGGATCCCCCTCCTCTCTCCTCTTCCCTGCTTCTATTCCCCAGATCGACTACACAGCGCCGCCACTATCCTCCTCAGACGATCGTAATGCCGGGCATCCACTCTACCGCATCGCCGGCGATGGCGACGGATCATCGTAGTGGCCGTGCTGTTGCATCCAGCTCGACACCAGGAACTCCAGCTCCCCCCAGGTACGCATCGCGATCCCGGCCGCGATCCAGCACAAAGTCCGCGAGCAGCGCGTGGCAATCTCACTGGCGATCGAGCCCAGCGTCCGGATCACGCCCGCCAACGTGGATGTGGAGCTCCGGATCAAGACCCTCTCGGTGGGCGTGCTGCTCAAGAACGAGGCCGCGCTGGGTTCTACCCCCGCCGGATAAGATTCTCGATCGAGCCGCTGCTGGGCGATTCCAGCGCCGTCGCGATCCCGCTCTACACGCCCAGGAGCGATCGCGGCGGTGGATCTAGCAGCGGGAGCACGAGGACGAGGAGCAGTGCTAACAAGATTGGCGCTCAGATTTGATTGGGCCCGTGACGATCAGTGGCGAGAGGAGCTGGGGGGTGGAATTCGAGGAATCCACGGAGAGGGAGATGATCAGTGCTGGCGGGTCTGGGAACACCGCGGTGTTTGAGTGGAGGCTCTTGCGATGGAGCCACAATGGGTTGAGGTACAATGCGAACAAGCCACACTCTGGATTGAGCTTGTCTACCAAGTCTCTCAAGGTTCGTCCTCCATAGCCAACCATCTCTCTTCTCTCTCTCTCTCTTTGCATTGCATGGAGGGCCTCTTTCGTTTTTTTCCCTTTCCTAGGATCTTTTGATGGATCGATGGAACTCTTCTTTGTTTCCAGGCACCATTTCCAGGAGGAAGCACAGGAATCAAAGTGGAAAGCTTTCCCGACGTCATGTTGCATCTCCACCCGAGCATGAGATCAAAGTTTCCGCTCCAATTCAAGTTCCAGTTGGAGGTGGGGATGCATCTGCTGTGCACGAACCGGTTGTTCCGAGTGGCCGAGTGGAGCAATTCGAGTTTCGTCATGAGTTTCTAGTTAGCGATGGTGTGACCTGAAAGTATATTCCGTTGAAGACCGTTCTGGTTTCTGTTCATTGAATCCCCAAACCATTTCCAATGACTCTCCTTCTGCGTGCAATATCCATATGGTGACACGCAGCAGCGGCTGGCAGTAAGTGCCGTTCGAGACGATGAGCAAAAACCGGTTGCCATACGTTCTCTTGTCAAATGCCTTGAAAAGAGTATGAGATGTTTCTATTTCCGCCAAAGCTGGACAGTCTTCATTGCTTGGATTTAGATAGATGGCTTCAGTCAGTGATCGATGATGAGGTGAAAAGGCTGATCCAAAGTCCGGATACATTGAAACGAATTTTCTCCCTTGAGAAGCTTTACTTTTGCTATTAGAACCAGATGAAAAAGATGTCTCGTTAGGCAATTCATCTTCAAAGAATCATCACCTGCTTGAGATTCCCAACCTCGGCATATGCCACACCCATGGGTGTGATATCGAGAACATTAACAGCTCCATCGCGGCTACAGAGTTACCGCTGTATGTGTATGTGGCTAACATGGAGTTCCACGAGACAACAGATTTGTTTGGCATTCTGTTGAATAGAAACTGATCAAGTCCAAGCTAAAATGCATTCCGAGACGTGGTATCATATCAAAAACAATTATCTCAAACCTTGCTGCTGACCAAATTGGATGTATGCAAAGAATGGATATCACGCTGTGAAACGGAATGGATTCAAACAGTTGCTGGGCGTAGCCATCACATTACATTCCAGACATCCTTGTGTGGGATTTGGTCGAAGAGGCATTACATGTTATTTCGTATTTGAAAACTAACAACAATGGCAAGCCTCCCGTCATCTTAAACAGCTGCATACGTCCTGGATCTATCCCAGCACAAGAGATTGCTCCAAAGTACGTCCATTCCATGTTGCTTCCCCAGCCACTGATTGCGAAAACAAAGGGCGGGAAAGTCCGAAGCAATCCACTAGGAACTCTACAATTTTTGTTCCTCTCATGCAGTACTGTGCCTCCGTGTCTGGCTTGCGTAGCCCAAAGACTCGATAGAGCAGCTTGCATTAAGCGAGAAGGAACGCGAGGCTAACCAAGACGCCGCCTCATGGCAAAGATAATTCATGCGTCAAGACCCCACAAAGACTATCGATAGATAGATATGCAGCCCAAAATCTCGGATACCACAGCTCGGTCTCCCGTATAATTCGGACAGACGCGCGTTTGAGAATTCTACGCGTTTGGCGAATTCCACGCATTTGACGTTCGATGACACATTCTTCCGTACACTCCGGAATCAAGATGGCAAATTCAAAATTTCCCATGGAGGAGATCCGGGAGCTGTGCCGATAAAGCTCGCCAGGGCCAAGCAAATCCTAGAAGAACGCTCCTACATTCAAGGCCCCAACAATCCATCCTCGCGAGGAAGAATTCGTTGTCCAATTCTTCTACTGGATGCAATAGTTCGCTTCCAAGAGGTCCGCGAGGATGAATTCGGCCTCCAGTTCTACTTCCGCCTCCATCCCCCAGATCGACTACTCGGCGCCGGCAGCGCGATCCTCCAATGTCGGGGATCCAAATGATCCCCTCTTCGACGACCATACATGGCGGCCGTGCCCTTGCATCCAGCTCGACACCAGGAACCAGATACGCATCACGATCCCGGCATCGATCCAGCACAAAGTCCGCGAGCAGCGCGTGGCAATCTCACTGGTGATCGTGCCCAGCGTCCGCAACACGCCCGCCAACGTGGATGTGGAGCCGGATCAAGACCCTCTCGGTGGGCGTGCTCTTGATGGACGTGCTCAAGAACAAGGAGGCGCTGGGTTTCTACCCCTACCGGATCAGATTCTCGATCGAGCCACTGCTGGGCGATCCCAGTGCCGTCGCGATCACTCTACACGCGCAGGATCAGTGGAGCTGGGGAGAGGATCTGGGGAATGGAATACGAGGAATCGACAGAGACGGGGATGATCAGCGCTGGCGGGGAGGAGTCTGGGAACACGGCGGTGTTTGAGTGGAGGCTCTTGCGATAGAGCCACAATGGGGTGAGGTACAACGCGAACAAGCCACACTCTGGACTGGGCTTATCTACCAAGTCTCTCAAGGTCCGTCCTCCATATAGCCATAGCCATCTCAATCTCAGTGGATCTCTCTCTTTTCTTCCAGGCCCCATTTCCAGGAGGAAGCACAGGAATCAACGATGTCATGTGGCCTCTACACTCGAGCGTGAGATCAAAGTTTCCGCTCCAATTCAAGTTCCAGTTGGAGGTGGGAATGCATCTGCTGTGGTTTGTGGGCACGTACCGGCTGCTCCGAGTGGCCAAATGGACTAGCGAGGCATTTGAGTTTCATCACGAGTTTCTAGTCAATCCACCGTCCTGAAAGTGTTCATTGGAAACAAAAAAATCAAGTGGAATATAGAAAATGTCCTAATTTCTCTAGGACGGGGATTGCCACTTCATGGAGGACGAGATCACACCGTCATGGTGGCTCTAGATGTAATTAATCACACCGTTGGCGGAGCAAGAGAGCTTAACAATGATCGATTCGTCCCAAAAACACCAAGGGTGAGAGATATTGCAAAGCTTCATGTCCCTTTGTCTGCTTAGAGCTTGAGTTTGCTCGTGAAGTTTTCAAAAGTTCGAGGACGACCATGCAAAGCGCTGGTCAATCTCGATCACTCTCTTAGACCGATCCATTGAAAGACAAAGTTGCATCGTCCCTGATCATGATGTTTCAAGATTCATCCTGATTTACTTTCTTTAATGGTTTCATGTAGTTGTTGAATCGCTACATAAATTTTCCTTTTTTTGCATGAAATTTTATTTTGCTGTGAATGCTTTTTGTGACTGATTACAAAAGTAAATAGGACTAGCAGAAAATTACAAATTCGCAAGAACTCCAAAGAAATTTTGGTGGCAACTACATTTCCAAAAACATGCCCAAAATCGTTCACCATGTAGCTTGTTTTTGTTTTTTTTCATGCCAGTGGCACTTGTCTTGGAAACATTGACTACAACCATGCCTCCATGCAAATCTCCGATTTGTGACACGACCACATGTTTTGGTATGGATAACATCTTGATAACATTTTGGTGACATCTATTCTTGGCTTATATCGAGAGAATTGTCGTCCAGTAAACCATGTCGCAGCAAGGAGCAAAATCGAACAAACATTTTGCTTCCTTAAGGTACATCGAACAGGTCCATCATGCACGCACATGCGACGGGTGATCACGAGATTAAAGGCATCCCTGTCGATCCGAGCCGAGCTCGATCGAGGCTGGTGCGAGTCCTGATGGACCAAACTGCGAGATTTATTTATTTCCAGCGCTTGCGCGATGGGCCCGCTATGTATGGACTCGACAATGTACAAAGCCGTGCTTCTCTCCACGGTGGAGAGGTCTCCTGCTCGTCACGTCCATGGTTTCAAACTCGTTCCATCGAAGCAACAGTATAGCTGCATTCTTTGCTTTGGCTACTTCCAGCAACCCGAGGAGCTCACTTTCTTGCTGACTTGAGAGATTGGGTCTGCGCTTGCCGGCAAGATCACAGCGCTACCGTTAACTTTCGAGCTGCGGGACAAGTGTGATCGATCCCCAGGACTCAGCTCGTTATGTTTTGCTTGCTACAACTCGAGAGGTTGATAAAGTACAAATTTCTTCCATAAAATTGTGTATACAGAATTTCAAGTACATACATAGAAGATGGGCTCAAATGTTCTTACTTGAGCACCTTTCTTGAGCGAATTTTTAAATGCGGGATCATGCTAATAATCCAAACACCCGCGGACGACATTAAATTGAGACGGAAGGTGGTGTCCAACTACTACATCTTGAAATGGGCCAACAATAAAGTGAGGCGCTCAGGCAAGGAGAGCCGTATGGAGAGTTTCATGGTACAAACTTTGCTGTGAACTAATGTTTGCCAAGACACAAGTGGAACTGGAACTTACAGGACAAGAGCTTATCATCTGGCATCTTCTTCCTTGGTCTTCTCTGGGCTGTAGAACCACGCGTTGCAAACTGGCAGCTCATGACCAAAGGAGTAACAGGCAAGTAAACGAACTTAGCCCGTCCAAATTAATCGATATAATCTTATGAATTGCAGATGATGAGAAGAAACAAAACGTGGTGTACGTGATCAGTGTGGACAGGAAGCTCAGTTGCAGCGTATTCTTGCTGTGGGATGACATTGTCGAGGTAGTTTTATTTTTTCGTTTTCCAGTGAGGGATTTCTTTGTTATTTGCTTTCGCAGGTGAGACCCAAGATGGTGATGATCTTCGTAGCCACCGTGATGCTGTAGAGTCTGGGCGAGAAGGCTAAAAAAGCTGCCAATACAGCTGTTGTTGTTGGGCTCCACAACAAAGTCTCTTCATTTCGTTTCTCCTTTGATTTTTTCATTGTAAAGAAGAATTCTTTGTAATACTCGCGTTCTTCCTCAATCATAGTGCATTTTTTCCTTTGGTTTCTAGCACGATTGCTTGTGCGAGTGTTTCTGCTCCAGAGTTTCCTAGCGGCCAGCCACAGGGACGAGGAGATGGATGTGGAACCAAGTGCATTTTTCCTCCTAAACGAGGAGATGGATGTGCGGGACTTGACACTTCTTAGCGTGAGTGAGGTAAGATAGAAAAAATGAGAAGAAGAAGAAAGAGATAATTCCTCTTTTGTCATTATTGCAAGTACTAGAAATTGCCCAACAAGAAGCTGGCGAGTTGGCAAGGTGAAGTTCTCAAAAAATAAAAAATCTGAGCCAAAAGACAAATACATTAGCCAAGAGTTTTATGACAGCTTGAAGCATAGCTCTAGTTCTCCTGCAGTGTTTTATATAAGAGAATTGTAGTTGTAGAAAGAGACATAAAGAATTTCTCACTGGAACTACTCTAGTGACTATAGCTGGGATAACATTGATCTCATAGCCGACCTAGAGGTGTTTACATAAAATCAAAAGTTCAAAGTCATCCAGTAAAATGAATGCTTTCAATTGCGCTCGCCCAACCATGGCAGTATGGCTACCATCGTGAGAGCCAACTTCAGATATGTCGATCTTACCTATTCCTAACTAGGGCGTCTTACAAAGATGAGCAGAAAATTCTTGTGCAGCATATGAAAGATCCAAGCAGGCTCTCCAGTTCTATAAGCACCAGCCATCCATTGCTAATCCAGCCCTAAAGAAAAATAGGATGGATAAGACCCTACACACAGCATATGCATGAGCCAAGCTTTATATATCCAACATTGCAAAGGACGATCACTTGATATACCCATTCATAAATCCTATGCTTGAGCAATGCAAGCTCTTGGGCCTCCATCTCTAGTGCCCGGCACTACTTCTTTTTCTGCAAACTTTGAGGCTGCAATAAAGAAAAGAAACCTGGAGCAAGCAAAACTTTTGTGTCAAGGAGTTGTGATAAAACAAAATTCCTTGGCTGCAAGGGCAGAGTAGGAGGGGCTGTGGTAGAACAAGAGTTTTTCCCTTCTCGGCTACAACTTCCTAGTATTGCCCAGCAAATGCTGGATGAGTACAAAAATTAGTAATTTTATACAATTTTTTTCTTCTGATATTTTTATACACACACAACTAATATATTACCAAAGTGTAAAAAATGAATTACTATGTAAATATTATTGATAAAGATATTATATGCAGTATTACTTGGGAAAATGGATATATTTAGAATACTAAGATTTTAAGAAACTTAATACTCAACCCAGAAAAAATTGAAACAAAATTGCTAAGAATGAGTTTTTTATAGATATAAGAAAAATATATTTAGTACACTTCTAGAGAAAAACAATAAAATAAGAATTACGAAAAATTAATTTTATTAATTAGATGTTACATGTAAAGTATGTTTTTTATTTGGGATATAAGAACATTTAGAATCCTAAAATATTAAGGAAACTAATATATTACTACCCAAACTCATAGAAATGTAAAAAAGAACTACTAATATTAATTATCATTAATTAAGGAAGCATTATTTAATTACTATGTGTTGGAATATTTAAGAACATTAATATATTACTCAGACCCAAACATAACCTAAAATTAAAAAATTATAAATAACCCCTAAACTCAAACACTTAAAAATAGAATCTAAATAAATTAATTTAATTTTAAGTAATATAGATTTAGTAAAGAATTACTTTGCCATGTGTTTTTCTTAGAATATAGAACAATAAAACTACTACCCAGACCCAAGTAAATCTAAGAAAAGAAATACAAAAAAATCTATAAATTCAAAACCTGATATTCTATGTTTGTAAGATTTATGAAGGTGTTTAATTTGTTTGTATTAAGACTAAGCTAACCCACACCTTGAGCATGCTGTAATTGCTGGATCAATACATCCACAGCTTAGGGGCGACTCTATCTATCAACTAAACATATACATAAAAAAGAAAATTGTAAGACAGTGTAAATGCCATCTTAATTATACTAACTGATTGAGGCAAGTTTAAGTCAAAATGAATTTTAATCATAGTATCCAAGCTAGGAAACTATATTCTTGGCCCAATGGTTTTGCCACCTAAGTAACATCTCCTGTACAATCACCAGCAGACTCAACAGCCATGCCCTACGAGAACCCCAAGAGCTGTTATTGTGCCCACACAATCCCTCACAAGAGTTTTCCAGGAGCCAAAAAAAATTGATAAGCCATGCAGGAGGGCCATAGACCCACAGCAAGGAACATTTTTTATCGCCTATTGTCCATGGCTTATGCCTCAGCAATTCTTTACCCCAACATCCAGCCTCCACTCACAACCGGAGGAAGGTGGAACAACGAAAGAGGTTGTGCTTACCCCGACTTTGATCAACCATGGTGGACTTGACACTCTTAGCCTTCTGCTTCTAGAACTCTTGCGCGAGCGAGCAAAAGCAGTGGGAGAAAAAATCTTGGCTCCACGATCCAGGCAGCTTGTCCTTCTCCCAGAGCTTGGTTCTGTAGTGCGTAGAGAGGCAGCAATATAGCCCAGCAGTGCAAAGCAAGCAATACAAGAGCCTGTTAAACAGGCACACTGAGAAAATGAGTGCGATAACCATCTACAAACTTGTAGTGTTACCAGGCTCTGAAAGCCTGAGCACACTTACCAAAAGCTCCAAAAGGAAGCCATCTATTATAATGGATTGTGGTTATTTTAAGTAATATATATTATTAAACAAAGAATATTAATGATCATCTCGTTTTAAACCACTCTTTTGCACGCTTTAAAGCCACAAAACAATTTTAACTTTCCTGTTGAAAATGAAACTTTTAAATAATAATACTATTAGTATTATTTTATATACATACATACATATATATACATATACATATATACATACATACATACATATATATACACACATACATATATACATATATACATATACATACATATATATAGTAAGAGATACAAAAACAAAAAAGAAAGTTTTTATTTCCCTTAAAATAAGAATTAAATCATACTCTTATTTAATAGTTATGAGCTTTTAAATAAAATTTTAAAAGGACTTTTTTGGAGGAAAAATGACACAATGCTCTTCCTTTGTAGTTTTGATTTCTAAGTAAAACTTTAAAAAATATCTTTTTCTACTACCAACTCAAGGATAATTTAGTTAAATTTTTTCTTTTAATTATTCTATAAATAACACTAATTTTTTATATTAATTTTTTCCTTTTAATTTCTTTTATTTTTATCATATAAATACTTTGTGACAATTATGACTTCAACTTTTCCTACTTATGACTCTAACTTTTCTATTGCTTGCACACATACACATATTTTAAAACTAATATACATATGCATATTCATGCAAAAAATAGTTTCAAAATATATTTATGTAAGAAAATAAATAAATAATTTGAGAGAGACAGATTATTAGTGTTTTTTAAATTGATTAAGGGTTTTGAAATATTTATTTTTGTATCTCAAAACCCTTAAATCAACAGGTGTGGCAGCTAGTCTCAAGGGAGTTAACTATTATATTACTTTTGTGCATTACCTTGCTTATAGAACAAACTTATATATAGAAGATGTTTACAAAAATTCAGTAGTTTGTGAGCTTTATAACAAAATAGATAATCTTGTGAATAGAGTGATTGTGTTTTTCTCTAAAATTTTCAACATATTGCAATAATTGAAAACACTAAACTAAATTTTCATATATTAAATATATTGCATATCTAGCAAACTTGATAGTTGAGCAAAGGTAGAGCAATCAATTATATATATAGCAATTGTTAAATTTTTTAAAGGATGATGGAGCTTAAAATTGTGACAAAGCATAAGGTAGTGAACTTTATCTAAAGAGGATATGAAGAGAAAATAAAAAAGTAAGATAGAAATATAGGAGGAAGTAATGAAGAGACAAAAATGATAGAAACAAAGGGAAAAAATAAAACAAAAGTGAAAAGAATGGAAAAGATATAAGGAAGTATAAAACAAGCTTAAAGTTATATTTAGCATGATTGCATTGTAACTAATTTATAACAAAGAGGTCAAAAGTTTGACTTAGCATCATTTTGTTAACGCCAAAGTCTCCATTTAAGAAATGGAGAACATCAATTTGAAAAATGCTAACAACATTGATACATATGACTAACCTCATCACACACTTAACAATAGATATCACAACCACAACCACATCTTTAAATTCAAGTAACAATAACATTAACCTCCATTGGAATAAGATAATCTCCCACAACAAGTGGAGTTAAAGGATGTGCAATGAGAAATAAGAAGTATTAATATCTCACAAAGTTGTGCAAAGCAAAAAACATTATCAAGGGTGGTTGGAATAAATACATGCACAAGTCCTACACGATCTTAACAAAGTGTTAGCTACAACATTCCTAATTTAATCCGTTCTAATATATTTGGTTTCGCATGAAGCAAAAAGCCTTGGAAATGAATATTAATTTGCATCATTAACTTAGATGGCCCTTGACAAAGATGATACAATTGTTGGAAGGCATTATCACAATTGTTAGTATGTCCAAATATGTGTTTAAAGATGTCTAAGAAAATGCTCCAATTTGCACAATGACTATAGTCAAATTATTGCAATGTTATAACTTGGAGACACGTGGGAAACTCATGCAAACACTAAGTATCATCCCAAGAATGATATGTGGCAATCACTGTAAAATGATTGAACTAATGGTACATATTATTTGTAGGATTGCTACAGAAAAACTTTAGTCAAACACGAGGATTGGTAGCAAGAGCAAAAGAAGTTATACCATGCTCTGTGAATGTCACCATTAACTAAGTTTAATTGTTCAATTACAACAATATAACATTGATCAATTGCACTAACTACTATTCCAGAGTCAAAGGAGGAAGAAGCTATTGCTCTACTATGAAAATGAATGGAGAAAAAAGGAGAAAACAATAGACAATACAAATGCTAAATCTAAACCAAAATCCTATCCAAACACTCTTCAAGGATAATTAAAGCTTGCTTTTTAACTCCACTAATTTGAGTGCATAGAATATGAAAATGGAATATAAAAATGTGTATATCAATTAACCTAAAAAACTATAATTTATATATAAAAGCAAGTCATAAATTGTAGTGCAAGTGATCATAGAATGAAATTTGGATATATTATCACTATGGATTCTTGGAACTTAGGGGATAAATAGAAATAAATAGCTATTAAGGGCTTTTTTATTAAGCAATTGTTTCTTTTCCAGTTGGCTTAAGGGAGATAAATACATTACATTTGGTATTGGAGCAAATGGAACAGGTTCGATTCCTATTGATTAGTGGCTACTTAAAAATATAATATATTGGTTGCAAGCGTTGCTTATATATTAGTTGCATCACGAAAGTTTTATTAGTTACACCACGAAGAAATGTCAGTTATATTAGTTACACCACGAAGAAATGTCAAATGAAGACATGTCAAATAAGGACAAACAGTAGAGGCTGTTAGTCAATATCTGTGGAAGCTGTTTCTATCCCTCTTGTAGTATATAATCCCCATATTTCATTCTTGCAAGTAGATGTGCAACGATGATTTATTGCCCAATTTATGAATCTCCCTGGAAGAAATGCAAGTGCTTTCAAATCAACACAAAGGTTCCATCCAATTCAACACAGCTCGACCGGCTATGCCTTAATCTTCCTAATGGAATGTCCAAGAACCATCAGCTCGTGGACATTGCCATGGTGATCCTACCCTACGTACGGGAGAGCTGTGCCAATTTCGAAGTTGCTTTGGAGATCAAGAACCTCTTTGTGGGAGTGGGCGACAGCGATGTAATCATCAACTCGGACGCCCTGGGATTCTACCCCTACCGCATCAAACTCTGGATCGATCCACAGCTTGACGAGATGAAGAGCCCTGTCAATGCTATCTATGAATACAATTCCCGTGCCAATTCCAGCACGCGCACCACGAGCAGCGACAACGAGATTGGAGCTCGATTTAATCTATGGGCACTGTCGCTCAGATTAAAGAAATCATGGGGGCGGTCACTTCAAGAGCCAATGGAGTGCGAGTCCATCAGTGTTGGAGATCCAGGGAACACCGCCAAGCTCGAGTGGAATCTCCTTCGCTGGAATCACAATGGGATGAAGTATAATCCATCCAAACCATACTCTGGCCTTGGCTCTCTTAAGGTAAATCATGTTTTTACTCTTCTTTTCATCTGGGCGTGATCCATATAGCCGCCATTGCGAGGAGGGCGCACAAGTATCAGTGTGGAAGACTTTCCCATCACTGTGTGGCATCTGCCAGCAACCATGGCATCCAAGTTTCCACTCCGGTTCAACCTTCGTCTCGAGGCTGACATGCATCTCGTCTGGTACACAAGAAGCAAATGGGTCTGCCGAGAGGCAAATTGCACCAGCGAGAGAGTCGAATTTTCTCGAGAGTTTGTTGTCGCAGATGGTGAGTGACAAGTCCGACTGTCATACTGCTTCGAGCGTCTATCGCTTCTTACTGTTCTTCCCCAGTATCCAGTTTGGAGCTAGAAACTTACTACAAATACATGTGTCTTTCAGTGTCTTGAATGGGATTTTAGCAGGCCAGATTGTCTCTGGCAGCGAATCCAGAAATTAGCTAGCCTTGCCTGCAAAAACCCTGCTGTTTTCCTCAAAGAGATCTCTTTCCTCCTTTTTCTGCTTTACCTGATCGCTCGCGCAATCGACGTTATGAACGCGTCACGTCACGCGTCCCTGTGGCTGTAGGAAGACTCGTTGTGGACAGCAGCAGTGTTAGAAGCTTTTCTAGCCTTCTCGGCCAGATTCCAGAGCATCCCGGTGGCTACCAAGATCATAAATTAATAAAGCTGGAAAAACAAGTACCTCGCCAATGTCATCCCACAGCAAGATCACGCTGCAGCCGAGCTTCCTTGGCCTCACTAACCGCGTTTTGCTTCTTCTCGTCATCTGGAATTCATAGGATATTATCGATCCAGTGTTTGGTCACGAGCCGCCAGTTTACAACGCGTGGTTCTACAGTCCAGAGAAGATCAAGGAAGAAGATGCCAGATGATAAGCTCTTGTCCTGTAAGTTCCAGTTCCACTTGTGTCTTGGGAAACATCAGTTCACAGCGTTTCGTTGGCGCGAATTAATTCAGCGTAAGTGAGGCTGTTGTCGGCTGTCAAACAATTCCTGGAATAAGAAGAAGTTTTATCAACAGCGAGGTGGGCCTGAAATTCAATACCTTTCATGGCAGAGATAGGCCAGAAAAGCAAGATTCAAGTTTGCGGAGCCGCATGTAATGTGAGGTACTTGTAATTTATTTCTGCCTATAGGTACAAGCGGAGTGGCAAGATCATGGAGTGCATAAGCTCGTACCAGGATCTCCTGTCGCAGATCGGAAGTCACGAGTAAGAGCTGAATGTGGACAGCGCGAAGCTGGAAGTGTCTTGATCTTGTCACAAAATGGAACGACAAGGCGCAAGCACTGCTGGGATCACAGAAAGCTTACACAAGAGCTCTCATTTCTCTGCATTGATAGCTCCCTCATGATCTTAGGCACTCGCTCTGGCATCGCCGCATACAAACATCGTTCCAATTGGGGACGTGATGCTGGGTAGAACAAACGGATCGAGCGCACGCCTCGGCGCAAGCATCCAAATCCGAGACCCCACACACAGTGACGCACGAATTGGGCGTCACATCCTTTGCAAAGCTGCCCACTCGCTTCATCATCCGATCCGACGCGCACACGCGCTTGCAAGCGAATCGATCCTGGGAATCCAAATCCTGCTGCTGCTGCTGCTCGCTCTCATCGAGCGATGATCGCCGGCGCCGCCATCTCTCCGCAATGCCACCGCCGCCACTCTTGCCGCCCTTCCCGCGCCGCCGCCGCCGGATCATCGTGGCGGAGCCTGTGATTCCCAGTAACCCTAGCCCCAGCCCCACCGCCGCGCTCCACCACGAGCCCTCCACCATCCCTCCTCCACACTAAGCTTGCCCTAGAGCATCCGCGTATATTCTTGTGTGTAGATTAGATTCTATATTGGTTCCCGTTAGTTGGATCATTCGATTTCCAATATACAAGGAAAGAAAGAATATCCCAGGGGAGCTCTCCCCGGTTGCGGTTTTGTTGGCCCTGCCAGGGCTGCCATCCGCAAGTGGGGAGGTCCACTTGGGCGGTAGACACAGTGTTATCTTAAGACAGTTGATACTCAAGCGCTACTTTTGTTCTATAGTATGGATCTTCGCAGTTTAAAGTGTTCCAGTTTGTTGGTCTCTACCTTAAGAAAAGTTAGTAATTTCTCTGGGAGAACCAGCCTTCTGCAGGTGGTAGTTGACCGATTTAAACAAAACCTCTTCAGCTGGAAGACGAAGAAGCTCTGCAAACTCTAGAAACTTTAGAATTTTCACAAAGATTCATTTCTTACTACCTCTGTTTACCATCTCCGCGAGGTCTGGTGCCGCTTTCATCTTGACGCCAGAAAGGAATTGAATCTAAGATTCTAAAGAGTTTTCTTTACGTGCAGGCATTACGGCCGATCTCCACGGATTGCGATCTTCTCGCTGGATCTCGCGCTATGGATGGAGATCCTCGGCTTCACGGTCCGGAGCTTCTCGGCGCTGGTTTGGTTGAAAACCGGCTAAGACCGTCTCTCGCCACGCATAATCTCGCTAGTTGCTACTAGAGGCTTGTCCAGCCCGGTGCTACTTCCGTTGAGAGCACCCGGGACCGCCAGACAGACGTCCATAACCCGATCCTCGGTGGCTCGATCTATGATCCAACGTACTACGCCTCGCTCTTGCGGATCTAGTTGAAGGAGAATTGCTTGAGCTCGTCAACAAATGTGGGATTTTTCAATCTTCTTCTTTTTTCTCTGTATGGCGATAAGGCTGATCTCTCTATCCGTGCAGGACACTAACGAAAAGCGCGCTAGCGGAGTATAAGCGCTGTAGAGCAACTTTGTCCTTGTACCCGGCATTAAACTCCAGGTTTGTAACAAAGCGTTTGCTTTTGTCTCAAGTCACTCCTCAGGAGCTGGTTTTTCTCGCAGAGCACATTGGGGAAACAGTTCACGCGGCATTCAAGGACAAGAAATCGACAAAGAAGGCAGAGAGACGAAGAAGAAAGCTCGATTTTGGTGTGGCCGGTGGTTCTTTCCTTCCACCCGAATGCTTTGAAGGTAATTGGCGACCGAGCGACTGAGCTGAGGGGATGGCTGCCTTTGGGGGCGTTGTGGTGTCCTATCCTCTCTTGGAGAGCCAATTCACGCTGAATGAGCTTCGCTCGCTCAAATCCGAGGTAAAGAACCTGCAAAGTCTCGTTCTTTCTTTCTTTTTCTTTTTCGTATCTTTTGGAGTAGCGACGTGATTACCGCCAAACAGTTCAAAGATGGACTTTCAAGACTGAAAGAAAGGAGCAGCAGCTTGGATTTTGAGGCCTTTCTGTCGGTAACGCGATCATCGTTTCCGAAGTTTCTCAATCGAACATTCTTGTCTCTGCAGATATACTTGGAGATGCAAAGAGCGGCGTCAAAATCAAACGAGCCCAGCGTCCCAGTTCCTGAAAAGATCAAGTACCACATTGATTCACACTCAGAGGAAAAAAGTGATCATATTAATAGCCATCTTTCCAACATTCCTTCTTTCTTGCGATAGACTCGTCTAGGAATGATCTCTTTGACGCTGTTCAGGACGGTATACTGATCTGGTAAGTTTCCGGTCGTGTTTTCACGCTGAAAAACTAATCACTGGTCTTGCAGCAAACTGATCAACGTACCATCGATGAGAGGGCTCTCAGTATGAAAATCTCAATACTTGGGAAAAGGTCGAGAATCACACACAAAGGCAATTGGTTGCTCGATTGTGGAACATTGGAACCGAAGATTTGATCGCTGGAAGAGTTTCCATTTTATGCGCAAAAACTTTTTGACTGATCTTGTTTTTGTCTATGCAGTCTCGCTTCGTCCTGAGCATCAGTGTTTTGTCAGATTCAATTCCTTTCTGGCGTCAAGATGAAAGCGGCACCAGAGCTCGCGGAGATGGTAAACGATACAGAGGTAATAAAAAATGAATCTGTGTGAAAATTCTAAAGTTTCTGGAGTTTGTAGGATATAGAAGGGCTTCTTCGTGTTCCAGCTCAAGAGGTTTTGTTTAAATCGGTCAACTAACACCTGCAGAAGGCTGGATCTCCCAGAGAAATTACTAACTTTTCGTCAGATCTTACGGTAGAGACCAACGAACTGGGAACACTTTAAAACTGACCAAGGATGGGGAAACATACACCGTACTTCTAAACGTCTTGGCTCCTGAGAGCTGCGATTTGTCTCCGCTAGATCTCCAAGATCCATACGATAGAACAAAAGCAGTGCTTGCTCAGGGATGGAGGCGCAAAAGCTCGAGTAAGATGATACAAACTACCAAAATAGAATCTAGTCTACACACAAGAATATACGCGGATGCTCTGGGCTAGGGTTACTGGGAATCACAGGCTCCGCCACGATGATCCGGTGGCGGCGGCGCGGGAAGAGCGGCAAGAGTGGCGGCGGTGGCATTGCGGAGAGATGGCGGCGCCGGCGATCATCGCTGGATGAGAGCGAGCAGCAGCAGCAGCAGAATTTGGATTCCCAGGATCGATTCGCTTGTGCGCGTCGGATCGGATGATGAAGCGAGTGGGCAGCTTTGCAAAGGATGTGACGCCCAATTCGTGCGTCAGTGTGTGTGGGGTCTCTCGATCCGTTTGTTCTACACAGCATCACGTCCCCAATTGGAACGATGTTTGTATTCGACGATGCCAGAGCGAGTGCCTAAGATCATGAGGGAGCTATCAATGCAGAGAAATGAGGGCTCTTGTAAGCTTACTGTGATCCCAGCACTGCTTGCGCCTTGTCGGTCCATTTTGTGACAAGATCAAGACACTCCTCGGCTCCATCAGAGTAGCGAAACTCTGGATTCTTGCTCTTGCTCGTGACTTCCGATCTGCGAGAGGAGATCCTGGTACGAGCTCATGCACTCCATGATCTTGCCACTCCACTTGTACCTATAGGCAGAAATAAATTACAGGTACCTCACACCCAGAGCGGCTCCGCAAACTTGAATCTTGATCTCTGCCATGAAAGGTATTGAATTTCAGGCCCACCTCGCTCTTGATAAAACTTCTTCTTGTTCCAGGAATGGTTTGACAGCCAACAACAGCCTCACTTACGCTGAATTAATTCAGGATCATGAGCAAGACTCGAGAGACGAGCGGGTTTTTCGTGTGTGGATCAATAGCCTTGGTACAACAAGTATGGAGTTGCAAGGTAACAAACTTTTCTGTGAACTAATGTTTACCAAGACACAAGTGGAACTGGAACTTACAGGACAAGAGCTTATCATTCTTCTCTGGACTGTAGAACCACGCGTTGTAAACTGGCGGCTCGTGACCAAATAGGCAAGCAACGAAATGAATGCTGGATCGATATAATCCTATGAATTCCAGATGAAAACGCGGTCAGTGCGGCCAGGAAGCTCGGCTGCAGCGTGTTCTTGCTGTGGGATGAGGTACTTGTTTTTCCAGCTTTGTTAATTTGCTTTCGCCAAGATGGTGATGATCTTGGTAGCCACCGTGATGCTCTGGAATCTGGCTGAGAAGGCTAGAAAAGCTTCTAACACTGCTGCTGTCCACAACGGGTCTTCTTACAGCCACAGGGACGCGTGACGTGACGCGTCCATAACGTCGATTGCGCGAGCGATCAGGTAAAGCAGAAAAAGGAGGAAAGAGATCTCTTTGAGCAAAACAGCAGGGTTTTCGCAGGCAAGGCTAGCTAATTTCTGGATTCGCTGCCAGAGACAATCTGGCCTGCTAAAATCCCATTCAAGACACTGAAAGACACATGTATTTGTAGTAAGTTTCTAGCTCCAAACTGGATACTGGGGAAGAACAGTTAAGAAGCGATGGACGCTCAAAGCAGTATGACAGTCGGACTTGTCACTCACCATCTGCGACAACAAACTCTCGAGAAAATTCGACTCTCTCGCTGGTGCAATTTGCCTCTCGGCACACCCATTTGCTTCTTGTGTACCAGACGAGATGCATGTCAGCCTCGAGACGAAGGTTGAACCGGAGTGGAAACCTGGATGCCATGCTTGTGGGCAGATGCCACACAGTGATGGGAAAGTCTTCCACACTGATACTTCTGCGCCCTCCTCGCAATGGCGGCTATAATATAGTTGCCGGAAAACATATGAAACTAAAAAAACGTAACGTTTTAAACGCGTTAAAAAACGCCGTTCTAAACTCCCGACGCGTTTGCACTATTTGCGAAAAGAGACAAAGGTTTCTTTAGGGTTTCTTTAGGGTTTCTTCAGGGTTCATGTAGTCATTGGAGGACGCCGCGAATGCTGGAGCTGGAAGCATGTGATACGAGCAGAGCGGCACTGGACATGTAAGTATTGTCATGAGATTCACACTGGGGGAGCGGAGCGAGTGCGAGCACATCTTGCTGGAGTTTGGGCAAGAGGTGTGAAAACGTGCAAGGCAATGAGGGAGATCCCTTATGAAGTTCTTAAAAAAGCTCACAGCAGTTTTTCTGATTTTGAGCTTGCAGGTTGCTTAGAAGCTGGAGAGTGAAGGTTTGAGGATGCTGGAGATTGATATAGACAAGCTGGAGTTGGAGCCTCATTGGAAGAGGATTTTGGATCTGCAAGAAGCTTTTGAGGAACTAAATTAGGCTGCTGAGGAGTTTAGCTTCGATGAAGGAATGGAAGATGATTCGAATCAAAAGACAACTAAAATAGCTTCTTTTTTCATCGACTAAAACGGCTTCTTCTTTCATTTGTTTTAGTATGTTATTCGGTTGGGTTTTATAAACTTAATATCAGATTAAACTGTCTTTAGTAAATATTAGTGTTTTCTTAATCATTTTAGGCTTTAACATGTAAACGTTTGATTGTCCTGAAAAAAACGTTTTAAACGGCGTTTAAACGTGGACGCGTTTGAACGTTTGCACGTCTAGCTGCAACTATGATATGGATCACGCCCAGATGAAAAGAAGAGTAAAAACATGATTTACCTTAAGAGAGCCAAGGCCAGAGTATGGTTTGGATGGATTATACTTCATCCCATTGTGATTCCAGCGAAGGAGATTCCACTCGAGCTTGGCGGTGTTCCCTGGATCTCCAACACTGATGGACTCGCACTCCATTGGCTCTTGAAGTGACCGCCCCCATGATTTCTTTAATCTGAGCGACAGTGCCCATAGATTAAATCGAGCTCCAATCTCGTTGTCGCTGCTCGTGGTGCGCGTGCTGGAATTGGCACGGGAATTCTTGTCATAGATAGCATTGACAGGGCTCTTCATCTCGTCAAGCTGTGGATCGATCCAGAGTTTGATGCGGTAGGGGTAGAATCCCAGGGCGTCGGAGTTGATGATTACATCGTTGTCGCCCACTCCCACAAAGAGGTTCTTGATCTCCTAAGCAACTTCGAAGTTGGCACAGCTCTCCCGTACGTAGGGCAGGATCACCATGGCAATGTCCACGAGCTGATGGCTCTTGGGCATTCCGTTAGATTAAGGCATAGCCGGCCGAGCCGTGTCGAGTCGGATGGAACCTTTGTGTTGATTTGAAAGCACTTGCATTTCTTCCAGGAAGATTCATAAATTGGGCAATAAATCATGTTGCAGATCTACTTGCAAGAATGGAATCTATCTATCTATTGATCTGTTTTTTTGGGTTGGGGATTATATACCAAGAGAGAGCGTGCTTGTATATAAATTAAAGTTTTTGGGTTAATTTATGAATCTTTCTAGAAGGAAAACAAAGGTTCAGCTTGACCTGCTGCTATATTCCTAGTCAGATGCCCAAGAGCCAACTTGGTTAAATAGTGTTGTTCACTTTGGAGTTTTGGCTACAACTCATCAATATATTATAATAAGGAGGGAGTGCTGTGCTGCCAAATGTTAATGAATAATCTTGTGCTCCCAGCCAATGGGAGGAGGCCAAGCTGCATGGGGTGAAGGTGTAGTGACATGTGTTACATACAATGTATTGACTCAAGTGAATTGTTTTTCTTTTGTAATGTTTTTCTAAGGTTTATGAAATGGCAAGACATCCCCTATTGCTGCTGCTGATTCCCAATCCAAATTTGATTCGCGATCCAAATCTGAGTTGCTGGAACAAGCCGCACTTTCTTCTAATGTCTTCCATTTTACTTTTTTTTCTTCTTCTCAAATGCTTCAACTTTTGGCGTCTTTTCTTGCTGTTTTTGTTCTTTTCCTAATTTGGTTTTTGCGATACTTTGTGGTGTTTTTGCTCTTGAGAACCCCATCACAAGTTTTCACTTTCTTATGCTCTCAACTTAACAGTTTTCTTTTCTTTTTTGGTTTTTCTTTCTACAGGAGAAATACTAGCAACGAGACCATGATGCTCAAATCTCAAAGTTATTCCAATCATCTAGTACTTGCTTTTTTTTATCTTGCTCTCAAGACGTGCTCCTGTCTTCTGAAAAAATGCCAGTAATTTTATTTTTTTCTTTTGTCCTTCAAGAAAGACCGAGTGTTTTTTTTTTTCCCCTCTAGATTGGAGCTGGCTCGATGCATTGCAGATCCTTCGTGCACTGCCAACGTTGCATGTTTACAAACTTGTAACAATTGACTTGATGAGACCGAGTGCCAGGTAAGTCTCAAGATTTTGTGTATGGGCAGTTATTTGGAATCTAGAGGGGATTTTAGGCCTTCTTTGTGTATGGGCAAAGAATGGAAGTGGGAGGAGGCCACTGTGGGAGCTGTTGCCGGGGTTGCCACCGTCGTAGCTTTGTATGCCTTCTCTTTGGTTTCTTTTCTCTCCTTTGCAAGTGGTGTTTCTTCACACTGTGGTTGAAATCATTTTGTTCATCAGTACAAGAGCACTGCCAATGCTTATCACGTGAACAGAGGTCTAGAAATCAAAAGTTTTTTACGCAAGGTGACCTTTTTACCTTCCTTCTGGCAGGGTGTATTTCCCAGTCCTTCCACCCTCGGGCTTGCAGTGCAAGCGGGCAAGCTGGGATCGCGTGTCCAAGCAGAGAATGTGGCAGGACGTGGATTACTGTGGATTTCAATGCTTCAAACAAGGTTCGTGAATGATCGGAAGGAAGGGAAATAAGAGAAGAAATCTTTTCTTTTTTCGCTAGAATGCTGTGCTCAATGTGCTTGTGGGTCTGACGCCTCTACGGAGCAAAAGACCAAGAAGTGGTATGTCTATCTTTGCTTTGACAATCTTAAACACTCAGCTTTTTTTCATTTTGTTCTTCTTTTCCTAGATGAATATTTGAACCAAGAAGCAGAGAATGGAAAGACATTGTCTCTGCGACAGCGTGTTATGTCCCCACCATGCTTCCGGAACCATTTTGTTAATAGTGATGTGTTTCCTGAGAGAGCTAGGCAGGGTATGTTGTTATTTTTCATTTTTCTTTCATAACTTTGGTATTCTCATACAAGATGTGTCTCCACTTTTGGCTCTTCATCGTGTTACCGTGAGGAGTTCCATCAAATCAAGGTATTTGTGGTGCATAGAATTTGTATGATCTTCATTCGTACTCCACTATCAGGAAATAGGACAAGGCGATTTCAGCTATGTTTATAAAGTTCTCAAAAGACTTGACGGCTGCCTTTATGCTGTAAAGCATTCCAATCGGCATCGGCTAAATGAGGGAGATCATTTTGTCACTATATTCGAGAGACTATGGTATTGATTTGGCAAATTTTTCTCTTTGCAAGAGGAAAGCACTGAGAGAAGTTTAGGCACTTTCATGTCTTGGTGAGTTGGCTTTTTTCTTTCAGTATTACTACTGGCTTCCTCAAAACTTATCCAGCTTCTAGGTTACCATGAAAACGTAGTGTCCTACTTCTCTTCATGGTTTGAATGACTTTTTGTATATCCAAATGGAGCTGTGTGAGACAAATCTACGAGACAAGAGCCTTGCATGGACATTCATGGAGAAGAAGTTGCTTGAGGCAATTTTTCAAGTAAGCAGCTCAATTGTGTTTTTTTCTTAGTTTGTCATGCATGGCAGCTTTTAAACGCTTTGAAGCACTTACACTTGCATGGCCTTGCTCACCTGGATGTGAAGCCCAACAATATCTACATCTGCAATTGTGTCTACAAGATTGGCGACTTTGGCCTTGCCAGTCATACTGGGGAAGGTCTCCAAGAAGCGATAAACGCTCAAAGCAGTATGACAGTCGGACTTGTCACTCACCATCTGTGACAACAAACTCTCGAGAAAATACGACTCTCTCGCTGGTGCAATTTGCCTCTCGGTACACCCATTTGCTTCTCGTGTACCAGACAAGATGCATGTCAGCCTCGAGACGAAGGTTGAACCGGAGTGGAAACTTGGATGCCATGGTTGCTGGCAGATGCCACACAACGATGGGAAAGTCTTCAACATTCATACTTGTGCGTCCTCCTCGAAATGGCGGCTATATGGATCACAGTCACATGAAAGAAAAAGAGTAAAAACATTTTACCTGGAGGGAACTGAGGCCAGAGTATGGTTTCAATGGATTATACTTCGTCCCATTGTGATTCCAGCGAAGGAGATTCCACTTGAGCTTGGCGGTGTTCCCTGGATCTCCAACACTGATGGACTCGCACTCCATTGGCTCTTGAAGTGACCGTCCCCATGCTTTCTTTAATCTGAGTGACAGTGGCCATAGATTAAATCGAGCTCCAATCTCGTTGTCGCTGCTCGTGGTGCACGTGCTGACGGGAATTGTAGTCATAGATAGCAATGATAGAGCTCTTCATCTCGTCAAGCTGTGGATCGATCCAGAGTTTGATGCGGTAGGGGTAGAATCCCAGGGTGTCGGAGTTGATGATTATATCGTTATCGCCCACACCCACAAAGAGGTTCTTGACCTCCAAAGCAACTTCGAAGTTGGCACAGCTCTCCCGTACGTAGGGCAGGATCACCATGGCAATGTCCAGAAGCTGCTGGCTCTTGGGCATACCGTTACAAAGATCAGGGCATAGCCGGTCGAGCTGTGTCGAGTCAGATGGCATTTGTTCCAGGAAGATTCATAAATTGGGCAGTAAATCCTACTTACAAGAATCTAGGTTTATGGTTTGGGGATTATATACCCACTACTAAGGCATAGTTGACTAAAAATTAAATTTGTCTATTTTAAATAATATATATTATTAAACTTTTTAATAGTAATTGTCATCCACAGTCCCCAATCTGATGAGGGGATGATTTGATGATTCGAGGGTGACATAAAGTTTTCAAAAGTTACATGTGTCAAAAATGACCATGCAAAGTCAATTGCTACTGTCCAAGAGATCAATTTCTCAAATAAATCCATTAAAAAACAAAATTACATAGTGATCTAGAGATGAATTATACGCCCAAACACGGATTATAATGTTTCATGATGCATCCTCTTCTAATCCTGATTTATTTTTGCTAATAGTATCATGTCTATTCATCACATCAATTTAACACACTAAATCTAACTCAAATAAATTTTCTTTGGATGAAAAGTTATTTTACTATGAATGCTTATTCTAATAAATTTGATTGATTACAAAAGTAAAAACCAAAAAGATTTGCAAGAACTTCCATTTGAAGAAATTTTGGTGGCAATTACATTTCCAACAACATGCCCATAAACCTTCTCTGCTTACATAGTTTTCATTATGTTGTTTGTTTTTTTTTTTTGTTCCTGGAAATTCTTACAATTCTTTATGCCAGTGGCATTTGGATATTGCTAGATCATCAGTGAAAACATTGATTATAACCACATGCAAATCTCTAATTTTCCCACACTTGAGATATAATAACATGCTCTTTAAGTTTTGGTATTAATTTAAAGGTTATAAGTGAAATTTAGCAAGAGGTTTGTTGTGGAGATCCTAGAAAGTACCTTAGCATAATAATTGAAAATGCAAGAAACTTAATGAGGGCAGCAAACATTAAATTTGCAAGGTAGTTATTTTTTGCATTTTGTAGAGCAATTGTTTTTTTCCTTCTTGATGGGAAGGGTGAATATTACAATATTATGCAAGATAAAAATTAACTTATACTTCCCAATATATAAATATTTATATATGAAAAACACTTTTAATACAATTGATTCAATCACATAAAATCCTTCTTTCCTTCTTTTGATGCCATACATCATAAATATGCCCTTAAATTTGCACCTTATAAAGCCCTGCAAAAATATATTTACCTTGCATTTGGAGACTAGTTTTTAATTTACTTTGTTACTTGAAGGACATGTTCAATTTTCACCTTGCACTAATAAAGTATAAAAATATTTTAATGTTGCCACTTGCAGAACAAAACAAATTTGTATATTGCAATATAGATAATATTCTATTGAATATTATTAACAATATAATCAATAAAGTCAGTGACAGAAATAACATGGGATTGAAGCATTCTTTGCTATTGCTAATGGGAGGGAGAAAAGGAAGATAAATTAGCAAAATATGGTAATGCAAGAGATTTATGATTCCTCTTTGGTGAAGGACTTGAAATTATATTAAAGGATGAAGATAGAAGAAAAAACTAATACTTCAACTAATAAGAAGAAAAATAAAATATTCAAAACTGATGGAAATTTAAGTTTCTTTGGGTGTATTTTATGAAAGGCAAGTAGAGGATAAAATATATAACATGTGTATATGCTAGAAAGGATAATCATTTTAGTAAAGAAGATTCTTTGAGTTTTCAAAAACCAGTTTTTAAAGAACATAATAGTTCTGAATAATATCAACAAGTTATGTTTATTTGGGAAGCAAAGAAAAAAAAATAGCTATCTATCCCTAAGTGTGTTGCTACTCAAGAGGATCAGTATAAGAATAGATTGATTTCCTTAATGCAACACATGTACTTCATTGTGGAAAAAGGATTACCATTAAAAAGCTATGAATCTTTATATAAATTTAGCAGGTTTATGGGAATGCCCCATATGCTAAGCACCACAAAATATGAAACTTCTGTAAATACTATGAGTGGAAAAGAGTTTGTAAAATATATAAAAATTAAAGACTTTTCCTAAGACATTTAAGTTAGTCCTTGCTTTTATATTATAGTGAATGATAGTACTAATAGAATTTTGGAAGCTTATCTTATCATATACATCTCTTTTCATATGCAAAAAAAGAACAAAGTTTGAATAAAATTTTATTTCTAAAATTGATAGTAACTGAAAATTCTATTATTATAAGTAAATATAAAGCCACCAAGAAGGTTTTAAAAAATATGAACCTTAAGAAGGGAAAATGTGTTGCTATTGGAATTAATGGAGCTTCTATTATGGTTGGAGAATAATTTAATCAAATAGTAAGATTGAAACAATATATTTGACATTTGCTTGGAGTGCATTGTTTAGTTTATAGATAAAGTTTAATAGTTATTGAAGCTGTGCATGCATTTCTTGAGCTTATGGTTATTGAAAAGCTATGCAATCAAATTTATAAATGGTTATATGCTTTTGGAAAAAGAGTTATAGCTTTTAAGCTTTGAGAAGATGCCATGAATATATCTATATTAAGTAAATTCATGATGTACATTGGTTACAATATGGGGAAGTCTTAGAGAAAATGATCATCATAATGCTAATTCTTCTTACAAAATTTCAATTTTCTTTTATGAAGATATACCATCTTTTGAGAAATTATACAGTGCAATTTGCTATCCATATGGTAACTGCTATACTTTTGGAATTAAATATCTTGAAAAAAACTTTCAAGTTGAAATTGTGGATATTGCTAGCATTGTTAGGTATTAATCAAAAATTTCTGAAAGAAACTCTTGGTGTGAAACAATTGAGTAATTTTGTAGAGGCTACTAAAGATGGATTTATGAAATTTGTAAAGCTAGAAGGGAACAACATAAGCATGTTTTTTATTATACTCCTATTTTAGAGAGCAAAAGAAATAATAACTTCAATTCTTGCTTACATTTAAGCAAGAAGTATGTTTAAAAACCATATGTTAATATATTGACTAAAATGGGAAAGAATATAAGCATGTTCAATGCATGGCTAGATATTTTACTAAATCATTACAATGCTTTTATCGATTATGAAAAATGTAAAAGAGAACTCATAAAGTTTGTAATTGTTATGCAAAGTAATTTGCCAACAAAAAATAGGCTAGTCTCTTGGCAAATATGCAAAGATGATATTTCCATAATAAATATATATCTTAATTTGATGGAACTGTGAATTTTTTTTTTTGATATCTATAATCATAGAAAATGACTTGAGAAACAATCCATAAAGGTTCAAATATAAAAGGAAATATAAAAGTGCACATTTTTTCCAATCGGTTAAAGGTTTTGGGATATTTAAAATTAAATGTCCTTGGATTTGAATAGTATTGAGTTTACTCTCTAAAAATTGAAACTGTAAATGATTTGATGTTCATGGTGATGATGATTACAACAAAATTAATTAAGGACATGCTTATGATGCATGGCATCAAGAGAAAGAAAGAAGAATTTTGTGTGATTGAATTAATTGTACTCAAAGAGTTTTTGATATATAAATATCTATATATTGGGAAGTGTAAGTTAATTTTTATCTTATATAATAAATTCACCCTTCCAAAATAAAATTGCATTGCAAAATGCAAAACTTCACCCTACAAATTTAAGTCCTAAGTCTGATAGATTAAACAGGTCCATCATAGATTAAAGGCATCCCTGTGGTCGATCTGATCAAGGCTGGTGCAAGCTCCTGATGGACCCAACTTATGCTTGAAATGGACTCGACAATGTAGATCTCTATAGAGCCACTCATGTCTCATTTCATGTCCATAGGTTCAAACTTTGGCTTGCTCCATCGAAGCAATAGTATAGCTGCATCCTGACTTAAGAGATTGGGTCTGCACTTGCTGGCAAGATCAGTGCACTACTATTACCTTTGGAGCTGTGGGACAACCATGGAGGATCGATTTCTAGGACTCAGCTCGTTATGGTCACAACTCGTGGATCTCTACCATCATCCTTCCACATCTCCACATGCGCCATATCCCTAGAGACAATTTGAGAAACCTTCGGTATAAATATAGACTGGCCTACCTAAAACAGCCGCTGCTCGGCTTTCCTTCTAGTCGTGAGGACGTCTTGGATGGTGGTTGCGAGCTTTGGATGATCATCTCTCGTGAAGCTATTTATCTAGGAATGTGATTGCAAGCCCAAAATTCGGCAGATCTTTCCAGCTGGGGAGCGTGAAATTCTGTGCAGCATAGTTTTGAGAAAGAATGCGGTTGGCCCATCTTCTTGAGAGTTCAAATCCAAGTAACTCCACAAACATATCCTGGTGCATGTCAATTTATCCTTCCAGGACCGGTGGCGACTTTGATGTGGATTTTCCTTTTAGTGGCATCTCCAGCGATTGTGAAGACACCGGCATTTGGCTTCAGAAGGCTTGTCAATCCTGGTTAAACCATGACAAGTGAAAACTTAAGTCACATATAACTCAATCATAGCAAAACTGGCACAGCTCACAATGGTAGACGATGTTTTCGATTGCCGCGAAGTTTCCCAAGTCAAAATGTTCGAGTATATTCTTAAATGCTATATTTTACAAAAATATATAAAAATTATAAGGATATTCTGTTTTTTTGGTGTGGAGATCTCGAGAATTCCCCATGGAGGAGCTCCGGGAGCTATGTAGATCCGGCAAGGACGTGAAGCTAGGCGATGCCGAGGTATGGGAGGAAGATCCATCAGAGCTCGCCATAGCCAAGCAAATCCTAGAAGAACACTTCTACGTTCAAGACCCCAGCGATCCATCCCTCTTCGTCCTGCCCAAGATCAAGACCAAGAGATTAGTCATCGATTCTTCCTCCGCTGGATCCTCCCCCTCCTCTCTCCTCTTCCCTACTTCCATTCCCCAGATCGACTACACGGCTCCGCCACTATCCTCCTCGGACGATCGTAATGCCGGGCATCCACTCTACCGCATCGCCGGCGATGGCGACGGATCATCGTGGCGGCCGTGCCATTGCATCCAGCTCGACAGCAGGAACCCCAGCTCCCCCCAGGTACGCATCGCGATCCCGGCCGCGATCCAGCACAAAGTCCGCGAGCAGCGCGTGGCAATCTCACTGGCGATCGAGCCCAGCGTCCGCATCACGCCCGCCAACGTGGATGTGGAGCTCCGGATCAAGACCCTCTCGGTGGGCGTGCTCTTGATGGACGTGCTCAAGAACGAGGCCGCGCTGGGGTTTTACCCCTGCCGGATAAGATTCTTGGTCGAGCCACTGCTGGGCGATCCCAGCGCCGTTGCGATCCCGCTCTACACGCCCAGGAGCGATCGCGGCGGTGGATCTAGCAGCGGGAGCACGAGGACGAGGAGCAGTGCTAACAAGGTTGGCGCTCAGGTTGGATTTGGGCCCGTGACGATCAGTGGCGAGAGGAGCTGGGGGGTGGAATTCGAGGAATCCACGGAGAGGGAGATGATCAGTGCTGGGGATTGGGGGGGCGTGGAGGATGAATTGGGGTCTGGGAACACCGCGGTGTTTGAGTGGAGGCTCTTGCGATGGAGCCACAATGGGGTGAGGTACAATGCGAACAAGCCACACTCTGGATTGAGCTTATCTACCAAGTCTCTCAAGGTTCGTCCTCCATAGCCAACCATCTCTCTTCTCTCTCTCTCTTTGCATTGCATGGAGGGTCTCTTTCGTTTTTTTCCCTTTCCTAGGATCTTTTGATGGATCGATGGAACTCTTCTTTGTTTCCAGGCCCCATTTCCAGGAGGAAGCACAGGAATCAAAGTGGAAAGCTTTCCCGACGTCATGTGGCATCTCCACCCGAGCATGAGATCAAGGTTTCCGCTCCAATTCAAGCTCCAGTTGGAGGTGGAGATGCATCTGCTGTGGTTTGTGGGAAGAAATCGGCTGTTCCGAGTGGCCGAGTGGAGCAGCGAGGCATTTGAGTTTCGGCATGACTTTGTAGTTACTGATGGTGTATTCTCCACTGTCACCTGAAAATGGAATATTTGTGTTAAATAAGGGGGATGCTTCTTACGGAAAATAGAACAATACAACCTTATTGATTCAATTAAATCTATACTACCGACCACATATTCCAACATATATCCTGGAAAGAGCTGGCTCTGGACCTCAAGAAGGAAGGATCTTTGGTGAATTACAAGGGAGTGTTGCTCTTCACAGGCATAGTAGATTGCATTTTTCTTAACCCAAGCGGATCTGATCTCCAAGACCTGATTTGCTTTCTTAGATGTGTATAGTAAATTAATGGTTTTGATTGAGAATGTTGGATTTGGCAAGCAAAAAACAAAAACATTTAGTAATTGATTATAATTAATAAAAACACAACAGAAAATATTACTATTTTTCTCAGTCCACTGAAACATTAACAGATAAGCTTCCATCATGTAATATAACATAACCACCCTTTGATGTTCTTGAATGCAAACAGACATTATATATCCAATTAAAAGCTTGTTCGATTTCTTGTTGAAAACCACCCAAACCAGTAGAGGATCTATGTACTACAATAGTAACATTAATTCCCTTATAAGAATGACTATATTGTCCATTTTTCCAATTATTATTAAAAAATGCGTTTTTGACACGATTTGTAACTTTGCAATAATTTTGAGGTGGGGGTGTAGCTCGGCTACCAATAAATATACACTCTTGAGTTGCTTCATTTGGTAAATATGCTAATGTAGTTCTATTAAATATAAATAAAAAATAGACAAAAGTAGATAATATAACCATCATATTTAAAAAGTAAATAATAATATGTTAATTTAATTTATATTAAAATCTAGAAAAAATAAACAAAATATATAAAAAACAAAAAAATCTCATATTTTACCTATAAACCAAATATACAAAGAATAAAAAACAAAATATAAAGCTAGCCGTTAAATATAATTATATTGTTGGTCTTAGGTTTGAAAATACAGGTCATATAGAACTAACTTATATAACACAGTTACGGAAGTTATAAAACCATGAAGATACATTTCAGTTAGAAACCTGGTCCTTTAGTATATCTAATTTCTTTTTCTCCAATTTTTATTATCAGTTTCATAGTAAACCAATTGCTATTAATCAGCCTTTAAAATAAAGTCGATCGTGTTGTAAACCCTAAAACTTCTAGTTCTTCGCATTAGAAGGTAAAATTTTGGTTTTATTGGAGCTTTAGTGCTGTTCGTCGGATTGGTCCAACATAGCTGGTGGATACTACTGTTTGCGTTCTTGTGGATTTTTCAGCTTTCTGTTTTTTATTTCCTTCCTTGACAGTGTTAAACAGCCAATCTTTCACGAGAGTCCACAAATGGCATTTGAATATCGTCGCAATGCGGTGCTAAGTGTAAACCTGGATGAACAAGAGCGTCGGAGCAGCCTGGCCACTATGTCATTTACTGAGAGCCAGAAATTTACTCCAATCATGCGCTTCTAAACAGGTTCTGGATCGGTCATTCACTTCTATTTTATACATCGTGGGGAGGAGAACTGGTACAATCGGACCCCTGAAGCTTGTGACCATGAGAAGATTTGGAGTAATCCGTGGACTATAGATCGAAGCACACTTCTGTATAGTTCTATAATATTAGAAGTGGATCTATAAAAACCATTGGCTACAATCCAACTAGAACCCCAGTTCTTATAACAAAGGTGATGACTCGGAAATGCTTCTCACCGGCAATCAAAGTTTAAAGGTGTCGAATGAGAGTGGAAGCATGAAATGGTCTAAGAAGGTCATGATAATGTGAAGCGAAGAAGAGTTGGAAGTCACACAAACAATTAAGGTCACTGTGTTATCTTAGAATCTACAATGTAGAATGAAATTTAGTTCACCAACTTTTTATATAATCTAAAGAATATATGCACTGCCCTAATTAGGGCTAGAAACCGCCACATCAACATGCCGGCTGACATGCAACGTGGCAAACAAGGCAGTTATTCCAGTTTTTTTTATTGCTACTCCAAATTGCTGGCTTCCCCAAATGCTGGAGGAGCAAACGCCTCGCATTCCCAACGCCCTTCTCTTCCTCCTCCACCGCCTCTATCTTCTTCTCCTCTTTCTCCCCCTCTTGATCTTCCTCGCGGCCTCTCTCCTGGAAGAAAAAAGATATCTTCTTTGCACATCCGGATGACGAGCATCAGTTACTGAGAGAGAGAGAGAGAGAGATAGCAGGCAAATCCAATCCAACCTCCTCTTTCCTTCTTCTACTCCTTCGCTACGTGTTCTCCCTGTTCTTCGTCTTCTCCTCCCACCCCAATCTCTTCCAGGAATTCATGCAATCGCTACGATGGACGACAATGGTGAAACGACCTCTGATCCCACACAGGCGGGGGAAGCCACCACCACCACTACCACCACCACCACCACCACCGCCGCCGGAAACACTCTGAGCCCAGCGCCGCCACCCACGGCAGCTCAAGCGGTGCAAGCGGCGGTGGCAGCAGCAGCTCCAGCGGCACCGAGATCATCGTCACTTCACTCGGCTGGCGGACGGAATCCAATAAAAAAGAGGAGCCGGAGCGCTCCCTGGACAGTTCCTGAGATGCTGACTCTGATCGACGCAAAGCGGAAGGAGCGAGAGTGGTGTCAGATGTACAAGCGGGGTGTGAAGCTACCGGCAGCGGAGAGATGGAGGATCGTAGCAGCACATATGGAGGCCAAAGACATGGGACGAACGGGGAGCCAGTGCCAGGACAAGTGGGAGAACATGATGAAGGACTACAAGGCAGTGCGGGACTGGCAATGCATGATAGGCGGCGCGGCCAAGAACTACTTCAAGGACATGACCAACAAGGAGAGGAAGGATGCGAACCTGCCGCCGCAGATGGACGAGATTGTCTTCTACAGCTTGCACGCCATCCAGAGCGAGAAGGAGGAGAAGAAGGAGATCGACCGCATGCAGAAGAACGGCTACATGAAGCTGATGCCACCGTCGCCGGGGATCTCTCCCTCGGAAGGTATTTGCCATCCTCCTCCCCCTGAAACAAATCTATGCCATCAGCAACAGCACCATCAACAGCAGCAGAGCCAGCTAGTGTTGCAGCAGCAGCAGCAACGGGAGAACACTCAGCCTCCTCTCGTCGTACCTTTGGTGCAGCACAAGGACAAGGAGGGCAGCGATGAAGCTGATGTGAATTCCATCGACTCGGACACCAGCGGCAGGAAGAGGGCCAGGAGGCTAGTAATGGACCATCACCAGCAGCAGCAGCAGCAGCAACAGCCAGCTTCGGTCTTCGCGGAGAACCCGGTGGTGTTCGACAATTTTGTACATGCTAGTAGCAAGGACGGCTCCAAGGAGTTCATTGACTGCTTCATGAAGGTGTTAGAAAAAAGTGACAGAAGCCCGGACACGACGACTACCGAGACCAAGAAGAAAAGTAAAGACACTGCACTACTTACCCGTGCATTGGTGGCTCTCGCAGATGCGGTGAAAATGGTAGCACAGAAACTATGAAGCCTTCAATCCTTTGATGAGGCAACCAAGAATCGAAAGAGCAGAGACTGGACAATTCAAAAGCGATTAGTTTGTCTTCATAGGAAAATGGAGGAGGTTTATTTACCAGAGCGCAGACCCCTAGATCTGTGCCAGAACGGTGGATATCAATAAGAATGGCAGAGAAGTGGGAATGTACAAATCCGTTCTAGAAGTCCAGCTTTCCTGCAATAGAAAAACGAATCATTCCGTGAAGTATAAAGTCCACCAATTTACCTATGCTATAAATACTGAAGAAGTTGCTGATTTTCCCTTCGAAGTGTCTTAATTTCGTCCATGAGCTCGTTTTGCTTCGTTAAAACTTTGTTCATCAATACATTCATCTCACTCTGCAATAGGTACGTGTCAAGAGCAACCAACCACAACAAAACAAAACAGCACCTGTTGAATATGAAACTGCCGAAGAAGCTCCAGGTGCAAGTTGTGTACATCTTCATGAATAGACTTATGAACTCCACTAAGACTTTCTTCGAGAGCTCGCTGAACAAGTTGAAGCCCAAAGGCCGGAGGTGCTGGCTGCTGTGGAGAGCGCTTATAAGAAGCTTGGGGTTGCGTCTGTTCAAAACCACACATAAATAATCAGTAAGTTTCGTTTCTTGCAGTTATAAAGTCCTTACAGTTGACGCTGTGAAGTCGTGCCGTAGATCCATTCCGTTCTCCCTGATCTCATCAGTCCCTGGTTGCTCTTCTGTCAAGCCTCTCCGGTTAGCCAGTAACAACTGCTCTGCAAGAGCAGTAGTGTCCCAGGAGAGGCTCCTCTCCGGTGGTGCATATGATTCAGGATTGACAGCTTTTTGCTCGGCTGGAGAGAGCTTAACGGGAGAACGAGTGGCTGAAACGGTACGCGCATCCACCCGAACATGTCCGGATAAAGCTGCACTTGCACTAGTTGTCCCCGAAGCAAATCTGGATGTTGAGTGCAATCGAAGCGATCCCCTGTCGGCAATCACATCACCTCCCCATGCCTCTGGCGGTGTCACAGACGGCGAACGAGTTTCTCTTACCGCTGGAGGAGTAGCAGCAAGAGACGAGTCCTGTTAATGAATAAAGTTCCCATTAAAAAACATGAACTTCAGAAAGCCAAATAGTACCTGGAATGTTTCTCTGCTGCTATCTTCGAAGGACGGGAGTTTATAAGCTCCCATTGAATACTTCAAGAAACCATCTCCTTCATAATTTTTGGCACCGGTATCCCAGTTCTTTGTAGCTGATGGCATTATAGGCTGCACGTCCACCAAGGGTGAAAACACTTCCATGTCGTCTCTCATAAAATCGTTCCGTGAAATTTGCAACCGGGAAACATTTCCGTTTGTGAGCAAATAATTGCTCGGTGTTTCTTCACCTGTCGGTGGTCTTAGAATTGCTCCCTCGGAGCCTAAACTCGAGCGCCCAGCGTTTCTCAATGGCATCGCCTCAGTTTTAGAACGACCACGACCAATGCTCGGAGGAAGAGGATCTGGCATTATGACGGGGTCATCCCGACCAGGTCCTAACAGTGCCATTTCCATTGTCCAGGATTTTTCATTCACTTGAATGGGGTTGGACCGTTGCCAGCTTAAGCTCGTGACAGCCTGCACGAAAAAGAAATTACAGTAACAAAATTCGACACCAATTAACCCACCTTAGATGCACCATAAGCACGTAGTGCCATAGATGGTTGAGGTTTGCCACCGCGAATGTCATAAAACACAACGCGGCCGTCGTTTGTACCAGCAGCTAAGATGACACCATCGTCCCGAAATGCTGCTGAGCTGTAGGGTGTTTCACAAGCAACGGAGTGAACTGGCCTTTTCACCCCTACGTCGAAAATGTACAGTTTCTTGTCAAGTCCAACGCTCGCTACTACCTACACAGAAGAGATTGCTTAGATGGCGTCAATAGAGGTAAATGCGACCTTATCATTTGGTGGAGAAAAGCACACGCCTGTTGTTGGGGCAAGGTGCTGCTTAATCCAGGAAATCTGTCGCAAAATCCATGCATGAGAAGAACACATTTTACAAAGCTACAGCAATCACCTTTGGGCTGCGACCGGTTGTTTCCCAAAAGTGAACCGAGCCATCATCGCCAGAGGTAACTAAGAGATGCCTGCTCAGTCGCGAAAACTCCAGTACCCGAAGAACCTGAAAGAAACTTAACTCAGCAAAGCTCATCATCTCCCGCCAAAAGAAATCATACCATATGCAGCTCAAAGCCTTTGGACTCATGAATAACTGCATATCTCCGGAAATGAAAAGATTTTCACTCTCACCTGGCGGTGCGGGTCCTTGAGCTCCGCAATGCGTGATCCGGACGCCAAATTGTGTAGAATAAGGTCCCCAGCGACGCTGGCGGAAGCGACATGCTCGTCCTTGCAATTGTACATGACGGAAGTAATGGTGTCTGCGTGCCCCTTGAGCCACTTGATACACCTTTTTCGTTGCAAGTCCCAAATTCTAACCACCTTGGCTGTTCCACCAGAGCATAGATATCTAGAGCTCTTGGTGCTGAAATTCATAGCCAGTATAGATTCCTAGAGGAAAAAGAAGAGCAATCGACCATGACTAGATGTTTTAATCGAAACTAGAAAGTTACCTCTACGGATTCAGCTGGATCGCTGGCAATTGTCACCACAGACTGGAGCTTCTGCGTCCACAGCGAGATTTTCCCGTCGTCTCCAGCGCTTGCCAGGACCATATCTGCGAAACACCACAAGAATGTAGGCGATCAAGAGCGGCATTTCTCTCTCCCACTTACTGGTGTGATTCCACTTCACAGAGTTTATCTGAGAATCTGGTGCCGGCGAGTACTGGAACAAGCACGGATCACCCTGGCCGGCAGCTGTGGACGTGTCGAAGGCATTGACGATCTCACCGCTGCTAGCGGCGAGCAGCAACGCCGCCACCGCCGTGGTCGTCGCCATCACGCTCCGCAAAACCCTAGCCCTCCGCCCTAAATTCCACCAAATGGATAATCGCGCGGGAAAAAGAAAAGTACTTCACGTCGCTATCGATCTTTGGTGCGCGCGAAAAGAAATTCCCGACGGTGATGTACCGTCTCCCTCCTCCATTGCCGCGACCATATGTACGGTATTTGTATGAAAGACATCTAAGCTTAGAAGATCTTGTGGCGTCCGTCCAAAGTCGTCCCCAGCAACACAAGCAATTTGTGGCGTGCCTTTCCTTGAGCACGCACAGCGCATGCTAGCACTTATACTTTTTACAGGGGTGAAACTTTACCACAAACGTAAAAACTGTTTGATTTAAACCTTTAATACAAATACAAATTGTGAAATCATCTAGCCAGCGAAGACCAGCCCAATGTAGCTATAGTCCCAAAAGTTTTGGCCAGGCCTTTATAAAAAACCCACACAGTAACGTTCTCTCACATGGCACGAATATGCTAATGTTGGCAAATTGGGCCCAGAGAGCGTTGTTGGGGACAGGCCACCCAAGTGGTGGCCCACTGCCCCAATCTCTTGGTCGATTGTGGATATGCAGTGGTTGGTGGACCGTTGGATTTGTAAGCATCCCCGTGGAGTGGATGGACTGGATAAATTGGGGCAGCTGGGGGGAGGATTTGTAGCTGGTCAAGTGTTATAGTCAAGGACGTTTGACTAGAGGCGCATCGCTGGGAGAATATGCCGCGGTTGTTTTGAGAGGCAGAACTAAAAACAACGTGAGGGTGAAAGTAAAAGATACCAAACATGAGTAGTGAGGGGCAGAATTATTGTGAATTATTGTCATTATCTTGCTGGCCTCCGTCAACGCGCGGGGCGTGAAGGCGAGCCGTCACTGGTGACGGCGGCCGGAGCGTGCCAATGGGTTTGCTGGCAAGTCATCAGTGAGGGGTGAAGGGTCCCCGTTCACATTCCCGCCGAGTTTTACCACGGCAGCATTTTCCTTTTTTTTTTTTTTTTTTTTCACTTTTTCATGGAAAGAGTTTCTGGAGCTCCATTTCTCTCTCTGTCTGTGCTTGAGCTACCTCCGATCGAGACCCTAGCGATCTTCTCACGAGATTTGAGGCGGAGTGATGGCGGAGGAGCGGCATCGCGAGGCGCGCCATCGCTAGGGAGCAGCGCCATGGCGCCGTGAATATCATCGATCGATCGGTAAGTTGCGCGGCGCGAGATTATCTGCGATATCTCAATTCTAGAGCTTGGATCTGCGTGTGCAGGGGAAAACAAGGCGGATTTGGCTGCCCTAGGATCGATGGAGGCGGCGAAGCTTGAGGAATACAGGCCGGAGCTCTCTGATCCTCCCTTGGAAATCTACTCGGGCGACAATGCAGGTCCAATGCTGGATGGGACGAGCCTGGAAAGTGGAGAGATTTCTCCTCCCGGCGGCTCGTCTTTGCGAGTAACAGTAGCAGATCCGGACGATTTGCCGAATGGAAAGCATGACGATGAGGATCATCCAGATATTGCCAGCGAAGCTCCGGCCGATGAAGAGATTCCAGCGGAGAGCAAGGCAGAGGTTAGTGGCAAGGTTAAGAAAGGGCCATCGTTGGGCAGGGGTTCGGGATCTAGCAACGGTGGGAGATCTCTGGCTAGAACATCCAGTGGCACGATGAAGAAGTCTCCAGCTTCGTCACCTGGATCTACCACACCAGTGCGGCCATTTCTCAAGTCGTCGTCACCGGCAGCGATTGCTAGAAGACAACAAGAGGCAGAGGCGAATGGAAATGGAAATGGGAATGGGTTTCACACTTCGAGCAAGTCCAACGGTAGCATCAGTGCTCCAGTCACTCCCAGGGCTTCTGCCGCGGCCAAGGCTTCGGCGTCTTCAATGACGACAACGCCCAAAGCCCCGGCTTTGAAGAAACGTACTCCGGGAGTTGATACACCGCCAGTGACTCCGTCGAGCGTGAGCAGCAGGAGAAGTTCGATCAGTCCAGGTGCTAGCTTGTCACGGTCGACTGGGACGTCATTCGGTTCTACACGGAGGCAGTCTTTGCCTGCGTTATCGGCACGGTCTTCGGCACCGTCGGCAGCAGAGCTCAAGAGATGGGCAAACTCGTCATCATCCTCGTCGAGAATTAGTAGCTCGAAGCCGACTACTCCTAGTCGGGTCACAAGTCTGTCCCTACATTCGCCAGGTTCCGTCTCAAAGCCCAACGATTACCTCAGGCGTAGCAGTCCATCGGTGCTAAACTCTCCAGGCGCGCCTGGTCCAAAGTCTCCTGGTCCTTCCGTAAGAGCGAGCGCTAAACTCTGCAGCCCGTCCTCGAAAAGTGGAAGCAGCTCTTTTTCCGCATCAAGAGGCCAGGTTGCCAATGGCAGTCCCAGCAGCCTTCAGAAGAAGTCTGGTCCTATGGCTGCCACAAAGAGATCTCCAAGAGCGTTTGAGAGTCCTACAATATCATCAAGGTCTATGTCATCGGAGAAAACGCTATCTTCTGATAAGTTGGCGGCAAGAAGGAAATCCTTAACGCCCGAAGCCAGGGACACTCGTTTGATCACTTTGCCACCGGTCGATGTGAAGGCAGGAGATGACGTGGTATGTGCCATTCTAAGGATTGCAACTTGATTTCTCTGACGGCTATTGTTTCCAGAGGCTTGATCTCAGAGGCCAAAAGCTGCGAAGTCTGGACTGCAACCTCGTCCATCTCACGCCAAAGCTTGAGGTCGGTACAGGTATAGAGGTGTAAGGCGTGTTTATGAAAGTGGCTCACTAATTCTTGTATTTACAGTTCGTCTATCTCAGAGACAACAAACTGTCAAACATGGACGGCATTGAGATTTTGAAGCGTGTCAAGGTGAATTTAACAACCAAAGTGCGTCTCTTCTTTACTTGTCTGTTGCAGGTTTTGGACCTTAGTTTCAATGAGTTCAAGGGCGGCGGCTTCGAACCGCTAGCAAACTGTAAAGCACTTCAGGTACTTTTGATTTCCTATATTGTCACTATTCTTTTGCCAAACGAAGTATCTATGATCAGCAACTGTACCTTGCCGGAAATCAAATCACATCACTAAGTGGATTGCCTCAGCTACCAAACTTGGAGGTGCATTCTTATTCACAGAGTCCTGTCTTGCAGACTTAACTTGTCGTTTGTTCTCTCATAGTTCCTGTCCGTCGCCCAAAACAGACTGAAGTCCCTAGCAATGGCCACCCAGCCACGGCTACAGGTATTTTTTGTTGACAATGTACAGCTTCTGAAAATTCACATGGCAGGTTCTCGCCGCTAGCAAAAATAAAATTTCTACGTTAAAAGGCTTTCCTCACCTGCCAGCGCTTGAGGTTGGGCTTTATTCCTCGTTTTTAGTTTTTCATTTTTTGAAAATTCTTGCACAATGCTTTGATAGCACCTAAGGCTGGAAGAAAACCCGATCTTGGAGGTACCGCACTTGGAGGCAGCTTCAATTCTTCTCGTTGGACCAACACTGAAAAAGTTTAACGACAGAGGTTGGACTATCATTTCGGAATAATATTTTCTTACATTTTTTGCTTTAGATCTGTCTGCTGAGGAGCGGGAGGTTTCTCTTTTGTACCCCGCTAGCACTGCACTTTGTATTCGGGATGGATGGGAACTTTGTAGTCCTGAAGAGGCTGCTGGTATGTTTTTTCCTTTCCATGGACTTCTCCATTCATTTTATGAGTAATGTTTTTCAGAATCAACAACGGAGTTTCTGATATCCCAATGGAAGGACAATTTGCCACACGGCTTCACTCTTCGAAAAGCTTTTATTGATCGTCCTTTCGAAGAGGATCCTTGCCACTGCGAATTTGTCTTTGGACGGCTAGACGACGGGGAGGGTGATCTTACGCTGCTTTACCAATGGTTTATTGGAGAACAAACTCCCGTGAATTTTGAACCTATTGAAGGTGCTACTAACAAGGTATGCTTGTTTCGTTTAGTATTAATGTGCATATCTCTGGTTTAGATCTACTGGCCTAAACACGAAGATGTTGGTTATTGCCTCAAAGTGGATTGTACACCTTACCTTGGAGACCAACAATTTCCTCCCGTTTCTGCCTTTTCTTTTGCTGTTTCTCCTGGTACTCTGTTAGCTTTCAGCTGCGTTGATTATTGAATCTCTTTCCGCAGGCACTGGCTGTCCCAAAGTACTAAGTATCCAGGTGGATGGTGAGCCTTTAGAGGGGAACAGCATGGTAGGCTCTGCTGAAGTTGCCTGGTGCGGAGGTACTCCCGGCAGTGGCGTTGTAAGGTATAGATATTTTTTTTTGGTTCAAGTTTCCATTCTAGTGGTTTATGATGTCTCGTAAAATGCAGCTGGCTCAGAAAGACTGAAAACAATAGCCCCGTAGCTATTGTTGGAGCTGAAGATTACGAGTATAGACTCGTTTTGGATGATGTCGGAGCTCATCTATTGTTCATGTATACGCCCGTTACAGAAGAAGGCACGAAAGGCGAGTCACAATATGCTATGACGCCAGTGATTGACGCAGGTAAAACATACGATGATTTTAGCTTTAAGCACGTAACTATTGTCACGTTGTGTATACCAGCCTCTCCATCTGTGGCAAACGTACGTATTACTGGTGAGTTCGTGGAAGGAAATACAATTCGTGGTACTGGAAAATACTTTGGTGGAAAGGAAGGATCAAGTAAGTTTGAGTGGTTCCGCGAAGAACAAGATTCAGGGTAAGCTTATTGGACAAATGTTCTCTGTATAACTGATGGCACGTACCTTCACAGGGATTTTACTCTTGTTTCGAAAGGTTCTTCCGAGTACCTCCTGACAGAGGAGGACGTCGGATTGCGTATGAAGTTTGTCTACACTCCAGCTAATATAGCAGGTATTTTTTTACAGAGAGAGTTCCGTGTTTTTTCTTTTGACTAAAACTTGTTTTCACCTAGGAGCATGTGGTGTCCCTGCCTCTGCAACTAGCGACAAAATTTTACTTGGTAAGCTCTTGTTTACTGCTGCCAAATTTTACTGACACCTCCTACACAGCTCCTCCTAGAATCCTTCAATTGAGACTTGTGGGGGACATGCGAGAGGGAAGCAAGATCGTTGTCAGCGGTATTTTTATAGGTGGCACTGAAGGAGCTAGTCGTGTACAATGGTTCAAGACGGACACTCCACACAACACGCAGAATCTAGAGCCCATCAGCACGTCTAAGATTGCTAAAGTATTGTTTGTGACATACTGTAGCACTTCTTCATTAAACCGGTAATCGTGGCAGGCATTCAGAATACCTTTGGGAGCTGTAGGACACTATCTAGCAGCCGAGTATACGCCTGTACGTTCGGATGGTGAAAGCGGTGATTCTGTCTACGTGGTTTCTGACGCACGAGTCGAAAGTAAGCCTGTGGAGTCTATTTTCTGTTTTCCTTAACGCTTACGTCGTGACAGTGTTGGCCCCGAGCTTAAGCTTCCTAACCATAACTGGAGAGCTTTTGGAGGGAGAAACTTTGACGGCCTCTTACGGATATGTTGGAGGTTACGAAGGTGCTAGTCAGCACAATTGGTATCTTCACGAGGTATGCTGTGTACAAAATGGTCAAGTTTGAAGCTTACTGAAGCTGTTTGTGACAGTCTAAGAATGCTACCGGTTCTCTAATAGCTGAAGCTAGTGGGAGTCTGCAATATCCGGTCACTGAGGATGCAGTCAACAAGTACATTTCTTTTCATTGTCTACCTATTCGTGACGACGGTGCCATCGGCGAAAGGGTTGTTACAATGATTCCGGAACCCATAAGCCCCGGTATGCTTCGGTTTGCACACGTAGCAGAAATAACTGTTGCATTATCAGGTTCTCCCAAGCTTCTTACGTTCCAGATAGTAGGAGAACCCGTGGAGGGTGCTGAATTGAAGATAGAAAAGAAATATTGGGGTGGTAAGGAAGGCTTGTCAAATATCCAATGGTTTGTGGTAAGTTAGCTTGTCTCTGGAGGGAGTTGGAAGTAAAGCTGCTTGTGAATTACAGACAAGTCCTGATGGTACTCAAAGAGAAATTAGAGGAGCTACAGACGTTACATATACTCTAAAACTTGAAGATGTCCATGGTCTGGTTTGTTGCTCCTGCGAACCAGTGCGGGAAGATGGTGTAAGAGGACCTATCTCTGTCTCTCAGCTTCTTGGTCCTGTTCTACCAGGTGCGTGTACCATTTCGTTGTTCTCGTTATTTCAACTGGTTCCGTCCAGGTCCACCAAGCTGCACAGTACTTGAGATTTTCGGCAGTCCCGTGGAAGGAGAACATCTCTTCGTCAACGCAGTATACAATGGAGGGTAAGAGTGCCGGTCTTTGAAAGTTGATTGAAATAACATCTTTTTAACAGCGATAAGGGACCATGTGAACTCGAATGGTGGAGGCGAAACTCGTCTGGAGAACAAAAATATCTGGGCAATTCAGGTATTATATTGTAAAAGTTTTAGCAAAAACTGAGCTGCATTTTCATTTTCAGAGAGTTTAAAATTGACTTATGAGGATGTTGGCGCTCGCATCAAAGTAGTCTTTATTCCCGTGAGGAGTGATGGGATTGTTGGGGAGGCATATGCTGTAACGTCAGAAGTAGTACAGGATGGTTGGTCTCAAATTGTTCACAGGAACGGCGTGTTCTGATACAACTTTTTGAATGCAGCGGAACCGGAAGGAAAAGCTCTGGTCATCCCAGACTGCCATGAAGACGTAGAACTTGTCCCGACGCGGACCTACTTTGGTGGCCAAGAAGGAGAGAGCCATTACATGTGGTACCGTACTTCTACCAAAGTTCGAGACTCAATTCTGCCCATTGATGCTGAGTTCGTCTGTAGCTCACTGTAAGCTCTTGATTTTTAATTCTCGCTCGTCGTTCTGATTCGAATGCCTTTCCAGGTCATATACTCCGGAGCTGGAAGATGTCGATGCGTATTTGGTACTTGAATGGACACCAGTTCGTCAGGATGGAAAGCAAGGAAAGCCCGTCATTGCATACAGTAAACAGCCAGTTATCCCAGGTAAGCTGCAGCTTGACTCATATCCGAGCAATATCTTACCTTTCCTCTATAGCGGAACCATCGGTTCGTGATGTAACTCTCAAGGAGGTCTCGCTTGATATGTTTGTCGGGGACGCATATTATCATGGTGGTAGAGAAGGGGAAAGCCAGCTGAGCTGGTATAGAGAAAGTGGTAATGGCACCACCACTTTGATTGAAGGGGCGACATCGAAGACTTACGTTGCATCTGAAGAGGATTACACATACCGCATTATATTTGGGTACTACGTCTATTTTATTTTCGAATCTGAGACTAACTTCAATGTATTTCCAAGCTATACTCCTGTTCGGGATGATGGAGTCGTGGGAGATCTCGTTGTTTCCGAGCCCAGCAAGGTCATATATCCAGGTACATATGATGCTTCTTCACTGGCCGCCACCATTACAATAAGTTCTTTCTTCCAGAGCTTCCTCGTGTGCAAAAATTCGTCCTTTCTGGGAAAGTGATCGAGGGAGAAGTTCTAACTGCTTTGGAAGTTATGCCAAAGGGAGAGACACAACAGCGGGTGTGGGACAAGTACAAAAAGGAAATCAAGTATCAATGGTAAGGCCATTTCAAATACTGGAAACGATGCTGACAAAATGGTGACGCAGGTCGCGCTCGACTGAGCCTGGCTCAGCCGATTTCGAACCGATTTCCCAGCAACGCTCGTGCACCTATAAAGTGAGGCTGGAGGATATTGGATATTTGTTATGTTGCGAATGCGTGATATACGACGTCTTTGGGCGTTCCACTGATCCAATTTCTAGTACAACACCAGCCGTGCAACCAGGTTTTACTGCAGTTTCTTTTTCCTTTCATGTAACCAACCTTCTAATTGTCCAGCCTTTCCTCGTATTGATAAGTTGGAGATAGAAGGCCGTGGCTTTCACACAAACTTATATGCTGTTAGGGGCATATACGTCGGCGGCCGAGAAGGAAAGAGCTCCATTCAATGGTTTAGAGCAATGGCTGGTAGTCCGGATCTCATTCCCATTCCAGGTACATTGGCAAGTTTATAGCGCTCCAGCAGCTCACACTCTTTGCTCTTTATGATCAGGAGAGACCGGGCGCATGTATGAAGCAAATGTGGACGATGTTGGATACAGATTGGTGGCTATTTATACTCCAGTCCGGGAGGACGGCGTAGAAGGCAACCCCACCTCGGCTTCAACTGATCCTATAGAAGTTGGTAAGTGTTGTGTTTCTTTTGCTGCTGAGGCAACCTCTTGCATTTCAGAACCGGAAGTTGCGAAAGAAGTGAAGCAAAAGCTCGAGCTTGGAGCAGTCAAGTTTGAGGTGAGCATTTGCGTTAGTGATACAAATATATTCCTGACACGGCAAAAATTTCCAGGTTCTCCGGGACAGGGATCGATCGCCCGCTAGTGGGCCACAACAGCAGCAGGCACTGGGCAGCCTAGAGAGACGCATCCTTGATATCAATCGCAAGAGAATAAAAGTGATCAAGCCGGGCTCCAAAACGTCGTTCCCGTACACGGAAATTCGAGGCACATATGCCCCACCTTTCCATGTAAGTTGCAATCTTTTATAGTCCTTCGTGTTTCTCTGTGCTTTTTCTTTCTTTGTGTGTGATTCTCTTTGTTTTGCTTTTCGATGTCCATGCTAGTTTTGTTTCTCTGTGAGTGGGTGTGTATTCTCTTTGTTTTCACTTTGCTTTGCTTTGCTTTTTCCATGCAAGTCGCAACTTTTCCTTGCTAGTTTTGTGTGTTCGTGTGTGTGTTTCTCTTTTGCTTTTCCATATCCTTTGTGTGTGTGTTCATCCATGTTGCAGATAATAGTGTGTGTTTGTCTCGTCGTGTGGACTTGTCAATGCTGCTCTAAATCATTGTCTCCTTTCTTTTGATTTAGGTGGAGCTCTTCCGGAACGATCAACATCGTCTCAAGACTGTGATTGACAGCGAGAACGAAGTGGATCTCATGGTCCGGACGAGGCATATCAGAGACGTGATCGCGCTCACGATTAGGGGCCTAGCGCAGAGATACAACAGCACTCCACTAAATCTACTTCTCAAGATGTAAAGCCATGGGAGGCAGCAGCACTAAAGGTTTGTGACTAGAGAGAAGAGAGGAGAGGTTTTACAAATATTTTGCTTGGTCTACTAGCTAGACTGTAATTAAGATTTGATGGAGGTGGAGAAACCAGGAGGGCTGAAAACTAGCATTTGTATATGTAAAGGTGATGAGATGATAAACTTTGCGTTAAGATTTCTTTCTTTACCTTCCAGATGGTAATAAAGATGATAACAGAGATCTCTGTCACTTGAGAGTTAAAGACCTGGTGTCCAAAGTTTGGCTGACGCTCACAGCCTGCCTTCTCCAGTCCATGCGAAGTATAAGAATGAGGTAGAGCACGAGCTGGAGGAAGAATCCCACTGTTGTCCCAGCCAAGAGCCCCTGAGATTTAACGCAAGACAATTCATAGTTACTACACGAGAAAGCGATAGAAGCGCCATCAAACCTTGGTTTTAAACTTGAAGGTGAATCCCAAAAGCACTCCCACTGGAAGGCCGCAGAGGTAAAAGGCTGCCAAGTTGATGATAGCGCCCAGGTTTTGGCGACCGCATCCACGCACCACACCTGTACAGGCAACGACAAGTCTAGTCTGCCAGTAAAAAAAAGGGAGAAAATAAAGGAGGGAATGCTTTTGTTTCCCCACCTTGAAGTACGCACTGCGTGCCATCAATGAGTATCCAGAGTGCCAGAAACGGAGTGATGGAAGTGAGGTTGTCCACAACTTCCGACTCGTTTGTGAAGACCCACCCCCAGCTCTTGTGAACCATGAGCAGGAACGCTGCCGCGATGAAGACTTCGGCGGTGGCGAGCACGAGGACGACGAACACCGCCAGCTTTGCTGCGGAGGGGTTCCTTGCTCCCAGCTCGTTGGAAACACGGATGCTGCAAGGATAATACCATGACCATGTCATGTAGCACTCACTGAAGTAGACTTACGTACCTTACGCCTAAGCTCAGTCCAAGAGTGATCATGTAGTTGAACGTCGCCATGGAGTTGCTGCAGGAATCAATGCACATCTGAGAATGGCTGTGTATCGGACGGTCGCCGTTTACCTCACCATATTGATAGTGTTGAGACCTCTATCTGTGGATTTGGAAGAAGCCCAGCCAAGAGGACCAGCATCTCAAAAGTCCAGTATTCCAAGCTGTAAGAAATGATACAGTGTTAACTCGAGTGCAAGAGAAAGGAAAAATTGCCATACCAAACCATGAAAGCCGAGACCAGTGAAAGCTTGAGGAAGTGATTCACGTTTGTGCACACACAAGTGGACAAGCCTCTCCAAGTGTGCTTGCAGACCTTGCTACAGCAGACGTACAGCGCTAGTAGAGCGGCCTTTATCCAGAAAGAAATGCTGGTGGAGATGGCCACACTGTGAAACCCGACGTGGAACTTGTGTATGAATAACCACGACAGCAGGATGTGAGCACCGAACGAAACCGCGGAGAAAATAGCCGAAGGAATGACCACACCTTGTGTCTGTAAGAACTTGAGCAGAGGCTGGACAAACGCGTTGGCAAAGAGGCTGGGAATCAGCCACACGATGAAATCCTTGGCTTTAGCAGACATGGCAGGATCCTGTCCCAGGAGCAGCAAAATCCTTCTAGTGAAAATGAAGAGGGTCGACAACGGTATGCAGAGGATGATCGAGAGTGCCACAGCCTGTTGGAGATAAATGCCTAGCATGTGATATGCCTTGGCTCCGTAAGCTTGCCCGCACAGTGTCTCGAGCGCTCCAGCCATTCCCATCTGCACGTACCTGAAGTTTGCATCAGAGCTTTTAAGTTCGAGGAACACCAGATGTATAAAACAGTGGAAAAACTTCAAGAGCACAGTCAGGAAAAACACGTAAACAAAAGCTGTGCGAAAGAATGAATGAGCGAAGAAGAATGAATGGAAGAGCTAGATCTCAATACCAAAACAATAGCTAGGATAGAATCAGAAGCTTTAAGTTCGAAGAAAACCAAAAATATAGAACAAGCTTTCGAGAACACATCCAGGAAAAAAAAAGCTTTCAACGCAAAGAATGAATGAGCTGGGCAAAATAGAAGAGCAAAGAAGAATGAAAGAGCTAAACCTCAAGAACAAAACAAACGAGCTAGCTAGGATAGGAAAGAACAAAAGAAGTGATATGGAAATCCTTACCAGGACAAAATATCCAAGGCTGTTAGCCATGGTGATGGCAAGCGATGCTCCAGCGAGCTCCAACTCGCCAATTCGCCCCACAAAAAGCAGCGAAACAAGCACAATCCCCATGTCGAAGAGATTCACAGCCATATTCGGCGCCGAGAGGCCACACACGCGCTTCATCTCGTTCACATTGTCCATCCATGGCCCAGCCTGCGAAGATCCTCAATCCTGAGATGAAAGAAACCGATCAATCGATACCTGGACGCCCCTGGAGCATGCGTGATCGGCCTGCTGCTGTTCTTGCGATCGCTCGCCGGCCGCATTGGCGAGAGGGCGGCGCAAATCCTCCAGCGCCATGGAGGATTTTCAAAGACAAACCCTAGTTCGTTTAGTAGTTAAAAGAGATTATCATAGAACTAATCACGGTTAGCTCTGGTCAACATTTTAACCCCTTTAACGCCTTTTGACTAGAAGCCGAAAAAATGGTTTTTACTCCTCTTGGTCTTCTCGTTTTACAACTTGTCCGTAAAATTGTTCGCTCTATCGGAGGAATCACTGCTCGCGCTTTGATCGAGAGCCTGCGAGTTACTGCCGCTGCCGATCGTGATGCTGCTAGCTCCCGGATCGTCCGCGAGAGATTTGCCACTGTTTACTGCGGACGAAGCTGGTCCATTCTGTGAGCTCCGGAAGGAAGCCGGGAGCGAATTTATCCTCTGGAGCACTGGACCTTTGCTGCGATGGCCGGAACCCATAGGCCTCCCCGGACCGTTTGGAGCCGCGTAAGGAAGGAAGACGCCGGTTCCATTGAAACGTCCTGGCCTGGGAACCGGCGAACACCCTGGGACCATAACCGGGAGTGGAAGCGGTGGGAACGGTCCGCCTTGCGGAGGTGACGCTGGAGTCGGGGACGCTGGAACTCCGGTTGCTGGAAATCCCTGCTGCATTGGCGAGGAAGCCATTGGATTGTTACCACCGCCACCGCCACCACTGCTGCTGTTAGCTGCTGGTCTCATGCTGGTGTTAAGAAGTCCGCCAGAGCTTGACGAGCGTTGGAAGCCCATGTTTCTGGAAAATCTCTTGACGAGAGTTTTGCCGAGGATGAGACAGCACCTCTTTGTAGGCAGGGCTGGCACCGCGTATCTTGCGAGCTTTGCGGAGTTTCCTTGAAGAACTATGACGGAGCTGGACGAGAGAAACTTTCAGATGCATGTATAGACCAGTTTGAGACATACCCGATGGAAGCCGAGATTCTGAACTGTCCTCTGAACTCCCGAGGACTCTCCATGGAGATGAATCTTCCAAAGACCATGGAGCAATCCGACTGGAGGGTGATGATGCAGAAAGGTTGATCAAATTCCTGGCTGTTTGTCTGTGGTGGCAAGTATCCCCCCTTCATTCGTAAGTCATCTCGTCAGAAAGCACTTTCTAATACTTGAGACAGTTCACGTACCTCGCCCAAGAAATTAATAATATATGAGTCCGGCCGTTTTGAGGCCGGAATGATATGTTGCTCTAACAGACGATCAGCAATAAATTGTACGATTTCTGGCAAGGAATCTGGAGTGTCATCTGGACAGAAGGAATTCCATCAGAATTATAGAAGCATAGATGGAGCTGAAACATCAAACCTTGCGAAGAACTCTTTTGAGCGTCTTCTGTATTGTCAGCATTTTGCTGTATCATCAGGTCACTGCTTTTGCCTTTCAGGAATCGTTTCCCACCAAGGATTCTGTATCCTACACGAACAAGAAAGCCACATGAATGATTATACAAATGCTATAGATTACTTACCAGTGGCTCCCAGCTCGACTTTTCTTCCGACTCCTTGAAGATCACTTAGTGACGACACCAGCCGCTCGATCTCCGAAGAGCTGAATACATTCTCGCAAATTCTAAGCCCCTCCACAGCATTGATCTGCACCACAGCGTCGTCAAGTATGAAATCACAAAATTTAGCAGAAGAGTTACCACTCTCCCGTCAACATTCTCAAGCGACTGAAAGTTCTTCGACACTTTGACTACGAGCTCTTGGGGCTTGCCATTCGAACTCCCTGCACTAACACGTACAGCCACTAGCGTTAGAGAGAAAAGAAATATAAAAACACGTACTAGCTTGAGCAGTCCTCTCGGAGCTCCGATCCACGGACGCCAAGCTCTGATCGTGCTGGCCACTCTGGCCCTCCTGTTGGTGAGATCCAACTTCGTCAATACTCTCACCACCGACAGCGGCGATGGCGGTGGTGCCGGAAATTTTTTCTTCGCTGGTGGCAGCTTTGCTCGATATATCCGAGTCAGATTTGCTGGTTTCTGGCACGAAGTTCTCTTTCTTGTCAGCAGGAGTGGAAGCAGCACGGCTGAAATTCGGTCTCCGGAAATCCGAGTCCCCCCAAAGAGCTCCTCCTCCATCGGACCCAGATCCAATTCCCTGCTGCTGGTGGAGATGGCGCCTCTTGAGAGCTACTTGCTGGAGCGCCATGACCACCTCCTCCACCGAGAAGTATTGCTGCATATGGAGCACGGCGGTCCAATTGTAGCGCCTTTGCCTCACGCAATTGAGCACGAAGTCATACTCCCCGGGGCATGACGCCACCACCGGCAAATGCTGGCACATTGCGTCGATTATGGCATTGGCGGCGGCGAATTCGCTGCGCAGCCACGAGATGAAGGAGTCCCTCTCGTCTGGAATCCATGGCTGGACGAGCGGCGGCGGCGGCTGGCCTGGAGGAGGAATCCCGGCTGCCTTGGCCTCGTCAACGAAGAGCCTGTGCGGCAATTGGTTGGGCATAGCCGCCATAGAGCATCAAGATGGGAGAAATTCTCCCCCTTCACCCCCTCTCCTGGAAGCACACGAGATATCGATCGATCTACACTGACCTTTCTTGCATGCCGGGGAATGCAGGTGGAATTCCGCCGCGATCTAGCTCGATCCGGGCGCGCCGCGGCGTTCTTGAGCCCGCCGCTGCCCTGCCTTTCCGATCCGATCGAAATTTCGCTCGACTTATCCCTGGCGCTGCCAGATCTGGTCGAGAAAGCTATTTGCAAGCATGCATTGCCGAAATAGAGGCTCTGGGATGGAGATCCAGCGCGCGCTCTCCCAATTCTCGGCGCCGCTACTCAAACCCTGGACGCTCCTCCTTGAACACCACAATACCATAGCTCCTTTTTTGCCTTTCTCCCTCACACTAGACTAGAGCTGCCACGGGAGCGTGTTGTTTAACCCAGTAATGGCCATTACTCATTCCTTTCGGGCTGCATTTTTGGCCATATGACCCATGCCACTTGGCCGCTAGAATTCTAGACGGACTACAATTTTCCACGTGTTCCAAAGTCTAGAAGTTCAACGGTCTTGTATCGCACCACGTTTTAGCTTTGCCAATAAAACATAAAGGAATATGCTTAGTAATCTAGGGTTTAAGCTAGGGTTCTAATGGAGCGACTGTGCGTGGCAACGGGGCCTGTTCTATCCAGTGCGCGAGGCGCCAGATTTCTTCCCTCGAGGACGAGTAGAGGTGTGATTCCGGGTGTAGCGTGTAAATCTAGGCAGGCGAGGTGTCTCTCGGCCGCTGGCGATGAGCAGGGGCAAAATGCGGGATCTTCTCGGCGGCAGAGCGCTGCGCTCGATCAATCTGATGAAGACGATGTGGATGGTGCGACACTGACTGAGGCCGATTTCGAGGATTTCACTATCGAGGGCGAGGAGGAAGAGGAAGAGGAGGAAGATTTCTTTGGAGGTATGCTTAATTCTTTAGATGCTACGTACATTGCCTTGAATAGATTTTATCTAGAGAATAGAGGAGGAGTCTCGAGCTGACATCGGTGGCACGCCCCAAGCACAAGGCAAAGGCAGGCGTAGGAGGCGGGACCGTGTCAAGGGACCTGAGGTAAGCTTCCATTGTCTCAAGGTGATGGCGTGATCATTATCATTTGCTCTCCAGGTACCAAGTCATCTACTTCCGAAGGTAGCCATAGTTGGAAGGCCCAATGTCGGAAAGTCTGCTCTTTTCAACAGAATTGTTGGTGTAAGTTTTCAAAGTTTTTTTTCTTTCGTGAGTTCTAAAATCGTTTTTCTCTCTCTCTCTCTCCAGAGAAACATGGCTATTGTGCACGATGAGCCCGGCGTCACTAGAGACCGTTTATATGGCAGAGTTCGTGGCTCTGTCCAGGAGTTTATGCTGATAGACACTGGTGGTGTATTGACAATTCCAACGAGTGCAGAGAGCGGTTTAGCTGGTGGTTCTGTTGCCGCTGCTCAAGCGAAGAAGGATGCAGCAGTTGCTGGCCTTCCATCCATGATTGAGCAGCAGGCTGCATCAGCTGTCGAAGAAGCTTGCGCACTTGTGTTTGTGGTGGACGGCCAGGTAACGAAAATTCCTCGTTTACATTCAGCATACTCACTTTGTCCATTAGGCAGGCAGGACTTACGTCGGCTGATATCGAAATTGGAAACTGGCTCAGACGCAAGTTCAAACACAAGAAGATCGCTCTCGCCGTGAATAAATGCGAATCTCCAAAGAAAGGACTCTTGCAGGCGGCAGAGTTTTGGTCTCTCGGGTATGCATTGCCACGTAGTCAAATTTTGCTGCTACTAGTTTTTCTGTTTCAGGTTCACACCTGTTCCTGTGTCGGCTATTTCCGGTTCTGGTGTCCCGGATTTACTCGAGGATGTGACTTCCGCAATCAAGGAGAAACAGGTATAGATGATCAGTACTGAAAGACAATAACTGTTTTTCTATTTACCAGGATGAGTTAGAAGCGAGCGAAGGCGACCGGCCTTTATCTGTGGCAATTATTGGGAGGCCAAATGTTGGCAAGAGCAGCATTTTGAATGCAATAGTCGGGAAGGAAAGAACGATAGTCAGTCCCGTGAGTGGAACCACTCGAGACGCAATCGATACAGAAGTAGCTGGACCCGAGGGGAAGGTTTGCTCCTTGAGAAGCCACAACTTCACTAAAGGCTCTGTGTTGTTTGCAGGTCTTTAGACTGATAGACACGGCTGGAATCAGAAAGCGAGCAGCTATTGCCTCTGGCGGTAGCAAGACAGAATCTTTGTGTGTCCAGAGCGCCCTCAGAGCGATCCGACGTGCAGATGTTGTTGCTTTGGTCATTGAAGCGATGACTTGCGCAACAGAACAGGTACTTAACGCAAGCATGGGCTTTTGAAAAGATTTTTTAGCATTGATTTCTACAGGACTATCGGCTCGGTGAGAGGATAGAAAAAGATGGGAAGGCCTGCATCATTGTCGTGAATAAGTGGGATACCGTTCCGGATAAGAATGCGGAATCTACTTACTGGTACGATATGGATGTCCGTGAGAAACTCCGTGTGCTGAAGTGGGCACCGATTGTTTACACCTCAGCGACAAGCGGACAACGAGTCCAAAAGTACGTTCCATTATTTTATCATCTCGTGCATATCTTAATTCGATGCTTTGTAGGATTCTGGCGACAGCTTTGAGTGCTGGTCAGGAAAGGGAGCGCCGGATCAGCACAGCGATTCTTAATCAAGTTGTCCAGGACGCGATCAACATGAAGCAGCCACCTACAACTAGAGGTGGCAGGAAAGGTCGCCTATATTTTTGCACGCAGGTGCGTAAACTGCGCCTACAGAAAAGTCGAGTTTTGATGATTTGGCTCTGCTTTTCTCTTCCAGGCAACCACACGCCCCCCGACATTTGTCTTCTTTGTCAACGATGAGAAGCTTTTCCCGGATGACTACAAGAGGTACATGGAAAAGCAGCTGCGCCAGAATATCGGCTTCCCTGGCACGCCGATTCGCCTGTTCTGGCGGAGCAAAAGGCTTGCACGTCCGGGCTCCAAGCAAAGCACGCAGGAGCTCGCCAGCGTTTAAGTCTACTCTCTCGAGGTGCTGCCAAATCTTTCCTTGCAATTCCATCTCATGCTTTACGTGTCGTGTGCTACAGGCGCTTGGAAGGTGTCAAGTCGCTAGCAGCCGCCACCAAACGGCTGTAAGAGTGTGGACAAAGGCTCCACCAAAATGGACAAGGATGGGTTGCTGCGAGAGGGAGGAGCTACATATATTCTCTTCTAGGTTTTTCTAGCTACACCAACAACAGAGCAACCACCAAAGTGCACAGGGTATGATTTGAGGCATTAAATTTTCTTATAGAGCTTTGCGCTACTGTTTCGAGACAAGGCTTTGTTTCCAGATTGATCGCTCTAAGATCTAAGATGGAAATCTATCCATGGATCGATCTAAGATAATCGCGCAAACAAAAAGAACAGGAAAGGCCTAGATTTTCTCATTGTGTATGGCAATGTTCTGTAAACACGTGTCATGCAAGCGTTTGCTCGTGGGCCACGTGGATGTTGGTTACGTCCGCAGAATTATCCGTTGGGTGGGCAGTTCCGGCCGCCGGCCGGTCGGGAACCGCCGGGTTCTACGAATATTCCGTTGCTGGCCAATATTTTGCCCTTTTCCCCATTTCCTCCAAAATAGGGGAGGAATGGCGATTTCTTAGGGCTTGGCGAGCGCGGGATGTGAGGAGTGATCCGGGGAGGCGCTGGAGTGGACGCGTGAGAGGCGCTCCGCTGCGATCGTGATTCTGCTGGTATGGCAATGCGCGCGTGTGTCACTTTGTGTGAAATTTTTCTTCTTCTTCCTTTCTTTCTTCCTGGTTCTCGGCGGAGAGGTGGATCGATCAGGGATTCATTCCCTGTTCCTCGTTTGCCCCCATTTCTCCGCTCCATTTTCATGCCTCTTTGTCAGAGTTGTGTCTGTTGAAGTTTGAATTCCAGCTGAAAATTCACTGTTAAGTTGTCTCACGCGGTTTTCTCTCGTCCTTTTTGCAGTGATTTGAGATCTTGTTCCGCCCATGGCAGCTTCCATGACCACTGATACTGCGAACTTAACGGGTACTATGATGGATATCTCCAGCCCCGCCATCGCGTTTGACATCGAGGTGGCGGAGTCTCTTCGGGCGACGTTTTCAGTGCCAAAACGAGTGAGGAGGAGGCTGGAGCAATCGCCAGAAGCTAAAAGCCTCGAGGATATTGAAGCCAAGCTCAAGGACGCTGACTTTAGAAGACAGGTCTGCTGGCCTTCTTTCTTCCTGACTTCTCGAAGTTTTTCTTACTCTCTTTCTTTTGCAGCAATTCCATGAGTGGCTTGCAAACAAGGCCAGGCCAAAGCGTAAATCCGACCAGACAAGCTCTCCTCTGCCAAAGGAGCTTGCTGAGCGCCTCGAGGCCAGGCTTTGTGCAGCAGAGCAAAAGAGGTGTGTTTGCTTTTAACTTCTTTCTGTTGTGGACGACTTGGTGCTGAAGTTTGTCTTGTACGAATTTGTCTTGTCGTGTAGGCTGGAGCTTTTAGCTCAAGAGCAGACACGACTTGCAAAGCTTCATGAGCTGAGAATGGCTGCAAAGACTGAAGCTCAGCTCCGTGCAGAGAGGGAAAGGGAGGAACTGGGGACGAAAGTTGAGTCGCGTGTTCAGCAAGCGGAAACAAACAGGATGGCGCTTGTGGAAGCTGAGAAGCAACGGCGAGCTGCAGCTAACGAACGTATTGCACAGTCAATCGTGCAGCGAACTACTCTCGAAGATCAAGAACGCGAGAAAGCTGAAGCTCTTCGTGTTGCCATTTGCCAGAAAATTGCGGCTGCAGAAGAAAAGCGGGCCTGCTTATTGGAAGCAGAAAAGAATCGGGCACAGGCGACTGTCACACAAGCCAGGAAAGTGGCAGAAGCGGTTTTACGGGAGAGGGAACTGGAGTTGATGAACAAGAAGGAGAAACTTGAAGCTCGCCTTCTCAGGGTAAAGTTGTCTATTTTTTTTTTTTGTGGATTCTGATTCTTTCTCTCAGGCAAAGCGCCAGCGTGCAGAATATTTGCGACAAAAGGGAGGCTGTAGAGGAACGTGTCACAATCATGGGCACAAGATGCATAAGCATGGGGATCGGCTTTGTCGAAAGCTGACGAGGTATGTTGTCTCCTTGACTTGTTTATTAACTGCTCACGTTTTTCTAAATTATGGCGTAGGTGCTGGAGGCAATTTCGGGTGTCAATGAAAACAACTTATGCACTGGCCCAAGAGTTTGCGGAAGCCGGTATCAGCCAGCGTACTGTAACGTCTCTTCCGTTCGAACAGCTCGCCAGTCGGATAACTTCTCCTGCGGCATTGAGGAGTGTGAAAGCTCTTCTTGCCCGTATCGAAAGCCGGCTCATGCTCTCGGCTGCGACGGAATCGTCGGAGGTGGCAAAGATCGACGTGCTACTGAAGCGTCTCTCCCCGCCACAGCGTAAGACAGCCTCTTCCGGATCTTCGAGGATGAGCAAACGAAGCAGCGCTCAAGCTCTTGCCAAAGCTCCTGCCAAGGCTCCTGCCAAGGCTCCTGCAAAAGCAAAGGACAGCTCGAAGCATGAGGACCATCACGACCTTGAGAGATATCCAGCGCGTGTTTTCCTTTGTGCCTACATGATATCCGGGCATCCCGACGCAGTGTTCAGTGCGAGAGGGGACCGTGAAGCTGCACTGGCTGAGGCTGCTGCAAAGTTATTGCCAGAGTTTGAAGCATTGGTTTCAACTGTTATAGACGGCCCGACTCCTTCCTCGCCTCCGCCTTCTCCATGTCCGGAATGGTACATCGATGGACAACACAAACCTTTCGCGGCTCAGCTGGCCTCCTTCGACACTGCATGGCACTCGTACCTCTGCCGGTTTGTTGCATGGAAGGTTAAAGACGCAGAGTTGCTCGAAGAGGACTTGATTCGAGTTGCTTGCCAGCTTGAAGTGTCTATGCTGCAAAAGTGCAAGATCGTACCTGGGAAGGATGCGTCGGAGCTGACACACGATACTCAAGCCATTCGCAAGCAGGTAATATTATAAAACTTGATAGTTTACTTGGGTATAACCTGCTCGCTTCTCAGGTTCTTGAAGACCAAAGACTTTTGCGTGAAAGAATCGTCCATTTGACTGGTAACACCGGACTAGAGAAAATGGAGGAAGCGCTTTCAGCCGTCCGCTCCAAGTTTTTGGAAGCAAAAGAGAATGGTGTTCCATTACCGTCACCTTTTGCGTATTCGTCGCCAGAAGACCTGCGAACCGTCCCTGAGTCGCCGGAATCAGATGGACAGAAGGACGAGCGACCGAAATCGAAAGCTGCACGCGCCCTCTTCACTGCAGCTCCAACCAACACTCCAAACATGGAAGCAGTTCCAGAGGCTATGAACCTCGATCCTGCTGCTGATCTCCACAACTCCGGGATGACAAACGAGAGAATTGTAAACGAAATGATGCACGATGGCAACTGGACGATCCCAGATCAGATGAACCCCTCTGGCAGTTTGTCGAAAATGGAGGTAAGTTTCTTGTTCTAAGCAGTAAACACATGGCTAATATATGCACATTTTCACAGGCTCAAATTCGGACAACTATGGAAAGAGCCTTTTGGGATAGCATCGAAGCCAATCTCTTGAAGGATACACCCGATTATCGGCAGGTTGTGAGCCTTGTAGGGGAAATTCGGGATGACCTCGAAAACATAGTGCCTGAGGCATGGAAGCAAGGGATTCGCGAAAGCCTTGACCTGGAGCTTTTGTCACAGGTAAGCAAGTTTATTCTTTTCTTTCGAACTCTAGTAATGGTTACTTTCTGCCGCAGGTTCTAGAGTCGGGCATCAATGACTTCAGATATCTGAGAAATCTGCTTGACTACACCCTTGATATAATTCTGAGACTGGGTGCTCCAGCTCGTGACATGGAATCCAAGACTGCACAGCAGGCGCTTATCGAGGATTTGTCAATGGCAACGACTGATGCTGCAACGAAAGAATCCTTTGGGAAAGCTGTCGTGAAGGGAATGCGTTTTGTGTTCGAGCGCTTGCAGGTATGCATTCTCGTCGATATCGAAATCCCACAACTAAAATACTAAAATACTAAAATACTTTCATGGCAGGTTTTAAAGCAGGACATAAGCAACGTCAGGCTACAGTCCCTCGCGCAACTCATCAGTGGATCGACTGGACTTGACTATCTACGAAAGGCATTCGCCGATCGTTATGACTTAACCGCTTCAACAACAGACGAGCAGCTTTTTGAAAAGCTCTCCAAAACCGTTCGGTGGATCCGCGCGACGCAGTCTTCGATGGAGGCCCACAAGAGCGAAGTTGACTCGGCATTAAACTCTTTCAAGTCGCTTTCAGCAAACTTACCGCCAGCAAGCGCTCCGCCCGCGTTTCCAATGTGCACGGGTGGAAGAGTTGCTGTGACTGGAACGTCCAACTCTTCGAGGCAGAAAGCAGTTGCCTCAGGTACGAAAGATTCTTTTGTTTTTCAGTCACATCTCATTGTTTTCTTTCGCACAGGTGCCGAGGAACCGAAACTGGGATGTGTAAGATGGGGAAGCAACGAGGCCATCATTCGTCTCGGGCTCCTCTTCCTCGTCACAAGCTCCGAGGCTGCTACTGACAAGAATGTACCAGAAACACTCTTACTCAACATCAACAGGCTTCGAGACTGCCAGAATGACTTCCAGCGTGTGGTGGTGATGGCTACCGGGTGAGTGTGCTTTTCATTCTCGACTGTGCTGCTTTGCTAAAGCGAGCTTTGCAGGCTTCTACTTCTCCGGCAAGAGCTCATGACGAAAGTCCATGGGCCCGAGCTGGAGAGCATCCTCGCGGACGCGTGCAAAGAACTGGAGAGCCTCCTCAACGAGCCCATGGCGTTGGTGAGCCAGATTGGATCGTTCCTCGCCAGAGTTTGCGCCAAGTACTGCAGCGAGAGCTATCCGGACGTGGATGCGTGCGCGGCGTTCATGGGCAGGGTGCTGGAGAGATCTCTCTCGGCTGGCGACGCCGTGTTTGAGCGAGTGGTGGCGACCATTCGATCGAGCTTGAGGGCGATGCTGGTGCTCGGGAGTGGCGGCGACGGCGCGGCGGTGGTGGAGTCGGGGCTCAAGAGGATCGGCGGCGGCGTGTTCCTGGAGGAGATCGCGGGCATTGCGCGGAAGATCGACAGGATCTCGAGTGTCACGGTCCAAGTTCACGGGAGCTGGTACGGACGGGTGGTAATGTTCAGCTGAAAGAGACGATGCCGTACGGCGGGGTCTCCAAATGTACAAACGAAAGATTTTAGGGTACTAAGCTTAAATATTTGAAAGAGCGCGGGCTTATAATTTAGGGCTTTTCTTATTGAGTTTAAAAATTTGCGGGAAAAGAAGGTTATTCTAGGTTTTTCTTTGAGCGCTTGCAAATGAATCGGTTCTCCTCTACAAAGAATGCGCGCTTACAAATCAAAGCGGGATGATCAAAATCAAATCGCGTGCACACATGCTTGGAAATCGCCGCGCGCCGCTCCCTCCCAGGTGCTTATCCACAGGGTTATTACGAAGAAAAGGCTATCTTACAACTTCTTTCCCCCTTTTTTTTGTGTGTTTCTTCTCTGTGCGTGTTTGTGTGTGTTCTAATCGCTTCGTTTCCAGACTTTGAGGTGCAAGCCTCCCTTGGGTCTCGGCGTCGGCCAGTACTGGACGCCACAGTCGCCACCCACAATCTTCCACCTTCACAAAGATCACCAAGTAAGTTCTTTTGCTTTTTTTCTCTCGGAGTTGGTCTAAGCTATTTGCATACTTGTAGTTTGTGACGAGAAGATGGATGAATATCAAGGCCTCCAATTTCACGACTTCGCTTCCAGGACATAGCCGGACCCCGTTTCCAAAGGGCGTGTAAATCCCAGGCTTTGGAGGCGTCTACAGCACAACTTAGAAGGTATTAGTACCGAAGGCTTCCATCTCAACTTACTTGGAACTTTTCTTCTTTTTTTTTTCTATACCAGGAATCTGGAGGGGTCGAACTTGTGGGGATCCTTGAAGTACGTGGGATTCAAATGGAAATGTCTGTAGTAGACTTGGACTTTCCATCCTTTTGGAAACAGGACACCTGCATAACAGAAGCTTGGTAAGTACTGTGATTAAATTTGCGAGAGGTTTAGTAGACCCGACCATCATGCTCGACGTCCTCGACTACTTCACGCGGCGAGAATGGTGCCACATTTGCCAGCCTCAGAGATTCTTGTACAACCTGTAAGTTTCATGCCAGGTTTGTTTTTTTCCTTCACTGAAAAGCTGCTTACCCTTAACGAGACTGGCATGTTTTTTATCTCGCTCCATGTCAAGGGACTCTCTGGATGTTCTCTTGCGCTCCTTATTTGGTCCTGCTCGTCCTGGAACGCCAGCAAAAACGGGGTAAGTTTTTCTAAGCGAAACAGGCAAAACCAATTTCGTTCTTCTTACTCTGACTTGTTCGAGAATATCTGGGTGTTCCGTCAGGTACTTGACGATCCACACGAGGAACACGGCCGTGGTTTCGTGTCCAGCAAAGAGAAAAGTGATGAGGATATCCCTGATCTCGTCGTCCGTGAACTTGGTACCTTGATCATCCTTTGAAGCCAAAAGCGACCCCAAGATATCACTGTAAGTAGTTGCCGTGTCGCTTTTCCTTCTTTTCACGAGGCTCGTTAAATCTGTCAGAATCTCCTTGCTTTTCTGCAGTTTTAAAGAAGCTCTCAGGGAGAACGTAAACACTGCGAAAGTGAAAGCGTACCTTGATAGCAAGATGGAATCCAGTTCCTGGGAAATTAATTGGCATCGAGATCGCGCCGTTGGAGAGGATTCCGTAACTATCCAGCAACCGCATCGACTCCTCGCATGGGGCCATACTACAAGTGATGCTGAGCGCAACGTGGAAGGCAAACTAAACAACATAAAAGATCATCAGAGGCTATCAACAAAGCTTTGCACGCATTCGAAAGCATCGACCGGACAGTGAAAACGAAATTGGCCGTGACTCCACGACCTTTACGGGAGCACAGGGACAGTGACTAAAGTGTGAATTCACAAACAAAACAATTTCGACAGCGCAAAAAGGCGACACCAGGCATGAAAGCGCTGTTGCTGGCTGTTTACCTTTCGAGTCTCGTCGTGGGTGACAACAAACTCCCGCTCGTTCCAGTTTTCCAGACACCATCTGCAAAGACTCTCGAACTTCGGAATGCTGTCCCGAATCGTCTCGGAGAGCATGGAGGACTGGACAATTTTCCGAATTCGCTGGTGGAAGGCTCCCTCCCAGGACGGATGGTTGAGGACTCTGTCAATGGACGGGGGATATATCGCCTTGAAAGACTTATGCTTGGTCGCAAGGATAAACTTGGCATGCTCCGGGGTGGACGTAATTATGGTCGGACTTCCCAGGATATGCGTCCTGTAGATCTCTCCGAACCTGCAAGCGTGAAGAGAACAGCATTATTCTCGAGTCGACTCTGCACAGACGAAGAAGCAGAAGGAGAAGACTCGAAACAGAATTAAACTGGAGGAGATGGTGGAAGATCAAAGTGGAGGACAGAAGGAACTGTTTTTTCTTTACCGTGCGTAACGCTCGCGGAAGAACTGATCCGGACTCTTGTAGAAGAAATGGAGACTCTCGCCGAGCCAGGGAATGAACCACCAGCGGCCTCTGGGAATTTTACCACTGCCACTCTGGGCGATGTACAGGCTCCATTGCACCAGGAACACAGGAGACGTCAACAGCACTAAGGCACAAGCGATGAGGACTCCGATCAAAACCATGCTGCTGCTGCTGCCGCTCCTGCTCGAGAAAATTATGTGTGACTTTCACTGCCGCGCCTTTATCGCTTCGGTTAGCGCGGCGCGAGGTAAGACATAGCTGCTTTCTTTGCGGCTAACACAAAGTTCGTGCGTGCAGCTCAGCTTCTCGGCTTGATAACAACGAGCAGCGTCGTCAACAGTTCATGCGCGTGTCATCCAACAACACCTACCGCATACAGACGCAAGACAAAATTCCTATCTGCCTTTCGCCAAGCCGAAAGCTGCGTGTTGCTGTTGGACGTTAGAGTTCGAGAAAGCAACTCGTGAAGTAGGAAAAAGCAGAGACCAGGGAATGAACGCAAATGCAAAGAAGGCGAGGCAGCGCTTGAATCAAAGCTGCAAGCTGATGAGCCGCTGCCGCCGCTGCTGCTGCGACTGCATGGTCTAAAAGGGAGAAGTTATTTCAACTCCGCCCAGCTCCAGACATATACGCATCAACCTGATCCAAGTTGTGCGTGCTGTCAGCCGGATATTTATGGAGAGAGCTTCATCAACACCACGGCTCCTTCAATGGGGGCTCTGGACTGAGCAAAAAGAACTCGAGCAGAGACAAAGGCAAAGACGCGGCAGTGGTGAACAGGCCCAGCTCACATGGGCATTACCAGACGAAGGCAAAAAACCAGCAGCAGAGACGTAAAAGAAAGAAAGCCGAGGGGGTGAACTCGTGAAGATGGGAAACAGTGCTAGCGAAGAACGCAACGGTGATAGTCGTCTTGTGCTGAAACAGAGCTCTGCGCGGCTGTGCGATACTGCCGGAGAGGTAAGTGTGTAAGTGTGAGAGAGTGAGAGCTCTGCTAATGCCTCCTCTTATACTTTTCCAGGCTGGGCTTCTACGCGCTCGCCGATAGCAGCAGTGGCAACCAGTGGTTCGCTCGGCTTCTACGCGCTCGTCAATAGCTACGTACAAACAGGTCGCTGGTAGCCTTGCTAGCGTACAAACTTCGCAGGAATTACCAGGCACAAGAGCACAGTAGCCGCGCGCGCGCGCACGCACGCACTCCACAGTCGCAGGGTACGTTTAAAGCTGGTGATTTGCTCCTCATCTCGGCTTTAAGGCGGGGTGAGCTCGAGTAAGCCAAGGAGCTTGGTGGCGACTCGTTGATTTTGGGCCGTGAGCTTGACAGGGAAGAACTTGTGCGACGTTTTGGAATCTTGACTCCTCCTGGATTGGCGTCAAAAAGCTTTGGCGTCAAAAAATGGGAACGGGATTGCGATCGTGAATTGATCGAGGAAAGAGGAACCGACAGTGGAATTCGCTGTCCCGTCCCCACTATGCTAGATCTCTATTCCCGGTAATTGGCGCGGTTTTTTTTTTTAAATTCGAATGTTTGAAATTTAAATGCGATTTGGCGCGCCCGCTATCTCCATCCCTGGCGCCCAGCGTGTGGTCCCCGGGCTTGTGGTCCGTGACCCGTGGCAGTGAGGCTCACGAGTCTGGTGTCCGGTCACAGCACACCCGATTTCTTTCCCCCGGCTCTGTCCTGGCCAAGGCAAATTCGCGGGCAAATTCGCGGGATTTAGCTCGGATTTGTCGATTTTGCTAATTCGATCCCTTCTCTCAAGTGGGCTGTCGATGGATTGAGCCCAGATCTCGGTTTAGGGGTCGGGTCCGATCAAAGCTTTTTCTTCCCGCTGTTGCCACTAATGTGAAATGTGGAGGCCAGGAAGAGAGAGAGAGAGAGCGAGGCAAAAACAAAAGAAAGAATAGAAAATCCTTTCTTTGCTCGCCTCCCTCCTTCTGGACCAATGTCCAAATACAATGTTCCAGGGAAGAGCAATGATCGGGGCCGTCCGCTGATGATGAAGAGAGATAATCTGGGCCGTCCGCTGATGGCCCATCGCAGCCGTTGGTTTAAGCCTGGCACCTTTGTTAGTGGCGCATTGGCGAGGGAGCGCTATGGCCGCTACTAACGAAGCCTACTACGTCTCCAACCCTAGTTCCTGGGCTAGGGTTAGGGCTTACAGGAGGGAGCGATGGCGGAGGAGAGTGATTCCAGGCGCGCCAGCAGCGCCAGGAGGCCGCGCACGGATTTGGCCCGCCGGCGCCCACATTCGCAGCCCGATCGGCTGCTGACGGTTTCTCGTAGGAATTCTAGCGGCCCGGGGAAGATGGAGGGCGCCGGCGAGGAGGTTTGTAGGCCGAGCGAGGAGAAGAGCGTCAGGGTGTTCAAGCGCAGGGAAATTGGGACGTTTAACGAGGACAAGAGCAAGAACGGTAGGAATGGGGGGAAAACGAATGGAAAATCCAAGGCCGGGAGCGAGGAGAAGCCACCGGATGCAAAGAGACGTCGCCAGCGCTTGGTTCTCGAGGTTCGTATCCTTCGTTCCTTTCTTTGATCCTTTTCATCCTTTGCTTGTGGGCTAACTTTTGTCATTCTTTTTGTATATGAATCCAGGGCTCGGACGAGGACTCCGAACCGTCCGAGAAGAATGGCAATGGAAGTAAAGACTCTTCCAGCCCGAGCAAGCGAGCGGAGTCCAAACCGGTTGCCAAGGCCGCTCCGGAGTGCGTGGGGTTGAGGAAAAGCTCGCGAGTTGTGAAGAGACGCACCTTCGACGACGAGATAGACTTTGACGAGGTGATAAAACGTAGGAGGAGGCCGCCGCAGCAGGATAGTGCGAAGGAGGCTGCTGCCAAACAAGTTGACGAGAACACGGACAGTGCGGATGACGATCACCCGAGGAAGAAGCCAAGGAGAGGAAGCATTCAGGAGCTCCAGTCCGCCAGCGAAAAGCCAAAACAACGAGGTGGTTCGGTAGTAACTCAAGAGAATGCTGTGCCAAGGGAAAAGCCCCTGACTGCAAGACAAAGGGCTATGCAAGCGAAGGATAGCGGCATACTAGAACAACCAAGTACGTCTGGAAGAGACGAGGCTCAGAAGGTAGATTCTCCGAGCGATAGCGTCGACTCGAAGGAGAAAGCGACAGTGCCTTTGACGGCCAGGCAGAGGTCGCTTCAAGCATGCAAGGACGGCGACGGGAACTTTGGGCTCATTGAGTTTCCCGAGGGTCTAAACCATACAGATCGAAGTACGTCACTGGTCTTTTTGGTTCTTTGTCCTTTTTTTTTTCCTTCATGGTAAAGTGTTTGGATGCAGGACGGAAAGCCAAACTTACTGACGAAGAAAAGCTTGCGAAGAAAGCTGAAGCGGCTAGCAAACGAAAACAGCAAGTAGAAAAGGCTGCAAAGGAGATACAGGTAACTTTATTTGCGTATCATGGACCAAAGTAAACCGTTGTTTCTCTTATGCAGGCGTCTGCCATACAAAAAATCCTGAATCAGGACTCAAATAGAAAGAAAAGAGAGGAAAAAATACAAAAGCAAAAACAAGAACTGGCAGAGGTTTGTGACTCTTATCAGAGTTTCAAGCTCGTAACTCGAGAAACTATGTGCAGGAAAAGAAAGCTGCTGAATTGGAAGTCGCTACTAACTCCGTTCGCTGGATTATGGGTCCTTCTGGGACTACGGTTTCGTGGGCTCAAGATGAGTTTCCAGCTCTTTTCTCTTCCGGGCCTATAAGGCAAGTCTTTTTCGAGGTACGAGTGGAATGACAATTTTGCTGTGCTTTTGCAGGTATCCCCCTCCTCGGGAAAAGTGCGCTGCATGTGATAATGCGTACAAATATCGGGATTCGAAGTCCAATCTGCCTCTTTGCAGCCTGCAATGTTACAAGGCAGTGCAACAACCATTGAAGCCGGCATTAGAAGTTTCTCCGGCTCAGTAGTTGTGATGAGGTACCATTGAAATTCATACTTTTTTCAGCTAAACGATCTAGCTGGTAGCACAGGCAAATTGTGGTTACGCAGACAAATATGTTCTAAAGAAAATCGAAAGTGATAGTACCTTGGGCGACACACGATTGTCATTCACTCGTTTTGGTTTGGACTAACTTGTTTGTTATAAGTTTGTTGCAGTGGCATATAAGGCTCGCTCTGGCCTTTCCAGTGGCCGTTGCTAGTGCTTTCAGATGAGCACTTCACTGCTGGTAGTCTTCTTCATCCTTACAAGGTAAGACAGCAAACTTTTGTCTTTCGATAGACTGGCTAACAGTGAAATGACAGGGCGGCCGTCGCCGAGGATGCAGCTCCACCACTCATGCAGCCTATACAGGATTTTCCTCCCGCGTTTGATCCTCCTCCGCCTCCACAGCAGGACGGGGCTTCCACGGTTCGAATTTTTAACAAGGCCAACCCCTCGCTCTCGCTAACCGGTTTGTGGAATGGGAAAGTGGTGATGACGCTTGGAAACGGGACGATGCCTTACCAGGTCGGATGTTATACACGTTCTTTGCTCCTCCTTTTTGGCTCATTCTTTTCTCTTCCGCTTGCAGCAATGGTTTGTAGATACTTCGTGGGGGACGAGATTCACAGACGCGGTTGGCTACAAGGCCTTCATGCTGGTGAACAAGGCGACTGGCATGATACTCCGGCATGGCTACTTGGAAAACTCCGCGGTAAGCAAGCTTGGAACTTGATAGAGCACGAAGTTTACTCGTGTGTCTTTCCTTCTATATCTTACAGGTGAGTTGCGGGATCGTGAAGGGCGACTTGGTGGATAGCTTGTGGACGAGAGGCCCCGACTTACAGGGATTCCACACCATCAGAGCTTGCAGCAAAGTGGAGCTGATAATGGACGTGGAGCGCGCGGACTTGAAGAAGCACATACTCTTGAAAGAAGGATGCAAAGTGGTGATGTTTAAGATGAGCCAGGAAGAAACACAGTACTGGAGAATGGAAGCCATAGTTTCATCGAGCTAAGGAATGAAAAATTATAGATTTTGGAGTAACGTCCGATCAAATCTCTTACGTTAGAGTCCACATACCATGTACGGGAAAAAGATATCCTTGTCTACCGCAAGGTCGTAGCCTCCGTGGAGATAGGTGGTAACTGTCAATGGCTGTTGTTAACGTTTGCGGCCAGGATCCTCGCAAGCTCTTGGAATGGACGGCTGTCATTGCTCGTGCTCGCCACGAGAATAAAGCGAGTTCCTTTGGAACGATCCGGCTTCCTCGTTCCAGTGTCGAGAGAGAAAGAGAGAGTAGCGAGGATGATCCTGGAGGTTCTCGCGAGGAATGCTTTCGAGGAGTTTGCGGCGGGAATGCTCAAGCCGGTGGCGGCGCTGGCGATTGTCGGCATGGCGATCGCGCTGTCGCTCGTCCAGCGGCTTCAACTGGAGCAGGAGATGGTCACCTCCATCGCCAGAGCCTTCGTCCAGCTCGCCCTCATCGGCTTCATCCTCCAGTTCATCTTCGAGCAGAAGAACGCCGTCTGGATCTTCGTGGCTTACACCTTCATGGTAAGATCTCTTCTTTCTCCTGCTTGTTCTTCGTCTAGAGCTTGAGAAAGAAAAAAAAGAATCGTACCTTGTAGGTGATCGTCGCGGGATACACGGCGGGGCGACGAGCAAGACACGTCCCACGAAGTCCATACATCGCTGGAATCTCCATCTTCATCGGCACTGGTGTTACGCTTGCGCTGCTACTGCTGCTTCGAGTGTTTCCTCTCACGCCCCGCTACATGATCCCGGTGAGTGGAATGATGGTTGGAAACTCCATGACAGTCACCGGGGTCGCCATGAAAAACCTGCGAGACAACCTCAAGATGCAAATGAACCAGGTAAAGGCTCTTAGAACTAAGAAAACAAAATCACCTTTTGTTCTTCCAGGTTGAAACGGCTCTAGCTCTTGGAGCGACGCCGAGCCAGGCGATCAAGCGACCGATGAAGAGAACTTTGATACTGGCCTTGAGTCCCGTCCTGGACAACACGAAAACGGTGGGATTAATCTCGCTGCCTGGTGCGATGACGGGACTTATCATGGGTGGCGCGTCGCCGCTGGAAGCTGTGCGTCTCCAGATGGTGGTGATGAACATGCTCGTCGGGGCCGCTACTTTCAGCAGCCTTGTGGCCGCGTACTTGAGCTGGCAGTATTTTTTCACCAAGACCATGCAAGTCGAGACCAAGGTGTTCCTGGATGAGTGAAGTAAATGTTAGTTTCATGGAGAAAATCGCGGAAAACTTACAAAGGCTTGAGAATCTTGGCGAGGATTTTGAGCTCTCTGGAACAAAGAAACCGATCCTTCACAGGCAGAAATCCAAGAGAACAACGTGAAATTTCCACCGGACGAATGGAAATCGAATGAGAAGAAATAGTTCTCGACCGAAAGGCTGGAAGTTCTTATGAAACACAAGAAAGTTCTTACAAACAAAAGATTCCTGGCCAGTGCTAGGCGGCAGCTTGGGCTTCCTGGAAAAAATCCAAAAGCGAGAGGATAAGCAGGAATTTCTAGTTTGGAATCCTTCTAGTGCTGATGATACCTGCTGCTGGGCTTTCTCAATTATGCGCCTATCCCTGTCGTCCATGAGCTTGTCCCATTTATCGTTCCTCACGGGCTTGGGCTGCTCGATCCAATCCAAGAGAGATTTCACGGCCTACATTCTGGGAGAGGAAGTGCTGCTTGCTTAACTTACCTTGCCCATGGTCTTGACATGAGCCATATGAGGAAGATAGCCCATCAGAAAGAGAGCGCCGCCAATGATGCCCATCGGGACCATGCTATGCCACCACGCCATAGCTCAAATGCCCTAATTCTTACATCTTAAAGCATTTTGAAAATTTCCAATTTTTTATGAATCAATAATTTGTAATTATAATTATAATAAAATTTTCTTACCTGATCAAAGAATTATTTATATTTTAATAGATGTAAAATGTGAAAATCCCTATATTTAGAGTAGGAGTAATAAGATATAATTTTAAAAAATATTAATTTTAATGGGCTTATAATGTTTTAAAAACCATTTTTTTATATTTCTTAGTAATGGAAACCACAATTATGAGTAGTTTTTATTACACATTTCTAAGTCCTTCTAAAAATCTTCACTTCTTTTATGTAACATTCTTTTCTAAAGATGTTTTATATGTTGAAAAATATATAAATTTGCAAAAATATATTACTTATTATTTCTTTCATATAGGCTCTTTTAAAATTTATATTTTAAATTTTCACATAAAAGTTTTTTACATCTTTATCCATAATTAACATTTGCATAATGTAATTTTGAAGTTTCTCAAAGATTTTATCTCCTTTAAAAGTTCAAATGGAGCATAAAATGCAAAAATATTCATAAAGATATTATTGATAACAAAGAATTACAAAAAAGAAAAAAATTTATATTCATCTTTAATAAAAAAAAATTCATTTGAGCTCATAAACATCATCTTCTCGTAAACTTGATCCTTGAATATTCTTCAAGAATCAAACTACATTATCCATAACTTGTCAACTAATGTCATGATCACACTCTATATTAATAAAAAATGGCAAAACACCAAGAATAGGACAAATCATGTAATCACATCCCACAAAAGTTGAAAATGACAACATATCAAGGATGGGTACAACACCAACATAATCACAACTCATAACACCAAAAGTTCAATCTAACAGAGTAGCATTAACAACTTCAAATGATATACTCCTTGATTAATAATTGCATGGCATGGTAGAAGAAGAGAATGCAATAAAGATCAAAAGAAAGAACAGATTTATAGCTAAAATTCTAAATCTTGGAAAAAATTCATACAAATCTAGATTTAAAAGAGAATGAAGAAATAAAAACAAAAAATACAATCCCAAACACTAGAGTAAAACACTATTAAAAAGTTTTACCCTTCAAGGACAAATTGTAGTGCCTCTCATCTCGATATCGAAATAAATATATTAATTAGGGTTTAGACCCCTACTTATATACAGTCCATATGCTTTAGTACTAGACTTAGTGGCAGGGTAATACATGTATATGTATATATATATATATATGTGTGTGTGTGTGTATTTACAAATTGTAAGCCACAAATTTTTCCTTTCCAATTTGTTAACTTACCTTGTATATTTGACCACCACTGCCTTAGCCTTAGTTAAATTTCCTCGCCAAGGTTTCTATTTATTGTATTAACTCCTACTTGGTCCTGCTTAATTTCAGCAACTCACTATACGAATAATAGAGCATTAGCCATCCATCCATAGATTCCCAAATTTTCTCCAAATCCCCCTCTCTAATTAGACTGAACTTAAAGTTTAATTACACTCCCCATAAGCACAAGTAATCAAGCACACCAAGCCTCCATGTTTTTAACATCTCTTGGTACAATAAAATTTGATCATGGGACCCTCTAAATCCTAAACCTTGGGTGCAACACTTATTTCAGAGCACCTAAAGGAAAGACCATGGCATAACAACCCAATATAAATATCTCTACTCCCCCACTTTCATCCTGAAGGGAAGGTCCAAACCCCTAAAAAGGGGTGAAGACTAATAAACTGAAAGGTACTTAAGTGGGGCACCATCCCACAAAAGTCAAGAACATTATAATTAATTTCCCTTTCAATTAAGTGGCCCACTTCAAACATTAGAGGTAATATCTAAAACATGGGCAAGGCAGGAACTCCCACATTGTCAACACAGAGTGCCGGATCCCATCGCAACTGCTGTGTTTCATGGAACGTTCTCCAAGCCTATCCATCCTTTAAATACTTTCACAACCATCTCACAACTCAAGGAAAGAAAGAGGTCACTCTTCTAATTCTTAGCATTGCTCTCTCGTTTGTTTCCTCAAGTTCCAGGGGTCACTCAAGAACACGATGATGATCACACTCTTCCAATTTCTCGTCATTGCGGCACCAATCTTCCAGGTGATCACAGCCTCCGACGCCGATCCCCTCCAGGACTTTTGTGTGGCCGACCTCGCAAAGGACCTCACTCTCAATGGCTACCCTTGCAAGCGAGCAGCCAACACCACCACCGAGGATTTCATCTTCTCCGGCCTTCGAAACTCCGCAAACACCAGCGGCCCATCGAGAGCCGACGCGGTGTTTGGCTTCGTCCACAGTTATCCGGGGCTCAACTCTCTCGGCCTCTCCATAGCCAGGCTCGACTGGGCTCCCGGCGGTCTCATCCCTCCACACACGCACCCGCGAGGCTCAGAGATCATCTACGTCGTGGAAGGGAGCTTGTACGCCGGATTCGTCACCACCCAGAACCAGCTCTTTGCTCGGGTCATCTCCAAAGGCGACGTGATGATCTTCCCGCGGGGTTTGATACACTGGCAGCTCAACGTTGGTAACACCACCGCCATGGCCGTGGTGACGCTGGATTCGCAGTCACCGGGCTTCCAGCTTATCGCAAGCTCCATGTTTGGATCGGACATCCTGGACGAGGTGCTCGTCAAGACGTTCTTTATTGATGAGAATGCGGTTCGGCAGCTCAAGGCGACGTTCTCTGGCTCCTCCTAAATAGTTCACTTGAAAGTAAAAATAAATTTTGTACGGTAGATTTTATGGAAACTTGATCGTTCTTTCTTTCATTTTCAACACGTTAACTTCACTGACGTTTGTCGACTTTGTCGCTTAGTTTATTTTTCATGTGCATAAATTGACGTGGAGGAGATGAGTGTGTTGTCCAGATCCAGCAGCGGCAGGAGCGTCACACTCTCATCATATTTTAAAGGTTTATTTAGGAAAGGTCCACAAAGTTGAAATATTGTCTCACACTTTTGGAGATGATAAATTTCTTCTTATTGACCTTATCTAGCACATTTTATATAATTTTTTAGTACACTATTGATTTCTTTAAGATTCTCCGATTTGAAACTGGCCAGCAAGCAAATCCAACAAAAGTACACCACTGCCATTCCGGCCGCAAGGAAATGTGCTACTGGAAGACCAAAGGGGGATTGTCCAAGTACTGGAATCGTGATTTTGATCACATGATGTCTTTTATTATACGTTCCACACTCTAGCATAAAACGGTCCGGATGGGAAATTAGAGGCCGGGGGATTGGTTGGACGATGCAAACGATTGCGAAATGAAGGGAATTTTAGGATTGTTTCATTTTGTGATACATAAAACATCTATACTTTCTAAACTTCACACTCATATTTTAAAGAAACTCACTGGAAGTCAAGATCATTTGAAACTAGAAAACTATTGGCAGGCTGACGTGTCAGTTGTGCAGAGTTTTTGGGGAGCTAGGCGTGGCAAAGGGGAGCCCGATGGAGCTTTGGAAATGCGTACAAAGATTATTTCGACAAAGAATGCATACACCGAAGATCAGAAACTTGTGGATCTAAAACAGATGTAAATCATGGCGTGTCAAGCAGGACCTTCCACATTGTCAACACATTGCACCTTCCATCCTTCGTGGAACCTCCACATTGTCTTGGCACCCACGCCTTTTCATCCTTCAAATACCATCTCACAACTCAAGGTACTTCTCAAAAAAGAGATCCACTCTTCCTTTAGTTCTTCTCACAATCGTTTGTTTCCTCAAGCTCAAAAACACGATGATGTTCACACTCCTCCAACTTCTCGTCATTGCGGCACCAATCTTCCAGGTGATCTTAGCCTCCGACCCCGATCCCCTCCAGGATTTTTGCGTGGCCGACCTCGCAAAGGACCTCACTCTCAATGGCTACCCTTGCAAGCGAGCAGCCAATACCACCACCGAGGATTTCATCTTCTCGGGCCTTCGAAACTCCGGAAACACCAGTGTCCCATCGAGAGCCGTGGCGACATTTGGCTTCGTCAACGATTATCCGGGGCTCAACACTCTCGGCCTCGCCATAGCCAGGCTCGACTTTGCTCCCGGCGGTCTCATCCCTCCACACACGCACCCGCGAGGCTCGGAGATCATCTACGTCGTGGAAGGGAGCTTGTACGCCGGATTCGTCACCACCCAGAACCAGCTCTTTGCTCGGGTCATCTCCAAAGGCGACGTGATGATCTTCCCGCGGGGTTTGATCCACTGGCAGCTCAACGTTGGTAACACCACCGCCATGGCCGTGGTGACGCTGGATTCGCAGTCACCGGGCATCCAGCTCATTGCAAGCTCCATGTTTGGATCGGACATCCTGGACGAGGTGCTCGTCAAGACCTTCTTTATTGATGAGAATGCGGTCCGGCAGCTCAAGGCGACGTTCTCTGGCTCCTCCTAAATAGTTCATGGTTTCATATAGAAACTTTGCAAAATAATAACAAGCATCTCAACATAGCCCAAGTGGCACATTTTCAAAGGTGACGTGATGAAGTTGGAATTTACACCTTCACCACTGTTGGGACAAAGTCTTGCTTGCCCGGTCAACCCATAGTCAAAGTTGATTTCCGAATGATGCTTTGAATTCGCTTAATGACGTGGCCTCTGGACTAGATCGCCGACAGGCCCAGCAAGATGGCGCAGGTAAACAAAACCATAATCTTTACAAAGCATGTTAACCAAGTGCCATTGTCGAGGACGTGTTCAAGCTTGCCTCTGGGTGGATGATGTTTGCCTCAGGGGTGTCAATCTCTCAAGCTCCTTATCATCTGCCAGGAAGCACAAGAACAATTTACTGGGACCAATGCCAAAAACAAAGGTGTCCACAAAGCTGTGTTTCTGGAGGCAGAGGTGTGAAAATGTGGAAACCTTTATCCTTTGTAGCCACAGGCGCTGGAAACAAACGCGAAAAAGCGGTGCTCAAGCCAAAAGAGAGGTTGTATTTCATCAAAAGTCTATCTCGACAAAAGCACACAGCCATGCAATTTCAAGCGCAAACAAACTATCAGTATGTCGAAAAGAAAGAATGCAAGCAAGCAAGCAGGCTATTAAACATGCCTATACAAAAATAAATAATGCAGGAAAAATGCTGGGTAGAGAGGTTGAGGGACTCGCTGTTGGAATCGACTTTGCAGCCCGCAGCTCACTTGGCTTTCGTTGCCCTGTCACAACCTCAAGAATTAAGACTGTTCTTGTTCTGAATTGATTGCAGTTTGAGAGCTTACTGGTTGGTGTTCTTTGGAGAAACAGGACTTCGGCTGGGACTGCTGCTGGTAGCTCTACAATCAAAGAGAAAGTTAGTGGAAAGCGCCGACAGCGAAAGGATACCTCTTTGGACTTCTGCTTCTCGTAGATTTCCTTGCTCCCCCCCGGACAGGTGATCTCTGCTTTTGCAGCAGTGAGAAAACAAAAACAGGATTGAGAAGTATTACAGCTACTTACTCTTCTCACTGGACTAGGAGATCCGGATGAGTAGGAGCTTGACCTGCCCCGCCTGTTTGGTGGTGATCTTGCTCTGGAAACACAGTATTGTTAGCCAGCAAGAATTTGAAGCAAGGAAAACAAACCTTCTAGGAGCCGAACGCGATCTGGAACGTGATCGCATCATCCGCCTTGGAGGCGAGCGCATACGCCTCGGTGGAGGGGTCCTTGAACGACGTCGAACTGGGGAAGACCTCCGTGGTGGTGTACGTCCTCGCCTGACTGGAAGTGGTGACCTGGTTGCGAATAGCACAGCGGTAAAACCTCAGAACACATAAAGCTTTTCTATTGTATACCTGCGCCTGTAAGGAGCTGGCGATCGCTGACGACCCATAGGCCTTCGTATTGGGCTCCTGCAAATTCATATAGCGCATTAGAATCACGATGAGGACGGCCGAGAGAAAATTTACCTGTTTGGAGACCTCCGTCGCCTTCGGAATCCTGGTGAAGGTGACCGTCGCCTTACCGGCGACGAAGCTGGTGGCCTTCGTCGCGGTGGCGCAGCGTCTCGTTTTGGAGACACCCCTCGTGCCGGGGATACCTTTCTTGTGAGCTTTACACTGATGACGAGTCCATCGACTTGAGCCTACAAACAAGGAAAAAAAAGTGTAAGTCCCACACACAGAAAAAAAAAGAAAGAAAAAGAATGCCAACCCCATCCATGAACTGTTGAGCTTTTTCAGCATCCGATTTGCTCTTGTAATCCACGTACGCAAATCCCTTTGGAAGATTCACCTGGAAAGAGGGGAAATTTAGAAGAAAAAAAAGAGAAGCCTACGCGAGAATGCTGTCAGGAAGAAGTGTTCTTTATCCTTACCGTCTTGTCCATCGCAAGATCCACAGCAATAATATCCCCATAGTTCCCTACACAAAGCAAAAAGATCAAAGTTTCGAGCGCTAGAACCCATGGGAGCCTACCGAAAATCTCCTTGAGATGGGACTCGTTCACATTCCTCGAGAGCTGGCTGACGTGCAAGCGGCTGGAATCCTCGGCCGGCTTGGCCAAGCGCTTTCTAGGGCTCCGGCTCCGCCCGGAACTGGCGCTCGTCCCGGACGACGACGCAGACCTGGATCGCGAGCGGGAGGAGCCCGAGTAGGAGCTAGATCCCGAGCGCGCCGGCGAGGACGATTTCGGCTTGACAACCTTGGTCGCCATTCCCTCCGTCCGGTGCGCCAAAACCTCGAAAACCCTAAACCTAAAACCAAGAAACGAAATTTAGGGCAGACTTGTCGAGAGTGGCGGTGAATGGATTCGAACCGCGGACGTGATTAAATACCGCTGTTGGGATTCGACGTTTACACGCGCAACACGACACCACACTTTTCGCCTTTGTCGAACGCTTTTGTTATGAATGGGCGCCAACAAACGCGAGCCCATCTCTATCGAACAAAACAAGCCCAGAGAAGAAACAAAAAAATATGGAGAGAGGGAAGAAAATTGAAGGCAAAGAAGAAGTTGTAACAATCGATCGAGCAAAGCATTACTTTTTTATCGATCGAATCGCAACTGGGCAGCCCAGATTCCCCCCAATGCTCTGTGTAATCAATAAAACTAGAGCGCATCCAAGAGACAAAGTGGTATTGTTCTTTGATCACGATCGCTTGGAAGAACACAAAAAAAAAAACATAGAAATTTTTTTTTTCTTGGAGTGTCCCTACAGAACAAAATCGACACGCACTCGAGAACAAACACGCTTTTGGAGGTGTGTGTCAAGTTTGTGCTGTGGGAAAAAGAGAACTCCTCTCCCTCTCACAATCTGGAAGAAAGTGAAAGAACTTTAGCTACGAACAAGAACAACCAAGAGAAAGAGAGAGAAAAGTCTTGCCCGGCTCGTCTCACAAAGCTTGTGCTGCCGATCCATGGATGGAAGAATCGAAGAGCTGGAGCATCAATTCACGCCGGAGAGCTCTAGCGCAGCAGCGGCATTTGGAACCAAGTAGCGCTGATCAGCCTTGCGGGAGGATTTGCAGAGGAGCTTGAGCGGCGAGCCGTGGCAATTGCTGTATCGTCGACCCAATCTCTCGTAGCAATCGATGGAGAAGAGCGAGAGCGAGAGATGGACTTCGTCTTTGCTCCACTTCTCTTGCTGCTGGACGCTCGCCTTGGCTGGAACCGAGGAGGAGCGTGACAAGAGGGGCCGGAGGCAAAGAACGTAGAGGCGGCGGAATCCCCCCAGCGCAAGAACCACAGACCTGAGCTGCGACGCTTGCGACGAGGCGCCGCTGGCGCTGGACCAGTTGATCGTGCACACGTTCTCCCACAGCGTCTCGTCCTCGGCGGCGCGCCTCCACCGCCGATTGACGCACGCCGCCATGGCCAGGGCTTTGGCGTCGAGGTGCTTGAGGATCTCGTAGAACATGTCGTCGTCGCGCTCCACCTGCGAGATCACCGTCGGCGGCTGCGACATTGCAATCCGCCACTCCAATTCCCCCGAAATCTCGCAAATCCGCGGTTTCTTGCCTGGATTCGCGAGCATCCCGGGCCGATCGAATCGATGGAAGCCGCAAGATCGATCAAATGCAGCTACCGGCGCACGAATCAGCGATCCATCCCCTGTTCTTGCAACGAGAAGTTACTAGAATCCGGGGCGAGAGGAGGGATCCGAGGCCTGGAATCCGCGAAAATCTCCGAGGCGGAGAGAGAGAGAGGAAGAAATTTTGCTCTTGGCGGAACAAGAGCCCTAAATCTCGGCCGTTAAATGGTGCAAGAAGCATCCAGCGGTTACAATGCAAACGCGTCACTCCATCAAGAAATGTCAACGACTGTAGCTTACAATTAATCAGCCCATTAGCCACAAACTTACAAGAAGCCCACGCGTATGTATTGGCGGTCGTGTATGTATAATAATACTCTTCGCCGAGGGAATCAAACACGCCGATGCCCCCCTTGGTTCTCTTCGCCGAGGGTATATGCCTGATTCTAGAAACCACCTGGCCGGTACTTGATTCCCCACGTAGAAGCCCTTGTCCCGCAAGAAGTTAGAGCTTCCAAGCTGTCACCACTAGTACCGCATTTTGTGGCAGGACCACGCCAGCTGGGTGTCCACGTCGGCAGCCGGTTGTACTGCCGAGTACCACTGACTAGAAACTAAAACCGTTTTGTCTGCCACGCAAAAAACACAGCTGACAAAAACACTAACAAATAATAATTTTTCCAATTTTCAAATAATATTTTGTGAGATAAGTTGGAACTGCAAGACGTGTGGAAGAGAGATAGAATTTCGAGAGTGACTGCTTGGAGTGTAGCGGTTGTTCATCCCCACAAAAGAGAAAAAAAAGCGAGTAGAAAAAGGGGATAAAAACGATGGTTTCATGGACTGTTGCTAGATTGAGTGAATGAGAGAAAGGACAATGGTTGCTCGTCAGAAAGGAGTGGCGTTTTGTCGGCGTCTACTATAGAAGGGACGAATCGACCACCTATAAGTAGAATTAATTGATAAAACCCACGATTAGATTAACTAAAATTTTTATTATAACAGATTAATTTGTATTAATTGAAGTTTGTTTAGTCCACTCCAAAGCTTACACCAAGCTTTTTCTCGAGACACTAAAGCTTTGGAACGACTTGGATGACCTCTTCTTTTGTTTTTCTTCTCAACCTCCACTTATGTCGGTGTGGACGATTAGTTTCTCTGGTCTACATCATATCTTTCTCGAGTCGTCTCACTAGCAAAGTCTTGATTTGCCCGAGTCAAACCCAGATTTGGCCACCTTTTCGGTCTTATAGTATTTTGGTTGGCATTGCTTTTGTGTCCTGGAATGTTGAAATTGTATGACAGTGAAGGTTTTATAGAAGTTTTCTGAGGTGTGATGACAGTATTTTTTGTCTTATTGATATTAAGAACAACAATATTTGAGAAAAAAACAAAACAAAAGAAGTGGCAGCTGCGATGCACACTCATCAGAAATTATGGTGCACGCGAAACATACCACTCTTGTCCTCACACAAAATCTGACACAAGAAAACGAGACGAGCTTGACAAACACTCCACGACTAGCTGTTATCTGGAAACTTGGAAGCATTTGTATATATATAATTAACAACACCTTATGAGATTCTAATTATTTTGTTCTTTTTTTTCTATAATTTTCTTAAGCCAAGTCTGCGAGCGCATAGCTTCGTTCCACGGCCTTGCACCACGAAGTATAACGCTTTTCACGCTCCGGCTCCGCGATGCTTGGAGTGAAGGTCTGGCCGACTTCTTCATCGGCCGTGAAGATCTGCTCTTCCTTCCACAATCCGACTGCCAAACCAGCCGCATAAGCAGCGCCTAAAGCCGTTGTTTCAATGTCTTTGGGCCTCACTACGTCAGTTCCTAGAAGATCAGCCTGGAAAAACCATGCACAAACTTTAGCTTGAAAGTTTCAAAGAGTGAAAGGAAAATCAGCAAAGTCACGCATACTAATGAAGAGAACACTCCAACTTTCCAGGAATGAAACGAAGAAAACAAGAGAACATCAACTTCCAAGCACCACTAGAGAAAGAGCTTGTTACCTGGATTTGCATCAGTAGATTGTTGACAGTAGCTCCTCCATCGACGCGCAGCACAAACTTTTCCTTGTGCTCCACCTTTGCGTCCTTGAGCATAGAGTCGAGCACTTCCTTCGCCTGGAAACACATACTCTCCAGAACGCTCCGTGCGAGATGTCCCTTGTGAGTGAACCGCGTGATCCCCACGCAAACTCCCCTCGCATCGTCCCTCCATCTCGGAGCATACAAGCCGCTGAACGCCGGAACGAAGTATACTCCCCCGGTGTTCTCCACGGTGCTAGCCAGTGCTTCTATCTCCGACGCACTCTTGATGATCCCAAGGTTGTCTCTGAGCCACTGCACTGCTGCTCCGGCGATGGCGATCGATCCTTCCAACGCGTAACAAGTTGGCGCCTTTGGCCCGAGCTTATAAGCCACGGTCGTGAGAAGCCCGTGCGTGGAAGGCACTACTTCTTCGCCAGTGTTGAGCAGGATGAAGCAGCCAGTTCCGTAAGTGCTCTTGGCCTCTCCCTTCTTGCAGTGCTGGCCGAGCATTGCCGCGTGCTGATCGCCCAAGCAACCTGCGAGTGGAACTCCGGCCAGCGGCCACCCCTCGCAAACTTTTCCAATAACTTCCGAGTTGCTGATGATCCCGGGAAGCATGTTGTAGACGTGAGGTAGCAAGTCGATCGAGATCCCCAAGCTCTCGAGGATGCCTTTGTCCCAGCTCAAAGTCTTGAGATTCATGAGCATTGTTCTCGCGGCGTTGGAGCAGTCGGTGACGTGCAAGCCTCCGGAGATACCCCCGGTCATGTTCCAGATAAGCCAACTATCGACCGTGCCGAACAAAGCGTCCCCGGCGAGCACGGCCGACTTAACCTCTGGGACCGTCTCTAGCAGCCACAGTAGCTTCAAAGCACTGAAGTAAGTACTTATGGGAAGTCCACAGCTCTCCACAAAGTGTTTGCTTCCACCGGAGAGATTCTCTTCCAAGCGTCTGCCAAGAAAGAAGATAAGAAATCACTAAAACACGAGAAAACAAACAAACGAGAAAGGAAAAAGAAATACTTTAGGCTTTCCAGATCGAGCTATGGAGGTATTGAGGAAGAACGAGAAAAGAAAACGTTTCAGCCTTCATAGATCTAACAAACGAGAAAGAAGATAAGAACTTACTAAAAAACGAGAAAACAAACAAACGAGAAAGAAAAAAAACATACTTGAGGCTTTCCAGATAGAGCTATGGAGGGAAGAACGAGAAAAGAAAACGTTTCAGCCTTCATAGATCTAACAAACGAGAAAGAAGAAAGAAAAAAAATGCTTGAAGCTTAGCTATTAGGCATCGAGGAAGGACTTACTTGCAAATGGAGCTCGTTCTTCCATCCATCCAGACAATGGCATTGTACAGTGGCTTGCCAGTGCTCTTGCTCCAAATGATGCTCGTCTCCCGCTGGTTCGTGATCCCGATAGCTTTCACGGCGACGCTAAGACCCTTGCTCGGGGCCTTGTTGAGAGTTTCCTCCATGCATACCTTGACAGACTTGAGGATTTCCAAGGGATCATGCTCCACCCAACTGAAAGAAAAATGAGAGGGATCGAGCGATCCAGCTCCTGATACTGCGAGATTTCACGAGCACTGACCCGGCCTGGGGATAGATTTGCTCGAATTCCAGCTGATGCGAGGCGACCGGCTTGGCATCCTGGTCGTAGAGGATGAATCGCGTGCTCGTCGTGCCCTGATCGATCGCGGCGACGAATGCGGCAGCATCACCCATTTTCCAAGCAATCAAAGATCTTTACCTGGATGGAAAGACCGGGATCGACCTGGGGGCCAAAGATAGGGCACACAAGTCTGAATAGAGCGTTTTATAAAACTTTGCAATAATGGGGTACTCTCCCCACCTTTTGCCTTTAATGTGGCTAAAGTGAGGTTTTGATAAACCACATTGCTAAAGCGAAATTTTGATGAGTTATGCTAGGTATTCAAGTAGTGTTATTCACATTTGGATTGGGAATATTGACCATTTGATCTCTCAAACGAATTAAATTTGACTCTTGAACACTTATTCTATTTTTTTTATTTATATTCACTTTAATTTAGACTCTTCAATAATTATATCATCACTCAACACAAGGTCACATTAACCTTTTTTACACTAACCTTTTCTAGCTAAATTGGCTCAACTAGAGTCCTCCCTTCACTAAGATTTCTTGTGAAAAGGTCAAAACCTAAGTTAGGGCAAAAGCATGGCAGCAAATCGCAACTAGGATCGACCTGGGGGTTAGGGCACACAAGTCTGAATAAAATGTTTCATAAAAGTTTGCAATAATGGGGTATTCTCTCCACTTTTTACTTTTATATGCGTTAGCCATGTGACTAAAGCAAGGTTCTAATGAATCACATGGCTAAAGTGAAGTTCTAACAAGTTATGTCAAGTATTCAAATAATGTCACTTACATTTGGATTAGGAATATTGACTATTTAAGCTCCCAAAGGAGTTATAACTAGCTTTTGAACATTTCCTTAAATTACCCCACTTTTCTGTTTATATTCACTCTAACTTTATATTCTTTATTAATTATATCATTAATACATTCACACTAACCTTTTCTAACCAAATTAGGTCCACTAAAGTCTTCCCCCTACTTCAAAACCTCATAAAGCCCTAAAAGACAGAGCACATTACGGTTAGGGTTAGGGCAAAAGCATGGCAGCAGATCGCGAGGCGGAGATGAAGGGATCGCAAGGCGCCGCTCCCCCGCCGCCCAGCGCCGCCGCCGCAGAGCCTGTGATCGGGGTTCCCTACGCGTATCCGCCCTCCGAGGGCGCGATCCCGGCGAATGGAGTGATCTATCCGCCTCTGGTGGCTCCGCAGCAAATGCCGCCGCCTCACTACCAGGAGCAGCAGCATTTCCTGGGATCGGTGCCCCCGAATGCGATCGTCGGGCACCCGAATGGGATCCCGCTGCTGGAGACGGTGTTCGGCGACACTCCGGCTCCATTTGTGTGCAGTCACTGTGGAACCGCGGGTGTGACGAGGATCAAGTGAGTTTTGGGAGATCTTAGTTTGGTCTTTGGCTCATTTGCTTGTTTGCTTTGCTTCCAACTTTCAGGTCCAAGATCAGCTTGGCTACGTTTGTGGCGTGCTTGATCTCGTGCGGAGTTTGCTTCCTGTGTCCTTCGTGCGATTGTCTCTGGCACAAGGAACATTTTTGTCCAAGCTGCAGTACCAAGGTTTGGTGTCAAAGCGCGTTCTTGCTCTGACTTTTTCTCCTTCCCTTATGCCAGGTTGCTGAATTCACCAAGTCGGATCCCTGTGCCGTGATTGACCCAATGCAATGGTTGCAACCAAGTTACGCGATTCCAGCATAGACTCTGCTCCTCTGCTTTTTGGTGTGTATACTTGTATAGCTCTTAACTAAAGCGAAGGAGAATAGTGCAGCCAAACCAGATTACACTAGATAATCCAGACAAATCCAGATTTTCTTTCTAGATAATCCAGATTATCCACAGGATTTTGTTTACTTTGAGGGGATAACTCCCAACAACTGTTAGTTTGAGCTGGGGTTTTTGTTTAGAGTTTTCCTAAAATTGGAGTTGCGTTTGTTAAATACCTTTTTTTTTTTAAAAATGAATTGTTATTAAGTAAAAAAATTCTCGTGATGATGAGCCAAAATGTTATTACAGATGATATTAGAAATTCAATTCATAGAATACTAAACAATTCCAGAAAGTCAAAATTTTCATATAAACATATAAATGCTTCTCATCAACCTGATCTTTATACTGGATTTGCTGTTTTTTCCTTTCAATATTTGTGGCATAGAGTAGAGATTCAGGAATTTTAAAAAAACACTCACTAACCCAAATTGTAGAAGAATCTAGTCTTCAAATGTTAAACCTCTTATCAATCATAATTTGAAGAAACAAATAACACTAGTGAAATATAATTAAGTAATATATTTTCAAGTTTTCATATAGATATCTATTTAATCAAACAAATTTTTTTTCCAAAAAATTTAATTAAAGTATCTAATAAGGCTGGATTATATTCAGATAATAAACTGACAATGTAGTTGTCTGAGGTTTATGTGTACAACTATAATGCCATATAATATTAAGATTTTAATAGTCATTGGATTAGTTTCAATCTGAACCATATATAAACTAGGTTTTTGGGCTAATCAAATATGCACTTATATTAGTGGAGATAGGAGGCAACTCTAAAAGTACTTGGATTTGTGCTTTTTGTTTAGATTTGGTTTTTGCATTATATAAATCTCTCTTGTTTCTATAGCTTTTTCATTTCTTCTCTTTTAATTTTCATTTTATTTTTTATTCATCTCCTCCTTTAACTCTAGAGTAACAATTTGTGCAGTTGCTTGGTACTATATAACTATAATCAAACTCAATTATGGTATCATTTATGGTGTATGGTGTAGCTTTTTTTGTTTTTCCTTGTTTAGCTGTAGGAATTTTGGGATGATGTGTATAATTTGTTTGATCACTTTACAATGATTGTTACCTATCATTCTTGGGATGATACTTGGTAAGTTCCTCATATGTGTTTAAGGGATAACATTGTAATGGTATATATTTATGAGGATTAGAGTCTTCTTCCAAACATCTTCAAACATGTATTCGGATATATTTACAATTGTAAGAATGTCTTCTAATTGCATCATTTCTATTAAGGGCCACTTAAGTTAGTTATATAATTTTGTGTTCACTTTTGAAATCTCTTGCTTTATATGAAACTAAATATGTTTAATTGGATGAAGTTAGGTATATTGTGGCTAACACTTCATCAAAATCTTGTGGAACTTATGTATGCACTTGCCTTAGCCACCTTTAAAGATGTTTTTCCACTAACACAGTACTATAAAACATCACCTTTCTCATTTATAATTACACTTGTTTTAACTCCACTTGTCATGGGAGATGATCCTATTCCAATGGAAGTTAATGCTATTGTTGCCCATGTTCAAGAACAAGGATGAACACATGATTATGACCATGATATTTACTATTGGGCATATGATGAAATTGACTATATGTATTGGCATTGTTGGTGTTTCCCAGATTAGCACCCTCTATTTCTTATATGGAAACTTTAGTATTAACATCTTGTTAATATTCTTGTGGTTGAAAGTTTTAATATTGATATTCTTCTTAGATATGAGGAGTCATACAAATAATGGAGAAACCTTGCACAATTAAGTTAATGACCCATCCATCCTTTATTTAAGAATACCATCATGATGTTCATTTGACACCAATTTATTTAGTGTTCACTTTTCAAGCTCAATTTTATTATAAGAGGTCCACTATTATTCTCTCCATAGTGATTTATACAAGTTTGAGTTTATCTTCTATTACTCAATTTGTTGCCATATATTGTTATCTACATTTGCATTGTGTGGTAAAGCTAATCTTCATTCTTTATAACAACAGTCATACATACATATATGTGAGAAGTTGTGCATATAGGTAATTTTGAGCTACAACTCTAATCAGTATAGGTGATGTCAAGTCAAACCTTAAACCTCAACCTTAATAGAGATTGGTTGTAATGCAATTATAATAAGTGTGACTTTGAGGTTTCTTTTCCTTATTTCATACTCTCTCATCTCTTTTATTCCTTTCACTTCACTTTTATTTTCTTTCATCCATTTACTTTTACCTCTATTTCTATCATTTTTGTTTCTCCATTACTATCTACCATATTTCATTCTTGTTTTTCTATTTAGTTTCTAAATCTCTCAGATAGCCTTTGTGGTATAGTAATTGACTAGCTCAAGTAAAAGTATGCTAATATCTTTGACTCTGACCTATTATCTAGAGCTAAAATTGCAATACATCATTATATTCCAATTAAGGATGCTCATTGAATTAAGGTTTATATTTGACATCAGTCATCAAAGGAGATCAAGATCTTATAAGCAAATATCCAAGAAATGTTAGAGAAATGTCTTAACCGAAAGTTTTGGAATTTTAGGTTATTATAATGAAGTCTAATGAAAGTATTCACTTCTACATTGATGATCATTTTTTAAATGATGTGATAATCCTAAATATATACCCTCTTCCTTACACTACCAACCTTCTAAATTATTTGGGGTGAAATCATTAGTTCACTAAGTTGGATTTTACTTTTGGGTATTGACAAGTGCTAATGGCTAAATCCTCTTTTCTAAAATTATTTTTTATACACCATTTAGTTTGTATAAGTTTTTGGTGATACCATTTAGATTGAATAATAGTTTAACAACTTTTTAGTGGATGATGGACGAGGTTTTCTATGATATTTTAGACATGATTACCAACTCCATTAATAATGTTTTGATCCATTTCAAGGGGACATGGGAGGAGTATGTTCATAATGTTTGTAAAGAGTTGAGTCAACTATGAGAAGTTGGTTTGATGCCAAAATGGTCAAAATGCATGTTTAAATCTAAGGACAAGATTTATTTTGGGTATCGTATTTTTAGCAAAGGTTTGCAAGTTAATCATAACAAGTTTATAGTTATTTCGAAGTTCTCTACTTTGAATGTGGTGCTTCTTTAATAAGATATAATATCTTGTTCATTTTGCTGATCATTTGTTTATCATATAACATCATTGCAAGCGTTGATAAAGTCATTCATATAATCTTTCATTTAGTTTGAAGATTGCTAGTGGGTATTTGTGAATCTAAAAAAGGTCTTGACAAGTGCTTTAGTTTTGGTGTATCTTGAGTACATATGATCTTTCATAGACGCTTTTAACATTGTTGATGCAAGAGAATATAAGTGTGTTTGATTAGTATAATCCCATTGTATACATTAGCCATACATTACAATTAACATAGGTGAATTAAAGAAGGAATGTCTAGTAGCATTTTGGGGTTTTGAAAAGTTTCATGTGTACTTGCATCATATCAAAACATTATTAAAGGGTGATTATGTTATAATCACTTTATTAATAAAGAGGAAGAATTTGGTTATTTATATTGTTTGGTGGGCTTTAAAACTTTAAATATATAATTTTGAGATCACTCATCATTTAGGGAATTTTATGGTTAATATTGACACCTTTTCTCAAGCTCTTCTCCCTTCTTTACTCTTTTTTTTTGGATTTTCTAAATGAGGATTTTGTATTATCAACAATCTTAATGTTAAGTGTTTGCAAGGTGCAAAGCTAGATTAACCTTTTCTTGATGAAGTTTGTAAAGTTAGCTATAGATCCAAAAGTTTTATGATGGATTTGAGAATTTTGCATCAGTTGTTGCTATTTATTCCTTTGGTATTTACATTTTTAATATCATTTTAAAAATGACCTTCTTTATCTTATCAAGACTAATTTTAATGACCATTTGGGACTAGTAGTATCTTTGATCTTTATTTTATATTTTCTCAAAGTTTATCATAATTTTCCTATTCTAAAAAAGCATATGGAACATTGTCATATGATTGAGAAGTTGCATTAGTTTTTAGATTGGCTATAGATGTGACGTGATATTATTAAATATGCATACTTCTGTATTCCTTCCATGAAATCACAATTGTATATTTAGTTATTTAAAATGATTATAATTTAATTATATTTTCTATATCAGAATACATTTAGTACTTATAAATTAAAAGGTTTGTAAGAACTAAAAAACATCATAGTAATAAATACAATTTTGATATATAATGTTTTATATTATTTTTTAAATATTAATATCTAATATTTTAAGAGATGTTGAAAAACTTTTATTCTCTTAGTAATATTATATATATTAATTTCATTATTAGTTGTTTAGAAAGTCATGAGAGAGATTATAATAAGTTGTTACACCATCTTTTTGCTGAACTCTCCAGGTTTTCTACCATAGCCTTCCATTCCTGCCCTAGGCTCCATCTGTCTTGTCACATCCTGGGTTAGAACCTCAACACAATCTTTTGTCACATCTTGCATTGGAACTTTAACACAATTCTTTTTTACTCATTGGCATTTGTAGTGAGAAGTGTTATCTCCCTTGATTCACTTCTGTCTCAACTGTGGTGTGATCATGAGCATGGCATCTATGACTACATTGCTCCATAGTGATAATGAAATGAAATAAGATCTCACAAAAGAATGAAAAGAAGAATCTAGATGATGCATTGGTGATATGAGTAGTTTACTCAAGATGGATCTTTCTCATATCCCAGAAAAATCTATATCATCCAGAATAATTTATTTATTGTGAAGAACCTTATCACAATTTCTTTTCAAACAGGTTATTAGGGTTCTAGGGAGGGAGGCATCTCGGTGGAGCTATGTGCTAGCTCATCAACTGCATTCATAACTATGATCAAGTGTAGTTGTTGGCAGTGATTTTACTCTATGTCCAGGTGATTTATTGTTCCTTCCATCCATTTATTTTAGCTCAGATCCATCTCCAATTTCATGATCCTGCTACCACATGTGCACTAATCAGCTCCCTCAGCAACTCTACATGGGAGTTTTGCTTGCAAATCTAGCGATCCTGCTGTTTGCTCTTCTGGTGATTGAGAGTTGCACTTACGCTGCATTGCCAATGTGTATACTTTGGTTTGTTTTCTTCTCCTATGAGATCAGGTAAGTTTCTTCATAATTCTTCGTTTCTCATGTGTGGTTTGCTCCTTTTTATTTTGTTCTTTCATAGTTACCGAAAAACGTGGTTGTTTACATTTGCAAATCTTTTTCTTTACTTTCACTATTCTTGGGCTGAGCTAAGCAACAGAAGATGGAGGGAGAGAGGACGAGCTGTGGAGAAGGATTTGGGTAAGGACACATCCTCGGGAAAGCATACAATAATGCTTAGCATCACTGTAGCGGTTTAATCCATCCTGGCATTGGGGAAACAGTTCAGGACAAGAACTCGACAGCGAGAGCGTACGGGAAGAAGGGGGCTTTAGGTGTATCTGCGTACGGAAAGAAGTTGCTGCGACGAAGGCAGAGAGACGAAGAAGAAAGCTCGATTTTGGTGTGGCTGGTGGGTCTTTCCTTCCACGCGAAGGGGCGGCACCAGAGCTCGCAGTGCCGCTTTCAAGTTGACGCTGGAAAGCAATAATCTGACGAAACAACGAAGCTAAAACTTGCAAAATGAAATCTACCTTTACTATTTGATAGCAGGACTCGGAGACCAAAACAAGGATCAGTCAAATTCTTTTGCGCCGAGTGCCCTTTGAGAAAAAGTCATTTGATCCATTGTTCTAGATCACCGATAGTGACCATCCACTGTTTCACTGCAGAGTTTTTCTTCCTTTCTCGACCGTGATGGATGGAATGAATTGGAGTGATGGATGGAGTGATGGATGGAGTGAATTGGAGTGATGGATGGAGTGATGGATGGAGTAGAGGCTGCAGGAGAGTTTCGTGACACTTGACACTTCAAGGTGAAATTGTCATACGATTCTTTGCTGCTACTGCTAGCTTCGGAAAAGAAACCCACGCTGCTGTTTGCCCCAGATGGCCCACCTGTCCCTTATATTTTATAAATTTTATAAATTTTTCTGTTGACCAAATTGCTTAAGCTTTGGCTGTTTTTGTTTTTGTTTTGGCTGTTTTCAGGGGATCAAACTGGACGTGCTTGTGGTACATCTTGGTGTTTGCTTATATATCCGGGCGGAGCAAAGGGAAGGATCCATTCTCCAAGCTTTGTTTTTTTCACGACTTTTCTCTTCCTCTTATCACCCAATGGGCAGCTCTTTGTCTCGAATTTTTCCAGCTCTTCCTTTTATCACCGCAATGGGCAGCTCATTGTCTCGAATTTTGCCAGCTCGTGGCATGCCTCTCCAGAGGAGATGCCGGTGCATTCAAATCAACACAAAGGCCGACACAACACCACTCGACCGGCGGCTGTGCCTTGATCTTCCCAACGGACTGCCCAAGCGCCAGCAACTCGTGGGCATTGCCATGGTGATACTGCCCTGCGTTCGGGAGAGCCGCGCCAACTTCGAAGTTGCTCTGGAGATCAGGAGCCTCTTCGTGGGCGTGGACGACGAGGATGTAATCATCAGCGCCAAGGCTCTCGGATTCTACCCGTACCGCGTCAAACTCCGGATCGAGCCACAGCTTGGTGAGATGGAGAGCTCTGACATTGTTCTCTACGATTTCCGCGATGGCGATGGCAATTCCAGCACACATACCACGAGCTACAATGGTGAGATTGGAGCTCAACTTAATTTATGGCCAGTATCTGTCAAGTTAAAGAAAACGTGGGGACGATCACTTCAAGAGCCAATGGAGTACGAGTCCATCATCGTTGGAGTTCCAGGGAACACAGCTGAGCTCGAGTGGAAACTCCTTCGTTGGAATCACAATGGGATGAAGTATAATCCATCCAAACCATACTCTGGCCTTGGCTCTCTTAAGGTAAATCATGCTTTTACTCTTCTTTTCATCTGAGCATGATCCATATAGCCGCCATTGCGAGGAGGGCGCACAAGTATCAGTGTGGAAGACTTTCCCACCGCTGTGTGGTATCTGCCCGCAAGCATGGTGTCCAAGTTTCCGCTCCGGTTCAAGCTTCACCTCGAGGCCGAGATGCATCTCGTCTGGTATGCGAAAAGCAACCGCATGTACCGCAAAGCCAATTGCACCAGCGAGACAGTCGAGCTTTCACACGAGTTTGTTGTCACTGATGGTGAGTGAGAAGCCGGACTGTCATATACTTTTTTTCTTGAAATTATAAAGTGGCCGAGCAACTGCTTTGAGCGTCTATCACTTCTTGGAGTTGCCGTTTGCAATGGTCTTTCTGGTGGCTAACAACTCAGCGTTCAAAGTAAAATGCTTACGGGAATAATAAGAAACATACCAATGCATCTCCGAACTTGGTTCCGATGCCACCAGGCTTTCGTCCACGAGATGGATCTCTGAAAGCCTCGCCACATACAACTTCAGTCCATCCCTGTCAATCGCAAAACCAAGCCTCGCAACTTTAGAATCAATGACAAGCTCTTCATCTGAAAGAGAGAACAATCGGTGAGAAATCTCTTTTTCCTAATCTTACCTCATCGATCACTCATGTAATGGACGTTAAGCAGCGTCACGTCCAACTGCTCCGTTTAGGAGGAAAAATGAGCTTGGTGCACCATTGTCCTTGTGGCAGGCCGCTAGGAACTCTAGAGCTGAAACACTCTGCGCGCGCGATCGCCATGATTGAGGACGAACGTGAGTATTACAAAGAATTCTTCTTTACAATGAAAAAATCACAGGAGAAAATGAAGAAAGAAAATTAAGAGACCTTGTTGTGGAGCTCAAGAACAGCAGCTGTATTAGCAGCTTTCTTAGCCTTCTCGCCCAGACTCCACAGCATCACGGTATCTCGGGTCTCACCTGCGAAAGAAAATAACAAAGAAATCCCCTTGCTGGAAAAACGAAAAATAAAACTACCTCGCCAATGTCATCCCACAGCAAGAACACGCTGCAACCGAGCTTCCTGGCCACACTGATCACGTACACCGCGTTTTGTTTCTCCTCGTCATCTGCAATTCATAAGATTATATCGATTAATTTGGACGGGCCTAAGTTCGTTCGCTTGCCTGTTACTCCTTTGGTCACGAGCTGCCAGTTTACAACGCGTGGTTCTACAGCCCAGAGAAGATCGAGGAAGAAGATGCCAGATGATAAGCTCTTGTCCTGGAAGTTCCAGTTCCACTTGTATCTTGCAAACATTAGTTCACAGCAACGTTTTGTTACCTTGAAACTCTCCATACTGTCTTTGCAGCCTGATCGCTTCACTTTATTGTTAGCCCAGTTCAAGATGTCGTACTCGGACACCATGTTCTTCAGCAGCTGGAGGGTATGATACCGCACCAATTGCCACAGAAATGCAATCTCCACCTTAAGATCTGACGAAAAATTAGTAAGTTCTCTGGAAAAACCAGCCTTCTGCAGGCCATTTCAACAAAACCTTTTCACCTGGAGACGGCAAACTCCAAACACTAAAGAATTTTCACACAGTTCATTTTTTATTTCGTTTAGCATCTCCGCGAGCTCTGGTGCCGCTTTCAAGTTGACGCCTGAAAGCAATAATCTGACGAAACAATGAAGCTAAAACTTAATGGTTGCAAAATGAAATCTACCTTTATTATTTGATAGCAGGACTGCGGAGACCAGTCAAATGTTTTTGCGCAGAGTGCCCTCTCATCGATGCTTCCGGGAACCGCAACGTTGATCAGTTTGCTACATTAGCAGTGATGAATTTTTCAGCGTGAAAACACGACATGAAAATCATACACCAGATCCGTATACCGTCCTGAACAGCGTCAAAGAGATCGTCCAATCGGAAGAATGCCGCCCACTATTAATATGATCGACGTATGCTTTTTTCTCGGAGCCGTGAATCAATGTGGTAGTTGATCGCTGGGCTCTTTTGCGGGCTGATTTTGACGCCGCTTTTTTGCATCTCCAAGTACATCTGCAGAGACAAGAATGTTCGACTGAGAAAGATGCGCTTCGCTTCGTTACCCAAGAAAGGCCTCAAAATTCAAGCTGTTGCTCCTTTCTAATGGAAGCCCACTTCTTTCCGTACGTCTCCGCTGTCGATTTCTTGTCCTTGAATGCCGCGTGAACTGTTTCCCATTAAACCGCTATGCTATGATCCAGACCAACGCTCTGCCCAGATTCTGCGAGAAAAACCAGCTCCTGAGGAGCAACTTGAGACAAAAGCAAGCGCTTTGCACGTTGTTTCAAACCTGGAGTTTAATGCCGGGTAGAAGGACAAAGTTGCTCTACAGCGCTTATTCTCCGCTAGCACGCTTTTCGTTATCATCCCCAATGTCCTGCACGGATAGAGATATCACACTTATCGCCAAACGGAGAGAAAAGAAAAAGATTGTAAAATCCCACCTTTGTTGACGAGCTCGAGCAATTCTCCTTCTCCTGGATCCGGAAGAGCGAGGCGTAGTACGTTGGATCATAGATCGAGCCACCGAGGATCTGGTCGCTTATGGAAGTCTGTCTGGAGTGGAAAGCCGGTGTGCTCTCCACGGAAGTAGCAGCAGTGGGCTGGACGAGCCTCTGGTAGTAACTAGACGGCCGATCTCCACGAATTGGCAAGCTGTCGATCTTCTCACTGGAGCTCACGCTCTGGATGGAGATCATCGGCTTACGGTCCGAAGCTTCTCGGTGCTGGTTTGGCTGCAAATGTACAGGCTAGGACCGTCTCTCGCCATGGATAATCTTGCAGAGAACTCTTTAGAATCTTAGACTCTCGGGGAGAAACAAAACTCTGTGAAGCACGTATGGAAGTAGCGTGACAACTCAAGAACAAAATGAAAATGCAGCAAACCACGCAAAAACTAAGAAAATCCAGCACGTAAGAAACTTACCTGATCTCCAAGGAGAAGTATGCAAGGCACACACTAGCAATGCGGCGTAAGCGCGGCCAAGGGAATGACTCCCACTCTCAATCGCCACAAGAGCAAACAACGCGATTGCTAGATTTGCGAGCAAGACCCCGGAGGAGATGAAATTGGGGAAGTGGATGGAGATGCAAGGGACACTAATTACCTGGACATAGAGTAAAATCACCGCCAGCGACTGCACTCGATCGTAGCCCGGAATGTAGTCGATAGCTCCCCTCTTTCCCTAGAACCCTACAAACCCGTTTTATTTTTAAATGTCGCTATTGAAAAGAGCTTCCTCGCCATATCCTTCGCCATCTTGCGATCAGCTATGGTGGAATTCCCCAAAGCGGTGCTGAATGTAGGAGGAGAGCCCTTCATAGCTGCTGCATTTAGATAGAAGTTCGAGTTTTTGTGTGTTATTAGCGGCACACATAACCCAAATTTTAGAAGAATCTAGTGATGAAATGTTAAATTTCATTTATCATTGTAAAGACTTACCTATTATTTTATTAATGGTCATAATTCACTACAACAATGAAGACACAATATATAGTGAATATAATCAATATGTGAGGGCCAAGTGTACAGCTATATACTAATATTAGCGTAGTGGGATTTTAGTAGCCGTCAGATTGATTTCAATCCGAACCACTCGCTCCTGTATATAAGCTAGGGTTTTTGGGTTAATTGATATGCACATTTTCTGTATTCCCTTTCTATATTCCGAGCACTCACATTGGTGGAGATGAGGGGCACCTTTGATTGTCCCTGAGGAGTGTTTGAATTTGAGATTTTGGTTTAGATCTAACTTTTTGCATCGTCTAGATCTAGCTTTTTCCATTTCCTTTCTTTTTCTTCCCTTTCAAGATTTTGGTTTAGATCTAACTTTTTGCATTGTCTAGATCTCCCATTTCCTTCTCGTTTTTTGTCGTTTCCCTTTTTTTGCTCTTTCTTCGTCCGTCTTCATGGCAGATCAGCAATCTCCTCCTTTGACTCTAGAGTAGCAGTTGGTCTAATTGCTTGATGCTATGCGCTTGCAATTGAACAACCAAACTCAATTGATGGTAGCATTCACGGCACGTGGTCCAACTCCTCCTGCTCTTGGTGCCAATCCTCGTGTTCGGCCAGAGTTCTTTCGTGGGAATCCTGGGGATGATGTGTACCATTGGTTCGATCACTTCACAGTGATTGCCACATATCATTCTTGGGATGATGCTCGACATTTGCGTGAGTTTCCCACATGTCTCCAAGGGACGGCGTTGCAGTGATACAATGGATTGAGTGCGGCCACTCGTGGGGATTGGAGTCTTCTTCCAGACGTCTTCAAACGCGCCTTCGAACATGCTGATGATTGTGACGATGCCTTCCAACAATTGCATTGTCTTCGCCAAGGGCCATCCGAGTCAGTGATGCAATTTGGCGTTCGTTTCCGAAGTCTTTTACTTCGTGCGGAGCCCAATATGTCGGAGCGGATCAAGCTAGGAATGTTGTGGCCAGCACTTCGTCAAGATCTTGTCGGCCTTGTGCATGCACTTGCTCCTGCCACCCTTGACGATGCTCTTCGTTTGGCACAACGTTATGAAACATCGCCTCTTCCACTTCTCGCTGCACGTCCTTCCACTCCACTTCCTATGAGTGATGGTCTTGTTCCAATGGAGGTTGATGCTGCTGCTACTCGAGTCCAAGGACAAGGGCGAGGACGTGGTTGTGGCCGTGATGTTCGTTGCTGGGCGTGTGATGAAGTTGGTCATACTTATCGGTGTTGTCGGCACTTTCTAGATTGGCGACCTCCATTTCCTGGGTGGAGACCTTGGCGTCAGCAACGTCCCGTTGGTGCTGCTGCGGTGGAAGGTTTGGACACCGAGGTGCATCCGGGAAACGAGGAGTCGCGCAAGTAATGGAGGGACCTTGCGCGAATAAGTTAGTGACCCCTCCATCTTTCTTTCGGGAGTATCATCAAGGGGTTCACTTGGCACCAGTTCATCCAGTGTTTACTTTCCAAGCTTGTTTTTATAACAAGAGGTCTCCTATTATTCTCTCCGTGTTGGTTGATACAGGTTCGAGTTTATCTTCTATTGCTCGACCTGTTGCCACACGTTGTCGTCTACACTTGCGTCGTGCGGCGGATCCAGTTTTCATTCTTTATCTCAACGGCCGTACACATGTATATGCACGAGATGAGGTGGACTTGGTTGTGCATGTGGGCGATCTCGAGCTTGAGTTGCAGTCGTTGCGGGTGGTGCCGAGTCAAGCTTTTGACCTCATTCTTGGTATGGATTGGTTGCAGCACAATCATGCCAAGTGTGACTTTGAGGCTTCTCCCCCTTGTCTTATACTTCTTTATGTTTCATCCATTCCTCTCACTTCCGTACCTCTTCGTCCCTTTACTTCTACCTCTGCTTCCATTACTTTTGTTCCCCCACTATTTCCTCCTATGTTTCCATCTTGTTCTGCTCTTCCCTTTTCCGATCCCTCTGATGATTTTTGTGTTGCAGCTGTTGACCGGCTCATGAAGGAGTATTCTAATCTCTTTGATTTTGACCTATTGTCTGGGGCCAAGATTGCCACACGTCATTCGATTCCAACCGGGGATGCTCGTCCAATCAAAGTTCCTGCTCGTCGTCGGTCACCCAAGGAGATCAAGATTTTACGTGCAAACGTTAAGGAGATGTTGGAGAAGGGTGTTATTCGGAAGTCGCGGAGTCCTTGGGCATGTGAACCTCATCTTGTGACAAAGCCTGATGGGAGTATTCGTTTCTGCATCGACTATCATCCGTTAAATGAAGTGACGATCCTGGATGTGTACCCTCTTCCTCACACTGCTGATCTCTTGGATCGCCTAGGGCGAAGTCGTTGGTTCACCAAGCTAGATCTTGCTTCTGGGTACTGGCAAGTACCGATGGCCGCAGAAGGTATTCCTACGACTACTTTTCATACACCGTTTGGTTTGTACGAGTTCTTGGTGATGCCGTTTGGTTTGAACAATGCTCCAGCAACTTTCCAGCGGATGATGGACGAGGTTCTTTGTGATATGCCAGAGGTGACTGCCGACTTCATTGATGATGTCTTGATTCACTCAGAGGGGACGTGGGAGGAGCACGTTTGTGATGTTTGTAAAGTGTTGGATCGGCTACGCGATGTTGGTTTAAAGCTGAAGTGGTCGAAGTGCGTGTTTGGGTCCAAGGATACAACTTATCTTGGGTATCATATTTCTCGTGAGGGTTTGCAAGTTGATCCTGACAAACTTGTGGCTGTTCTAAAGTTCCCTACTCCGACATGTGTGAATGATGTGCAACGCTTCTTGGGCAAGGTGCAATATCTCGGTCGTTTTGTGGATCATCTTTCTGATCGCACTACATCATTGCGAGCGTTGTTGAAGTTGTCAACATCATCTTTCATCTGGTCTCCGGATTGTGAGCGGGCATTCGGGGATCTTAAAGAGCTATTGACGACTCCTCCGGTCTCCGGATTGTGAGCGGGCATTCGGGGATCTTAAAGAGCTATTGACGACTCCTCCGGTTTTGGCATATCCTGACTACACTCGACCTTTTATTTTACGCGTGGATGCTTTTGACATTGGTCTTGGAGGTGTGTTGATGCAAGAGAGCTCGAGTGTGCCTGGTCAGCGCCATCCTATTGCGTATATAAGCCGTACATTACAACCAGCGGAGATGAACTATTCCACGACGGAGAATGAGTGTTTAGCAGCAGTTTGGGGTTTCGAGAAACTTCATGCATATCTACATGGTTCTCGGACGTTACTTGAGGGTGACCATGCTACTGTTACTTTATTATTGAAGTGGAAGAACCTGGTTGGTCGTACTGCTCGGTGGGCTTTGAAGCTTCAGATATATGATTTTGATGTTGTTCATCGCCCAGGGAGTTCTATGGCTGATGCTGATGCCCTTTCTCGAGCTCCTCTTCCTTCTTCACTCACTTCTCATGTTTCTGACGAGCTTGTTGTTCCAGCATCTGTGGATTTTCTAGACGAGGATTCTGTGCCGTCGGCGGTTGCTGTCCTTGACGTTCAGTGTCCACAAGGCGCAGAGCAGGATCTACCTTCTCTTGATGATGTTCGCGAGGCTCAAAAGATTGAGCCGTGGATTCAAAGGCTTCGAGATGGGTTTGAGAATCCTGCATCACTTGCTGATGACTTACCTTTTCGGCATTTACATTCTCAATATCGCCTTGAAGATGGCCTTCTTTATTTTGTGGGGACGGATCCTAATGATCATTTACGGCTGGTGGTGCCTTCTGTCTTTATTCCGCGGTTTCTCCATGCTTACCATGATTCTCCTGTTCTAGGTGGGCATATGGGACATCGTCGTGTAACCGAGAAGCTGCACAGGTCTTTTTACTGGCCAGAGATGCGACGTGATGTTATCCGGTATGTGCGTAGCTGCGTTTGGTGCTAAGCTCGTAATACTCCCCCTCGTGCTGCGGAAGGACGATTGGAGTCAATTGCGGTTTCCCGTCCGTTTGAGTTGGTGGCGTTTGATCTTATGGGACCTTTTCCACGGTCAACTGTTGGCAATGAGTATGTTATTATTGCTTCTGAATACTTGACTCGTTGGGTGGAAGTTGGTGCTCTTGCTAGCGCCTCTGCAACTGCTGTTGGCTACTTCCTCCTCAATCGAGTGGTGTTCCAGCATTCTTGTCCAGAGCGGATTCTTTCGGATAATGGTCCCGCATTTATGGCTGAGGTATTTCATGTTTTGACGTCTCGGTTGGGGATACGCCACACTTTCACGAGTGCTTATCATCCACAATCAGATGGTCTAGTGGAGCGGCTCGTTTGGACATTCAAAGGGATGATTGCGAAGTATGTGAACTTTCAGCATTCGGATTAAGATGGTTATTTGCCGTCTTTTCGGTATGCATATGTCACAGGGGTGCAAAGTTCTGTTGATGCTTCACCATATAAACTCCTATATGGTCATGATCCAATATTACCAACGGAGCTAGGTTTACCTTCGCGATTGCCACGAGCTGCCGATGCTAGGTCGTGGGATCAGTATTTGATGAGCATTCTTCCACTTGTCCGAGCAGAGTCTGCCGAACACTTAGGCCGCGTACAAGTGGGACAACAACAGTGCTACAACTCTCATCATCGTCCACCTACGGAGTACAAAGTGGATGATTTGGTGTTAGTCCGTTTTCCCCATCTTACGGTACGTGGTTTATCTAAGGGACTTCTTGCGCAGTGGAAAGGACCGTATTGTGAGACACAAAATCCCTAGGGCCCAAAGTGGAGCCGGAAGGGCGCCACGTGGTAGTGGCCAAAGCGAGAGCCAAACGAGCGTAACACGTTTGGACCAAAAGCTCCGACTTGAAAGTCAAGAGCGGGAGTGGAACTCCCAATGAAGTGCTTGAGGAAT